GCAGTGGATGAAACTGACTACCAGGACATCAAGATTTCTACTACACTACTTAGTTGTCCTAATTCGATTCTTACTGAAAGTCATATTGGTAGGCGTCTGATTAACGATAATACCTGTTCTCGTGAAGACATGGCAAACAATTCATTGAAGAATCCTAAGGTAATAAACATATGTGGGCACAATTCTGGCAAGCGTTTGTTATTTGGTAAACGTTATATAAGTAATTCATGAGCACTTCATCATATTACATGCTTCGAGTGTCGTGATACGGGACACATGAAGTCGGTTTGTAAAACTACTGTTCATTTCGCCATTAGACATAATAAACTCTGTAGTTTATATTTTATTAAGCTGAGTGTTTTAATTACCATTTACCTTTATCCACAATTTAGTAATATAATTTCTACATTCAGAAGCAATTGTATACCTCATTTTGTTCATTATTTATGACAGAGACAGTATCAAGTCCACTATTTCGTCAAAGAACATAAAATCCTTAAATTCTAACACTGTAGTACGATCTAATGAGGTCACGGTATTGAGAATTATTTGATGCAAGCTGTGTATACGAGAATGTTATAAAATTGCTAATTAGAGATGATAGTTCTCCACAAATGCCTTGAGAACTTTTAGTCAGTTTAGCGTGAGCGTCAATAACGCGTTTAAAAAATGTGAAGAAGCTTGAAGTGTAGTTGTCTTCGTTAGTTTTCAAAGACGATTCTGATGTTTTACTTAAAGGTCTGATTGCCGCGTTTTTTAAGTGTAGTGTAGGGATGAGAATTCCGCTCACAGAAATTCAAGCGCACAGTGATCTACTTTTTCTTAAAAAAACTGATGATTACTGTGGTCTTTGAGAGGCAGTTTGTAGGACAGACTGATTTGTACGCAAAAAGTAATTGAATCGAGTCTTTTTTCTGTAAGGGGTGCTTTTACTGTTACCCCTTTGAAGTCTGATAGCGAAACCAGTTGAATATGTGGTCTTCCGTCTGTTGAAGCAAACGCGTATGACGGCGGAATCTGCAGATATTCTTATTCGGCTTCATGGCTCTAAAGTATTCTAGAAAGTTGACTTGAAAGATACTTACCTTCCAAATTCCCTAGACCAATGTTCGTTTTGACACCAATTAACGAAAACCCTCCATTTGGTTTGAGTTGTTCTCCAGACGTATTTTAAGAAGTGGTGAACAATGCAGTTAGTGAACTTAAAGGTGTTGGACTTTATCAAGATCATCTTACTTAAGATGAAGTAGCTCATGTTCTATGCAGCCTCCTCGTCTCAAATGATAAACGTGCCGTACATATATGTTTTGTACTGGTTTAATCGATTAGTGACAGAATGAAGTCAGTTGTTTTCCAGCTAACACATGGAACATTCAGCTAAGATTAGGCACGCACTATTAAAACCGAAACCTTTTTAAACATATACAGTTTTACGGCGTGATAATAAATAATTTGGAATCCCTTGTCTGAACTTCAGATTTTTCAAATGTCTGGACGAGAGTTGTATGTCTATTCAATTATTGTTAGGTTTACAATTAATCGGTACTACTTATTTTGAGTAAAACACAAAATACGACCTCAAAGCAAAATGATTACACTAGTTGTTATATGTGCTGACTGCGTTGAGGGTACATGAAGACCGTGATAAAATTTGTATTGATTTCTAGTGGTTATTAAGATATTTTAAACCCGTACTGTATATAAACAAACGGCAAATGAAATTACCACAATGTACGTGTGGAAAGATGAGTCATGGTTTTATAATGGCGTTGCTTCACAACCACACGGTTCTTGAAGGCAAATTTAAGATAACTGAGATTTCCATTCAACATGTAACATTTAGAGAAGGTCAAAACTGATGAACTTGGTTACATAGAATCGTGATGGAATTGCTGGACTATTCCCTTTTCTAACGCAAAGGATACGCTGGAAATCCCTCCAAAGTATTTTAGTCCATTAGTCCCGTATTCAAACGAAGTGCTGAAAGTTTGGTCGTTACACTTTTCATATAAAATATAGTATTTTATCCCTAGACCAGACAGGTTCTTTGGAAAGGCTAAATATCATATTGCTGATTGTAACCACAGTACCGGTCAGTATATACATTGGTGTGACTTCCACGCAAGATTTTATAGATTGGATAATTCCACCATGACAAATCCATAATTTGAGGATATATTCTATAATTCCAGCAGCCAATATGTTTACTGATACCAAACTTGACCAATATTCTACAGATCAGCGTGTGGGATGACAGTAAATGAGATTCGGGAGGTAAGCACTAGTGAAAATGACAATAATCTATGAGATCAAAATTTAGATAATTCAGGTAACGCGGCCATTTTGCTAAAAGTTTAGGATGACGGATTATCATCCAGTCTTAAGAAACATTACGTACAGTAATACTCGGAAGTATCCAGGATTCAACATCCGTAGTAGTTAAGAAATCCCCATTACAAATAGTTCTGTAAGTCATCGATATTGATGCTGGCTCGATTAGTTGTACTGGACACACATTAAATGTAGATGCTCGGTCATATCTGTAACAAGGGAAGTCGGGTCCACCATTAAAGATGCAACAGGTACTTGAAATTTGACACTGATCTTACACGCAACAAGTTAATAACCAAACTATACTAATCCAGTCAAATCAGGAGTCAGAAATGAAAAGGTTCGAAGATCTATTTAGAAAGCTGTCGATATGTAGAGAGGAGTTTGATCTAAGCTGGCTAGAGGTTGCAATAAATTTCTAGCACTGTACTCACTCATGATCTAGTGAGAATGCGTGATCGAACGCCATCAACTGGGGTGTGTCCAGTAAAACATTCCATAGCCTGCGAGAAAGTGAAGTTAACCCTGACCTTAAAATGTCGATTTTTCAGATATGAAGTGAGCCAATCATAGGAGGTGATCTGATACCCAGTCGTTTGAGCTTATTGATTTGACATACATGGTTGACTCTATCAAGAGCTTTTGAGAAGTCAAGGTAAATGATGTCACCTTCCCCTTGAGACCAAGGATGCATGTTAATCTGTCCACCGCAGTCAGCAGGTTGGCTATACAAGAACGACCCTTCCTGAAGCCATACTGTTGGGGTGAGAGGAAATTTAAGGACAGTAACTAGCCATATATATCATCGCATATCAGGAACTCCATGATTTTTGAAGGTATAGAGAGAAGAGCCACTGGTCGGTAGCTTGAAGGTTCGCTGCGTCGACCTCCTTTGAAAATTGGTGTGATGTGAGCAGCCTCGAAATTTCCGGTAGTTTGCTTCGACTTAGCGAGTGTGAGAACATCACGCTAAGCGGTGATGCCAGGACTGAAGCTGCTTCCCTCAGTGTAGCAGAATGAACCATATATGGGCCAGGAGAAGTGTCTTTTCTTAGGTGCTGCGGTTTCCGGGACACCAAGTAAGAGCTCAGGTTTACATCAGAAAGTCCTGTGCAGTTGCAGATAAAGCTTTCATCAATATAGTTGATGTGGGTCGGTTGAAATGTCCGAGAGTATTGTTCAGCCAAAAGGTTAGCGGCGTCGCCGTCGTTTTTTGTCGGGCCACTAGGACCTAGCAGTTGGGAAACTCCAGTTTTGGCTTGTCGAAGAGAGGCTGCATAACGGAATAAGTTTACCGTATTGGAGACAAATTTATGCATAAGCTTTATCTGGTAATGAGGCTTGTCTTCTCTTATAGCCTTCGTGCATTTGTTCCTTATATTTTTGTATTGCCCGTTCGCGCCGTTGTTATCAGTTCGTTTGTATTCTGCCCGACGAAGTGTTGTTCTTGATGATTGTAGGTTGCTTGTAGATTTTGGGAACCCTTTGAAGAACAGACTGCTTTGTAGCACATAAGAGCGTGTGTAGTGAGAAAGTTCAATGAGTATCCACACCAAGTTGAGCGTGAACATCCCGATCCACCTGTTTTAGATAGTCCTGTAGAGCTGACACCTTCAACCGTTTGAACTTCCATTGCCTGTTGAAGGTGGGATATCTTAGCTCAGTTTTGCTAACAAAACTGAGGGTTATGACGGCGTGATCGCTTTTTCCCAGGGGAGCCAGAATTGAGAGGTTGTCAAATAGGGATTCATCGTTTGTAAATACCCAGTTTAAGCGCGACGGCGTCTGACTGTTTCACCAACTACTTGCTGACTTCACATTTTTGTATAACACCAGATCCTCAGTGAGGTTGAAAAACCGGGCTTAGGTTGAGTTTTCACCTCCAATATATGTATGTTCCGCGAAATTAACGTTAGGAAGATTGAAGTCCCCTAGAATCAGGATATGAGTGAATCCGAGACGCGTAGAGCGGGGTAGTTCTTCCAGCATACGACTATCATACTCGATGTCAGCAGTGAGCTTCCTGTAGATGACCCCAACTAGACATCTCGAGGTGGTATAAAATCTTACAGAGAACCATACGGATTAATCGGGATTAATAAACTCTTGTTTGTGCGCTTGATGTACTTCCAGGCGTGATCGTAAGTATAAGGGTGCTCCACCACCAATTTCTGTATTTCTGTCATTGTGAAACAAAGACATACCAGGTATTGCCAGCTCCTGATCCGTAAACTGTGATATCAAAGTTTCAGATATTCCTATGACATGAGCATTATTGGCATTGCTAATTTCACTTAGCCCATCCATTTTATTTGGTAAACTCGCGGCGCTCATGTATAAGCAGTTCATGCTTTCAATTTGAAGCGTGTGAGTTCCTCCTTCCTGTTCGTCTGTATGAGCCTCATGTGAATAGACAGGTAATGCTTTATCTTACCTTCCATTACCTTTTAACAGGCATTAAGGGAATGAGTGACTTTCCAGTGTTCGAACAATTGTCATTAGAAATTCTGCCACTCACCTCGCTTTTCATCACTAGATTTATCGGGACTGTATTGATAAAACAACAGCTAACACAATATAAGATATCACTTAAGATTTAAAAATACTTAAGCAATAATACAGGCGAGAGAAAATTTGACTGAACTATAGTAACGTGACATTTTTATATATTGGACATTGTCCCTTCAAATGAGTTACTTTTAACTTTGTACCAACGTGAGATTGCTGTGTATCTTGTTTTCATGATTTTGTTGTGCATTATCCACCCCTATGGAAACGAGAATGTGTTTGTTAGTTAGTAAATCAGGCTAAGGTAGTCCTTTTAAGTTCATTTGGCAAGGATTATTATGGGTCAATAGACCTATCCATACTGCTGAAGATTTATTGCTATGCCTAAATGACATTTAGTTTAGTGCATATAGCTCCTTTCTTGATATATCATTATTTCAGATTCAGGCCATACTTGATTTAGCGAGTTTCCCTTTTAGTCTTCATAAAGTTTCCATCGCTATTGAAAACCTTCGAATACATATGTATTCGTAAAATACTTTACGTTCCTTAGTAGGATGATAGAACCTATGTAACAGCAGTCTGATCACTAAGTTTACAAATCGTAATGTGTGATCAATCAGGTCGAAGGGCGATATTTGTTCATAGGATCACCGAATAAATGTCAGAAATGTGTATAGAAGCGTAAAATTGAGATGGTATCTCTAGAAAGATAGAACTAATGATGTGGCAGTTTCATTTGGTGTAGCACGGAATCACAATAGTTGAGATTTGCTTATTCTTAGTCATTGGTCCTCTATGGCATTTTGTATATGACAATCTGAACTATATTCATACTTCTGATTTTTTGTACTATATTGGTTAGTGCTAAGTAAAATTGTCTACAGTGTTTCTCTTTTATGGTTGCGTTTTCATATAGTTTTTGTGATTTGGAGGTGTTACGGGTCACTAGTATTTTATCACGAGATTCTTATTGCTTGCACTGACCTGTACTCTTGGCAATGTAGTGCACCCAGATATGCGTGTGGTCTTTTCATCACGTCAATTGTTATCGCTTCCCGTTCTGTGTTTTTAGTTTCTGTTTGGTGAAGGCTCTGACTACCTTGGACAACAGTACAAGCGTGTTTGGGATGGAATTCTCATCCTCCAAATGCTAAGTATTGCTTCAGAACTGGCCTTCATCCGCGCCTAAGTTAAAGCTTGGCGTGTCAACCCCTTTATTTGGAAGCCTTGTCAGTGCTGATGTCTGGCGGAATCTCGGCTCGAATTCAGAAAGCCCGGTTACCTTTGCCAACTTGTGTCACTTGCAGCGTAGGCAAAATATTCGTGTTCCGACCAAGGGATGAGTTCGCTCCGTTCTACTTTACGGGTATGAAACATTACCAGTAAGAATGGCGGATGTTCGTAGGTGACTGGTTTTCGATTATAAGTGTCTTCAAAGCATGCCTCGTGTATTTTAAGACCAGCGAGTTAGCAGTGCCAGGTTTAACCATAAGGCATTAGGTAGGGATGGAGAGTCGACTGATGGTGGTGAATGTTGCGTATAACTAACCGTCACCTACTTCGAAAGGTATTGTCTGGTGTAGGGGTAGGGTGGAGAAAAGTTAAGGGTGGCTAAACCAAAACATGACAAGTTTATGAACTCACTGACGATTGGACTGAACTATGGTAACAAGTGTAGACCACCTGGTTGGGGTCCGCATGACTATCGTAACCGATGGTTAGAGACCGGATGGCGTGACTCAGAATCGTTTGCAATTTTATTATTTATTTATTTATTTGAACACAAATATTGGTACAAAGGGGCATCATATATATAGGTGCCACACAATAATGAATGTGAAGATATAAAGAATGTAAGGTGCGTATAAGAAAAAAGAAGTACAACGATGAACAGAGATCAGTGTATGATAGTAAAATAACAATAATGGGAGGGTCAGTTCAAATAGCAAAAGTGCTGCCGCGGAGAATTCCACTTACGTCATTTTTTATGAAGAAAGTAAAATAGTTACAGCAGAATCGCCACGGGCTTTTATTCTGAGCCATATCTAATAACGTCTCTAGCCACTGTGTTGCACCATCTCTAGGATTCTAACCAGAGATTCGTGAAGGACAAACAGGAGCCAGTCCCGTACAGCTTTCTTTCACACCACGACACCACGTCATACACCGACAACCTCTCCGCTTTTTCCGACCAGTCTCAGCGTCGTCAAGTAATACACGACGTGGAATTCTCTGGTACGACACTCGAACAACATGTCAAAGCCCCTGAAGTCGATGTTTCAAGATAGTGACACCAATTGGATTATCGTCTCTGTGCCCGAACACATGATGCTGAATTTCTGCATTACTAACATGGTGTTGCCACTGAATGTCAACAGTCCTTCGGAGACAACGATGATCAAACACAGAGTTGTCTAACATCCTCAACTCGGAGAGACCAGGTTTCGCAAGCATAGGGCAGAACTGCTCTCACCGACGCGTTGTAGATCCGACCTTCTACAGCCAGACTAACATCACGAAGGCGTCAAAGATGGACCAGATTGGCATAAACCGCTCTGGCTTTCACTATACGTGCATTGACCTCATCACTTACGCCACCACTGGCACTTATGCAGCTACCCAGATACACGAACTTCTCGACTACTATCTGCTCACTGCCCAGGGTGAGCGCAGCTTCAGGGTCCTGCCAGTCTTGTAAAAGTACTTTGCACATAGGAAGTGCGAAGCACATACCATACTTACGGACACTAATTGCCAACTGATAAAGCGAGGATTGCACGGCTTGGGTATGATCACACAGTAAGACAATATCATCCGCATACTCAAGGTCGAGAAGTCTTTCTTCAGGCAACAGATCCACACCGCCATTTTTTACATTCATCAGAGCTGTCCCCAGAATGTCATCATTGGCAAAGTTGAAAAGGAATGGTGAGATTGGACAACCCTGTTTAACCCACTGCTTGAATGGAACAATGGAGAGATGGTTGTATGCCCTCACTCTGCCTGAGGTGTTTGTATATAGGGCTTGTAAGATGTTAATAAATTTCTCAGACACACCCTTCAATAGACAATCCCAGAGAACAGTCCTGTCCAACGAATCGAAGGCAGTCTTGGTGTCAAGAAACAATACGATTGTTGACCTGTGTTGGTGCAGGTATGCCCATTCTTTGTTTCCCCCCAAATTTTAAGGCTTCTTAATTCTTCATAACTTTTTTTGTCTTTATTTTACTTCGTACTAAGTTTTATGTCGACAAATCTGTTTGTTAAACTTTTTAAGAAAGTAGATTATAATAATGTAGCTGTAGATTTAGAAGAATTTTCAATTACTTGAGTGGAATTTAAGCTAATAATGATTATGTGCACACGAATAAATCTTGATTGATTCCACCTCATACCATCCTAACCGACTTATGGACATTAAAAAGAATTTATCTGTCAGCTGAAGTGGGGTATTTAAGTTATTCATGACCAACATTCCTTTTTTCGTTTAGGTCTAACCCCTCCTAAATGAGAGTAATAGGTACTGAAGGTGACGAACAATTTTAACATTTTGTATTATGTGCTTGTTCTGTAAGTGTAGTTTTGAAGAAAACATTTTACTTATAACCTATGCTTTGGAAAACTATTCACTATATGGAACGATTTACAATCTTTCCTAGTAATAATTTTGTTTTCATTCAGGTATTTATTTATTTCTGAGTGGCCATAAAACCTCATCCTCGTAGCCGCTAGAAAAATACTCATCAGAATGACCAGCTCTAACTCTGATGGTAGTTTTGTTAATTTCAGAGTTAACGTTTAATTAGATCGCAATATTTTCGTCTCGCCGTTTTTGAATTTTGACCCATCTATTTTGGTCTCGGTAAGCAGCATCAACTTGATAAGTTCATTCTCAGAATCCCGAAGAGCAGTTCATCTTTCCCGAAGGGGAGAAACGTCGAGGTCGCTTTGAGCGATCGTTTTCCGAAATCGGAGCTATGGTTATTGGGGGTAACTATACTACAGTCAAATAAGTGATGTTTAGGTGCATCTGTTGGGGGGATCAAAGGATTATACAGCGGTTTTAAAGATTCAGAAATAAAGAATCTTCCGACACTTGCTATCAGACGAACTCAAATGCTGAATCATCTTACTAAATCCGGAGCAACACTTGCTCAGACTGCAGGTTCGATAGGGTTTATATATGCTGTGGCAGATTTCTTGATCTACAAATTACGTGGTAATGCAGAAGATGAGATAAATACAATGGCAGCAGCTACGACTACCGGTTTAGTGTATACTTCTCCTGGTAAGCGAATTAATAATTTTTTCTGCACCAATCTATTGCTGATAGGTGCTTTGTATACGTCACTTGCTTTATTTGGTCATTTTCATCGTACCACAGCGACGTCTGCGATAACATTCTAACCCTTATTGTTTCTGGGAAAATAACATCACATTAAATTCGGAGCACCACTCGTTGTAGTTGTAACGCTAACTCTAGAAGTCACCAGCGAATTCAGCTGATACTTTGCAACTAGTTATTAAATCCCCAATTATGGCGTTCTAACCAGCTGACATAAAATTGAGAACAATGACCCATTTCATCCAGGTTCTCTTGTTCTGAAACACCATGCTAACAAACATTATAGTAAATATGTATATAACTATACCTTGTTTGTTTAGTGCATAATCAAGAAATTGCGTCGTTCAACTATTGTTGTCCTCTTCAGTCGAATACATTGACGACATTCCGTTTATTTACAGACATTTTGTAAGAAATTGAAAGTGCGTTTCTTACAACGAAATTTTAGGAAATAACTTTTACTTCAAACTATAAGCTGCCAAGATTTGTTGAAACCACACCAGATCAGATGTGAAAGTTCATAGGTTTCAGACAAAACATGTTATCAGTGAAACGTATTTATCTAATAGTTTCAACACCAACCATTTTGTAATTGAGTTGTTTTCCCTCTTAAAATTATGTGTAACAGTTTTCAACCTATCTGCTTACGACCCAGCAGTTTCCACTAATTTACAGGCTCGCCTCAGAGCTTGTATTATGTAAGCATACCATGTAATCACAATAATTCGAAAATGTTCACGTAATACATTAGTTTCATGTGGTACGTTTCAGAACATTACGAAGGAGATGATCCGAAATTGACACTAAATTAAGAAATAAGTCTAGAAGGAAAGATACAAAAAGGTCATGTAACGCTTACAATTCTGAAGATAGAATAAACGAACTTATGGGGGATTTCAAACTAAACCAGACCACATTTTATAACCACTTGATCGTCTAAATTTGGGGATCTCATCAACAACTGTTACATTCCTTTACCACCCAAATGGTAGTTGGGTAGTTTTGTGTTGTAATGTCATTTGTCTTATTTGCGAACCCAATCATCTGCTTGAGCGTGAAAACCAAGAGTCAGTAGGAAGCTTTTATTAGCCAACCCGAATCAATATAAATACACAAACTCATTCATTAATGTATGTGTGGCCCTCTGTTTGTTAAATCAGATTTTCGATCGATAGCATCTAACTGTCTCCATCGGTTAATTAAACCAAATCTTGACAAGTGGCATGAACCCGTCGAAATTTTCCACTTATCATTTGCCATTAAAATCACATATTTTTTGACTTAGTCTATCACTTGTACTTGCTTTCTAAACTGAAATAAGCGGAATGACTTTCGGATCTGTGACCAAGTTGAATACTTTAAAAACTAAACCAGTACCCTCGTGCTACTTTATTAATCACAGTTATGGCAAATATTAATCGTATGCTAAGAGAAAAGTATCCTCACTTTCCGAAACTTCATATCTGTTTTCTTAATAAGTTTTAGTGTGTCAGATTAAACTGTTTGAATATTTCCTCTGCATCTGCCCTTTTAATCTTTTCGCGTTATTAGAAAGGTAGAATTGTAGATTGTGATGAATAGTAGTTTTAAAAAACATTTTAAAACAGATGTGATCGTTTTTCAGAACTCAAACTAAATTAATTCTCTTTAAACCACTAGGAATGTTTAAACCAGGTGGCTGGAAACGTTGCGGCTTTGGTGGGGTTGCTGGGTTTGCTGTTGGTGCGATCGCTGTTACTGTTACAAGCTGGTCTAGAATAAAACATATGCTTGGCGGATAAGTGACACTAATGTAATTTTAATTATGTACATTGACATTTTATCTAGTATCCGGAAAAATTACTTTTTAAATATATCTTGAATTGTTATCCTTGTTCTCAATAATGACTTATAAGAAATACAATATTGTTTTGACCCTACAACTTTGCAAAAATTAAGAAATTCTAATTTCTCAGATTATACACTTAAATTATTTGCCTCGGAAAATACTGTAAAAATAGTTTGGAACAGTGTAAATGCTCAAATGGAATAATTAGCTTGAGTTCTAAAATATGTTTTTTGAGTCTGATATAGGATTTACACGTTGCTTCAAATGAGTGGTTCTGTGGCAGTGTCTGTCATTGAAAGAAAGGTGTATCTCAGAAGTAAATTAACCTTGTGAAGGCTCTTTACTCAAAAACTACCAATCGAGTCAGAGCTTATGGCGAACTGTCATCTGATTTTGCAACCTCAAGTGGTGTCCTGCAAGCCTGTCCACCATCTCTATTTTTGTTCAGCTTTATCATAGACCTACCGCTGGAAATAACGTTCTTGTCGACTGAATTTCCGGAAATCGATCTTTTGTCAGGAGGCCCACTTATCGATTTAGAATACGTAGATGACAGTTCTGTTTGGAAGTTCAGTCAGCCCTAATGGGTTGGTGTCTGACGAAATCTCTGTACGGATTCGAAAAGCTCGTTTGACTTCTGCTAACTTACGTCACCTATGGCGAAGGTGAGATATCCGTCTACCAATTAAGGAACGAGTAAACTGCGCGGCAGTTCGATCTGTTCTACTTTACGGCTGCGAAACGCGACCATTGAGGGTAGAAGATACTCGTAAGCTACTAGTATTTGACAACAGGTGTGTTAGAAATAATACTGGCATCTGCTGTGCTCACCGGGTAAGTAATAGTGAGGTTAGATGTAGGGTATTGGGGAATTGTTATAACCTGTGACTGCAGATTAGAGGGCAGTGACTCATCGATCGGACCAAAGACGCGTAAACACGTAAGAACGGCCTATAGTTCTGATTGGTCTCGCTTCCTTTTCTAGCCCAGCCAGTTGAGTCCAGAACGCAAGTCTTAGCCTCTGAGATATGAATCGTTATATTTCAAGCATACTCTGTTTATATACCAATCAAGCAGACCACATCGCATTCTTAGGATTATCATACCATATTGTGCGAGTACTAATAATCCCCTTGGTTGTTTGAGGTTCAGTAAGCAAAGGGACGTTAGAACCTATCACCTAGTTAGAAGTCTTGTACCTAAATCAGTTGCAACATTGCTAGTTATAGGAAAAAAGATGAGATCGTGATAATCTACTTGTGTTTATTATAACTTCCTAGGCTGTTTAACTTCACTATCTTGACCAGATGATGTATGCATTCTTTGATAATTTTGTCTTCTAAATAATGCAGACCAAGTTAGCAGAACACGAATATTTCGGAAAAGAATTTAAAGTCTCCTGCTTATCTTTGTTTATTTTACATCGGATTTATAAGGTAACTTATAGATAGGTAGTTCTGCGTTTTCAACTAGATATTCTTATTTTTTGTGTTGCTGTTTCTAAAATGTGTATTCTACTCATAGGTTGATTTTATATACCTAAAACCAGTAGATCCTCTATCGTTCCACCAAAACATTTAGGTTTGAAGTGAGCTCCGTCTACTTCAGTTTGAGTAGTTGGGTAGTTTCACTACCTCTCACATCTTAAACTATATCGCTGCAAATGCGTGTAATTTACTTACTATATGGTACCAAGAATTTTACACGTAGTTTCCTGATCATTTGTTCCAGTACAATTATGCTCAAGTCGTAAACTACTTTATTATTTAATGGAAAACGATATTCCATAGAGATGTTTCTATTGAAAATCAATATGATATTAAAACCATATGTGGATTATCTTTATCACCCTGTATAAATTTAATGTGTAAATGATAAAACTTTATTAATTATGAAGGAAATCAACATCTAATGAATTCTCTCTGTATCCTTTAATTGAATTGAAAGTTGTGTCAACTTCTTAAACAAATAAAAGTTTTTTTGTCAACCAATGTCTAATTAAACTATTGCATGGTCTAAAATTCTGTTCTCATCAAAGTTTTTCAGTACAAACAAGCTAAGATTTAATAGAATGTAGAGTTAGTACCTGGCCTTTGTCAGTCATTTAAATGATGCCAGATCTATACAAACTCCTCTCACTTGTCCATTGAAAAACGATTCTGGGACCTTGTTTTATCAAATAATATGAACAAAATATTTGTTAAAAATTTTCTGTTCTGTTTCTATACAAAACAAAGATTGAGTCTAATTCCTCATTCTAAAGAAGTATAAATTGATTTTTTATTGCCACACACAAAAAGATGAGGCTGTATACATTTATCTACTTGTTTATTTATGATAATTCGCAGAATCAACAAATATAACAGCAATAGAAATAGAGGATAAGAAAAATAGTAGTTCATCTTATATCGCACAACAAGGCTACACCTCTTAATACCCAATGATCAACTGATTTGTTAGGCGGACAACGTAAATAAAGTGAAGTAACATAGGTTAGGTTTGTTCTACATGGTTTTTTATACACTGGACATACATAGAAGTTTTTCAGCATTTCTTTGGATATCTCTTTGTCCTTAGATATATCCACAGCCTGTATATGAATAACCGGCATTGGTTGATATAATATTTTTGGTTTCGATTCAGTTAGACGCAAATTCTTTTGGTCAAATTCAGCACCTTCTAAAAATAATCCATGAATATATGCACCTTCAGTCGGTGGACGTTGAATATCATCTTTCATAAATCTAGTTACGTCATTCCATAATGTAACTGTATCCAATGCCCAACCTTTATGGCTACGTGTTACCTCTTGTCTGATTGCTGTAAGAAATCCTTGTGGATTGAAAAAACCTGTCATCCAAAAACATACCGGGCGTCCATTGTACAACCATTCATAAAACTGATGATTCCTTTCAATTAATTCGGTAAACCAAAATCCTAATGTAGATGATTCCCATGATAGCTAAGGATAAGAAATAGAGAGAAGATAGAGAAATATGGATATTACTAATTGATTTTTATACTGAGATTTAATACTTCCATCTGTTGCCCTCTCACTAAGAAATGATATCGTGTAACTGCTTAAATAAGAGCGAAAGAGTCAAGCCAAACATAAACCCAAGTATGCCTACTGACTACTTTTTCACCCGTGTCAACAGGATAACTTGCATCCTGGTGATAAGTAGAGTTCACGTTTCCAGTCTCATAGAAAAAAGAATTGTCTGGAGTACCACATAGAGACAATTGCAACTAATGCAAATATTGTTTGCTCATATCAAAAGATCTCGTTGATCTGAAACTAATGGGATTACCTATCATTCAGTCAGATTTAGAACAATCACGAACAAAACACCCTGATCCTCATTCTTAAAGTCTTCATTTACTGACAACAAAGGTGTTAAAAAAGTAGCGGTATTATCTGTTTTCCATAGACTACTGAGGATTCGAAGAGATCAAGTACAGGTTTTGTTGAGATTGTAAGTGTGCCTTACTGATGAGTGTCTTCAAACACTAGCTTCAGTGCACTGCGATCCCATGATCCAAGCTGGTTATGTGAACTTGACAGATCAGTTGATGGGTTCCGGTCATCGATGAAGAATACAGTTTTCATTACACAACATTCTTACTAAGAAAAGGAATGCCAACAACTCTCACATATTTGTTCAATAAAATATATTCTTAAAATTTAACTGTCATTCCGATTTATCCGGACTACTTTGAATTTTGTTAACTACTATTCTCTAAGTACCTCAAGTTGAGTTGTTGGTTGTCCCCTCAAATAAAAAGGTGTACGCCCGCTGGGGTAGTTTATTACAATTTAAGTTAATTATCGAATAAATTAGCCATAATCAGAGTTCCTTAAATATAATATGTTTTGATATGGGGAGCAGTGAGGGGCTGGTGGTGGTCAGACCTTAATTTTGTAGGTTATTAAATGACCTACGAAATCTGATTCCAGTATATAAGTTCCTGCCACGTTTATTTTGTATATGTGTAATCTCGTAATATGGAATGAATAGTGCTTTTTTAAGTAGGTATTCTGTCTTCTAATACCCATTTATTAGGATACTGCATCAATATCTCTAGTTTTACAGAGAGTCGTTTCTAGTCCACATTATTCAGACCAACCCAAGCGATGAATAGAGAAAATCATACAAAGTTCTGTCTGTTTTAACACTATAATGAATTACATAAATATGGATGAGTCTTTACTAAAGGAAATTGACGCGTGAAATTCATCCGGTAATACCTTTTTCCATTGATTGGGTATTCTCGCATCATACATACAATCTAGTGCTTGTCTTAGCTGTTCACTCATTACAATCGTACCATCAATAGCCAGTTTTAAGTCAACAAGATTTTCACGCATTATTGTAAGTAACTTTTGTATTCTATTTAATTCTTGACGTAGAAAAATATTCATTGGTTGTAGTGCACCCATTTGATTCAAACGTTCATTCACTTCAAATTGTATATAATTAGGTGGTAATTTGTCAAGCATATCCATAGCCATACGACGTACTACATCTTCACGTGTTTCTGATGCGCCAGTGTTTGCATCTTTTGGTTGGACATTTAATATACAATCCAAAATAACTTTAGCCTTTTTACTCTGATATCTATAGAGATTTCAACAGCAATGAAATACGATATTACATATAGAAAAAACAATTATATGTGAGAAAAAAAAGCTCCCAACAAAAGTGATTATACTTAGTGAAATTATTAATTTAAAACTTGATGAAGACTTGTACAAAATGTATATGTGAACGTTTTAATACATTTAGCCTCTTAGTCATCTCCGTATGTAGATCATAAAAAAAGATAAATTGGATAGACATATATTAATAGCCTTACTGAGCTCTGTCACTAAACTTCTTTTACATCTCATGCAAATCTTAATCGAAAATTGAATGTTTGGTTTCTAGACTATTGTTATTTAAAAGTAATTAAATCTATAGATTTTAGAACAATAAGGGTTAGATTTATTATTTAATAGTCTACTATTTCGACTATATTAGAGATATAATGAACTATAACGGGTAGACTAACTCTTCCATATGAGATCATTTAGAAATCTATATATCAGTGATCGAAAGTAAGGCAATCTAAAACTGTTTTAGGAAAAAATGGCACGTCATATCAACGTTTTAGAAAATCATGTCTAAAATCTAACCTAGTGTCTAAGCGACTTGAGAAAGTTGGAGTTGTTGTGATCTCTGAATTGGCTGTAAAGCTTCGTTGTTCTTCTGAACAACATCATCAGCATGTACTTCAAAGAGTGGTAAGCTATTAGAACCTTTCCACAATGGACTAGCAGCGTGTTCTGTCGACGGGAAATTCGATTGGTTGTCATCCATAGCTGTGATCGTTGCTTGTATGCTATTTTTCGTCCTATCATAGTACGGAGAGTAACTGCTGCATTAGATCCACCCATACGATATGTGAAAAAATACTCTCCAATTACACTGGTTGAACAGTTGCGCTAGAAAGAATTGAGACCAATTCGTTTTATTCCTCAGGAAAGTCAGTTATCGGCATTACATTAAGGTAAGAGTAAGATACAAAGTAACCGTATGCTACTCTTTATTTTTTGATAAAGCATCGGAAAAAATGGTAATCCTCTTACGTTATGTTAACATTTTCGTGTAATCCAAATGCTTGAGGTGAATCATATAATGGGATTTCGTTAATAGCATTAATAAATTCACTTAATTTCTGCACATGTGGAATTTTATAACCTGGTGCAAATTCAAATTCTGAATTAAATAAGTTTTCATTGAACCACAATTTGCAATAGGTGTTCAAAAGCCGATTATCGAAATCATCAGTTACTCGACCGCCATACTGAATTTCTCCAAGCATGTATGTGACACATTTCCAATCAATTCCCTAACAAATAAATTTAAAAAATTAAAGTGACAACGAGAAAACTACTGAGCAATGATTATTTGTTTTGCGATTCCTTACCACGAGTAAGCCAATATCAAGTTGCAAATCATAGTGAGTTTGTATTCAGCAAGTATACATTGCTTTATAAGCAAAAATCGGAACAATCATTCGATAAAATCATTGTGAAACTGATAACCGTTACAGAATGACGGACTGTTATAGGAAATTGGGTGGTTGATAAGGGCTTGAATGAAGTAAGATATTACTTGAGTCGATGCAATACAATCCACAGTCACACAAAGATAGATACAGCCCGACACAAGCGAGTGAAGGTAACATACACTTAATGCTTACTGTTCGGATGACATTGTATAGAGTCAATCTAGTAATGGTTTAATTGCTGTAAACAAGCCGCTCTGAAAACAGTTAAATCTCAGACACTTGTCTTGACAAACTTTTAATTTAAAAATTCATTCTTGATGTGCTGGAAAGTTGTTTAGAGCGTCTATTCACATCAGAATGAAAGATTATAACGGTTTAGTAGTTGGAGCAACTAACAAGAAATCCTATACTCAGATTCATTACATCTTTGGTATATATTAGCGAGGATATCTATTATCTAAATGAAATTCATGCCTTCTATGAGATAAGAACTAGCATTTTTCAGAAATTACTGTCAACAATTGAGCGTCCCTAATTATACTTATGAATCTCTATTACGAAACGCTAAACTGCCATATTGCTTTCTGATTGATCGATATATTATCATCACCACTAAGGAGTAGAACTTATCAATGTTTATATGGTGATAGTATGACGAACACTATATGTAGCAATTATATCAAGACATATCTATGTATTTGTCAGTGAAACTAGTTCTTTAACCGCTAACAACCTTTGTATAAAAGGGATTTGAGCAAATCAAAAGTAACAATTAACCAAACTAACACTCGTTACCACTGATTGGGATTATGTACCATTCTAAGAAGAAAACACCTAACAGAATCAATCTGGAATTCAGTAACTGTTACAATAGTATTATTTTTGTTAATATCATTGTATTATTAAGTCTAATTGTCCTCTAAGTAAAAAGTAATGTTACTCGGGAATAACAAAATGCTCTAAATTACAACGTACAATGGGACAGAAGAGATTTACATAGATTTTCTCCAATCATTTGATACAGGATATAATATATGGTGATGTTATATCAATTAGCCTACTACTGTTTAGCGAACCAGGTTTTATACTAAGGATAAGAAACGGGTTATATTGAAAACTATCCACTGACAGATTAATGTACAAAATGTTTATATACTGTAATCACTAAGTAATGTTTTCAACAGGTGATATGTCAGGTAAGTGTGCAGTTTAAGCTTTGGGACCTTCAATACAGACCTAAGAGATTATTAAACTAAGAATACAAGTTAGCTGGTACAGATTACTACAGTATTTAATCACAAAACCAATAATATTTAAAACATAATAAACCTGAATGAATTTAACAAAAGATTGCTCTAAGACAAAAATTCATATCTACAGAGCTTATTAACGTTCATTTTCACCTAATCCACATCGAAATTTTAAAAGGCAATATTTCACCTACCAGTTTTGGATCCATATCGTCCAAGTGATTCTGTACAAATTGTAGACTTGCATTTAGATCAGATGTATTAAATTCATAGGCGATATTCCAACCTAGCGAACCAAATTTCCGTCTCTCTTGTACTGTTGTATGTAAGAAGGATATTGCGTAGATCATTGGTTTCCATTGAGGTCGATTATTAATATCTAAATAGTCCTAAATGTCATAGATATATGAGGTAAAAATGCAAATGAATTTAGTAGTAAGATGGTGATTATGGTCTTTATTTTATAGATATTAGATGACAAACTTTCAGTGGGCATAAGCTAACCCAGTCATTTCAGCGAATACGTCTGTACAATCACTCAGATTAATTCATCACTCCAAACTAAACACTGCTGTTGCACACAAGAAACAGCGATAAAACAGGTAAACATCTAGTAGAATCCAACTTCAACCAAAATGCATCGTAGCTCAATAGTGAGGAGTACCAATGTCTATCCTTTTATGGCTAAAAGTATGTGTCATTTGTACTACAGCTGGAAAAGTTCTGGCTAAGAATCAAATTCAGGATGCGCGTTCCGTCCTATTAAACAACAGAGAGACTGATTAAATGCGACCCTGTACGCTACGAACGAGAAATCGCAAAGCTTTACCAATAACTGGGAGGAAGTTTAACCCTTTTGTCTTTTTAGGACAAATTCTGGGCGTAATCTTTCTTCTGTTTATCTTTACATATAGGTGAAGTATTTTAATAAGGGTATTCAACCACACTGAATAATTTATACATGACACAGTGGACAATATGTTAGACCTCAAATATATTGGATAGTAAGTGACCTACCGAATCGGAATCTTACAAACATTTATTCTTCAAACAAACTTTAGTCCTGTTTATTTCTGGGAAAAGAGTTTTGTACATCATTATGTGATTTTCTCTGTATGAAATGACTTTTTCTAATCGGCCAGCCGTCCTGTTTATTCTACAACCGTCCTCTTGGTCTTTGTGTCAATATTTCAGTACTTCTGAGCGATCGTCACTCACCCACACAATTCGTGCAATTTAGGTTCTTTATAGAATTACCAATGTTATGATGTTTGGGCAATTGAACAAAGAGTTATTGAATAATTTGACTGCAATTAGTTTATATTTGCAATATTAACACAAAAGCTAAATAATCAAGAGTGAATCTGATTTGTGCCATAAATTTTTCAATTTACCCATGAGGTGAGCAAGTCCAGGCTTTATAAACTAGTGGGTATTCAATGAATACTAGTGGGATGGTTTTCTCCACGACAGCCTAAAATAATGATACGAGAAATGAGTTTCCAAATCTTTAGCTCAAAAGATACATTTGACTCTTTCGTGTTTATAAGGCTTGTAATCACTCTCCAACTTTCTTACTAGTACAAATTTATACGCGTTCGGACTCTTAAATATTTTATTTTCATAAAGATACAATCTAAGAGTGCACATGTAAAATTTCAGCTTTTAATAATCTTCTTCAAACAACTCTGAAAATACTGGTCATGTATGTGCGACTAGTGAACTAAAACCAGAAACAGCTAAGATTTAAGGTTTGGAATCTAAAATTGAAGATTTTTTGTAAGGGTTTCATGCTCATCTGGTCTCTAAAGTTAGGATACGTTATTTAAACCTCTACATTATCACTTACTTGCGTAAACGTTGCATATGTTCGTTTTATACCAGCTCTAATACCCTGAGGTGGTTCATTTGTAAACTTAATAGAGGTTTGCAAAAATGAAATTGGAAATTGAGTGTGTACTTCAGTTGTGACCCATAAACGAAATTCCGGATGAATATGTTCAATTTCAGTTATTTGACTTAACAATTCGGCAACATATGCCAATGATAGATGACAATTTTGGAGTAGTATCCATCCTCCTGTTGTTAATAAATTACTGACCAGACGTTTAGCATGAATTTCCTGACCTTGGCCCATAGAAATTATTTTACAATCAACCTGAAAAAAAAGGATGAAAACATAACAAAATTCACTACTTAAGATGTAAACATAAACACTTGAGTCTGAGATGGTTTTAGTGATTTGTAAGGCACGTTATGATTTCTATGTTGATTTGTCGAAGGAATCAACCTAGAGGGATTACAGTGACAATACAGGGCCAATCAACCTCCGGCAGAAAATCAAAGAAAATACGCATAACTCACCGCCTACTTCCCCGAGATGATTAAAAACTAGAGGAATATAAAAGGGCTAATTTATTTGTGGTTCAAGTATCCATCTAAGGGAATTCAAAAACAATCTCTAATGTTACGTCTTCAGAGGAAATCAACATGAAGGTCGATCAGCATGAAGGGTCAATCTGTGGAAAACGTAAAAGTGAAGGGCAAAGAACAGATTGACCCAGAGTGTAAGACATCTAAACGAATTGTTGGTCACCGGCTACCATGGGACTGCACCTCCTAAAGTTGCTTCACTGCCTTGTGGATCAGACCTTTAGGTCGAAGGCTTCCGGTGTGGCCTCCTAAGAAAACCACCTGCTTCGGTTTGAGCACCCGGAAAGTATCATAGCCCACACACAAATCAAGTGACTTGTGTGGCGCATATGTATTCGGTGCCCCTTTGTACCAATATTTATATGTCCACATAAAATAAATAAATAAAGCACTCTTCCAACCTACTCCTATAACAACCAGGACTTCGTATCAGAAATGCAATGACCAGGCTTAGTTAATCTACGTCCTAGCCACTTCGGTTGATGAAAGTTAACTTCATCACCAGCCGGTTTCCAATTCTTAACGAGCATTCTGCCACCAACTTTAACATTATCATAATGATAACATCATACGTGATGAATGCTTCGAAGGTATTTACAATTAAATACTAAGAAACCTAAGCACACCCTGAATCACCATTAAACCGTGTCTAAACTGGGAAAAATATGTAAACAGTGTTAATTCGTCAAACGCTTAAATGAACCGAAAAATGTAAAAACATATTCTTGATTGAATTCAAAGGTTGATTAAACTACTAGATAATGTAAATAAAGCCAGGCCAAACATGGATGCAGGATAATATGAATTCATTACTTTTCATTTTTCCTCATCAGCTGCTTACAACCAAATATCTATAGAAAGTTTACATAGAAGTAAGGAATGGTGTGAAACAAATGAAATCGGTGAATGAAAAGAATTGGAATGACTAAGGTTATCAATAATAACTATATATATATATATATATATATATATATGCAAGAACAGGTCGGAGGTCATTTGGTGTTAGAATTTAAAGAAATGAAAGGTGGGTGATACAATAGTTATGTGTTGTTCAGAGACAGATAAGATATATTGTGTGATAATTTTAGAGGTAATGAAGGTTTTACACAAGATTCCTGGAATTAAAAAAAAAACAGATTGCGTAATAAGTGGACAAGATTTGAAGAGTTTACATAAGTGAACCGAATTAAGTGAATGGAAATGTATGAGTGAAGGGGTGGTTTTAATGTACATAAAATAAGAATTCGGTAAGTGAAGACCACATAACAAAATAAAACTACGAGGGTAGTAATGGGTTTATTACAGTCTCTTTTTAAATACATAAATCAAGTTTGAGTTTCTTTTTTATTTAACGAAATTGCTTCAGCAAATCGAAGAGAAGCTGGGTTTCTTTTTCTGCTAATAATTTTAAAGGCTCGAGGAATATCAATGGTATGCTGGTATCAAGTAAATGCCGAGCCACTGCACTCTTTAGAGCCATTTCGCTTCCCAGTATGTAAATTGGTAAATGCAGTTGGAGGTACTGAGAAAAGAGGACCTGCCAATTTTAGTTTGTTTGAGTGAGCAATTCGTTTCAGGCTTGCTGATGGATAAGCAACCTTTAACGCGGCATTTATCCTGTAGTTAATTATTCCACTTGTTCCATACCTATTCCAGTTGTTTCATCTCCTTTAAAGCGAAAGTGTAAGAAGCGGGTTTTCTTTTCCGCTGCGTCGTATTTAACAAGAACGTTGGTTTTGGCATATCTCTCTATGAATTTCGCTGGAAATGCACTTTCGCGTAGGCAATTTGTAGTGAAGGCGAAGTTTATGAGCACAGTCGAAAAGGGTTCGTACAAGTCCCTTTTTGTAACTTATTGAACAACGAGAACATGAATTTATCGGAAGCGTTTAGGGCATCAAACTTTTGTTGATCTTCAAAACTATCCTTCAGACTGTAGGGTGTGAGTCTCTTACGAGTTGGTTCTAAGCACCTAGTCAACCAGCAGGCTAGTTTATGGAAGGGTAATTTGGTCATATATAATATTGGTTTTATCAGGATGTTGGGTTTGTATTTTAGGTAGGTCGCATAAATAAGGTAATTATGATTCTTTAGGTTTGAGTTCATTATATGTATGATTATTGATTAGAATTCTCGTCAACAGTTCGCCCAACGTTTTTAAAAGACGCTTCAAAGTCGCATATGTTAGGTCTTTCTGAGTATTATCGATGATAAATCTCGTGGAATCATTTAAAATGGACATTAATTTGCTAGCATATTTGTCTCTGCTTAGGATGACTACACCGGAACCCTTATCTGGACGAAGCAGCAATATTTTTCCGTCTTTCATAAGTTTCCTCAATGCTTGCCGATTATCTTTGGTCAACACCTTAGATTAGGGAACTGGTTTCGTAACGTACTGACTTGTAATGTCCACTAATTTTGATTTCAACCAACTTTGTTTTTCATCATTCATGGGTCTTGGGTTTGACAACAGTTGATATAAATACTCGAATGAAGAGTTCATTATTCGCACTGAGGTGATGTGCTGACCTAATATCACATTATGTAATTTCTAAAGAATTGTGTATGAATGTGGAAAAAAGACAAGTCAAAATGTCGATAGTAAATAATAAGTAGTTTAGATATGTCTTCAAAAAAGTATAGTTAAATACGTAGGTTATAAGGGAAGTCCAATTTAAAGTTCAAATTTAAATTGGTGGCTTAGGGAGTCTTAGGTCTCAGGATGATTATAACATTTGAACCACGATTTTCAAAAGCCACTACCGGCTCATGGTAAAACGTACTTAATTCTACAATTCCCTTACAGCTTATCATTTTTACATCTTGCAAATAATGATGATCATTACAATTATACAGTACTGCAGAACATACTGAAGTATGTTCAGTGTGCCTAATGACAATAATAATGACTACTAAACAAATAGTAATAAATATAAACAAACTTACCCTGTATTTCTTGGCTAATAATTCTATTTGCGTAGTGGGGTCCGAACCAGTACTAAGTAATCCAACTATTGGCCAAAGCGGTGTTGACTCATGTAGACACCATCTAAATCAAGTACAAATCCTTCAGCGAATTTTCTACCTAAACAGTCACCCACATAAATATTTGCTTGGTTCATTATACGGTCTGGGCACCAGGCTCGAATAAGTAGAAGGCGTCTGAAAGTGTCTAGATTTGATTGGTAACCGTCAGGAATATTTTCTAACTCAGGCGAAGTTTTGTCAGTCCACTGACGCCAACCACGTTCATTACTAACAACTTGATCTAGAATGCTAGCAAATTGATTTAAACTTGATAAAGCCACTAAATTCAACCAAGTCATATCTGCAATCCATTTAAACGGTTTCGGTTTAACAGTGTTTAAATCCAAAGATGCACCACCTTTAAAAAAGAAGGAGATTTATGATGAACATATATTTGGTACAAGGACTGTTGATTGACAAACTCATCTTTTTCGAAGGGTGGGAATGTCTTACTAAAGACTGTTAAGCTGAAAGGAACTCTCATTCATTGCACGGTACTCTGTAATAAATTGACACATATATGAAGCTATTACACAACCACAGTTCATCATCCCATTACTTTAGTGCAACGAAGCTCTCAATGGGGACTATGGAAAAAAAGTTTTGAGCGTTCATTCAGGTAAAAGAATACTGAGTAGCTCAGCCTTTACTGTTACTTACAGTTTCGGCATAAAAGAGCTGAAATAGAGATTAAAACATGGAGCATAGAATTTTTACAATTTCTCAACATACACAACCTCTCGAATAGTATTAGTAAAGCTGCAGTATCAAAAAGGCAAAGTGGTTAGGTTATACTAAAGGGCCACAGCCTATGATAATTTGTTTGGAAACTAAATAACTCTCACTTCATAAATGATCGATTCTTTGACAATTTCAAGACAATGAAGAGGAAACGCTTACTAATACTTGATGTTCGATTAGATTAACTTCAGGAAAATTACTTGAAACATTAAGATATAGTTTAAATAGTTGATATTGACCAGAGAACTAGGAAATAGAAAGCATTGAGCAATTGTTATACTCTACTCTGCACTGCATATCATAGACTTGTTTTCTAGAGTCAATCAAAACCCTTTACCCAGAGAGTTGTACCTCAACCAAAAATTGGTAATCAAACTTTTATTTTCCGGAAAATAATTTGATAAAATTAAGACGGTCTTTAATGAGAAAGACTATTCATTAGTCCCAGGTTGTATTATTGATGTCAGCACCCGAAAACTATCGAGTAGCGAAGTTTCACAGAGCAAAACGATGGTAATCTAATGGTATCTAATTCTTATTAATAACGAATGAATATTAATGTTGTTATGTTCATGAATACCTTTGATAAAGCACTGAAATTCTTCATGCCTAACACGTCCAGCTTGCATATCGATTTTTAACGCTAACAAGAGAGAAAATGTCGATTTGTCGACTTCATACAAACCACGAATAATATATTTCCATACATCGTAAGTCATGTAGTCAATCACATTCGTAATGCGTTTCGTGGTAATTGGAGATTTTTCAGATCTAAAATATAGATAAAATTCATAGGTCAGTTTTATATTTATGTGAAAAATCAATGAATCAGAGCACAATGTAGTCAAAACCCTTTTAGATATCCGTCCTATCTACTTAGTATAGCACTCGTATGCTAAATTCTTTTCTTCTGAGATGAACTAGACTACTGTGGATTTCGGCTAAGTTAGCCCGAGAACTTTAATTAAATAAGCTTTTATATGTTAGGCTATAAAAATTGAGAAGAATGTTAGCATAGTAAAAAAATCTTAAACGAAGCAGCTGTTCAGTGCTTCCTGTTTTCAATGGTTATTTAAGATTAGTCGGTAATGTTACGTAAAGTAGTCCTTTCACCTTTTGTTTTTAAACTTCACAAGCTTCAGTTGTGATCACACTATTCCATACACCTAAATTGAAGGATGATAAGTAGACTTACTGAAAACAAGTAACGTAATATTCGATGGATTATAAACTTAAATAGATTAAAATCAGCTGTTTTTAAGTACTCATAACTTATTTAAATACAAAATCTGAAAATTCATTCCTAACGGTTCTTTTTAAAATGTGAGTGTGACGAGTAATGCCTCCCACAGTACTAGTTAAACATTAACAACATATTAGTCCAAGAATTTTAGTTTAAAAAGAAATCTAATTGGCTTCTGGACACTTATGAAGTTATAATTCTATATAGTAAAAGGATTTGAATCCCCTTCAATCAGGTGCCAAAACTTTCATTATAACTGAATTTCTTTATTCCCTGTGCTGTTTGATACACCTGTGTACCAAAAATACTTTAAAATGAATAAACTAATGATCAATCAAATAAGTTCCTATCAATTTTACTTTCACTAAGGTCCTACATACAGACTTGATTAATTACTTCGTACCATTTTAGGAGTGCAATTATTCAATAAATCAAAATTATACAAATTACCTTGATAATGACTGATCGAATAGCGCTAAAAATTGACGTAAAGATGTTTGATACATACAGTTGATCAAGCTCATTTCAACAATTAAAAAGTATAATACTGAACCTCGTGTTGCGATCGGTCTATATTCTTCTCTGGCACTAGTTATCTGAATTTCAGTTTCAGAGGCAATTTCCAACTTTCTTGATACATCACTAGCTGTTACTTTAGTAGAACTTAATACGTCAATCAAATCAACATCATCTACCAGTGAACCTTGTACACTTGCTAAACGTGATAATAAATTATCTTCTAGTTCTTTAATTTTCGTTTTATTCGATTGCACATCAAGCATTAATTGAACACGTTGAGCCTCCAGTTCATGTCGTTCACTTAGTATAACACGTCCAAGTAATTGCTCTTCTAGACCTTTCATTGTGACTGTGAAATCAATAATAGAAGTTCTAGCAGATATTTCAGGTGTAAATGATGGATTGGGTAATTTGGTTGTAATATACAATCGGAAGCAAGGTAATACGTCAACTTCTTTGTCAGCGATCTTTACCTAAATAATTAAATGAAATTACAAAACGCCATTATGAAACTAAGTGTTAAAACAGTAACCGAAAGAATACATTGGAGATGCACTTCAATTTAACTCATAGAACGTTTTGGCCTTAAAAATAGTTATACAGGCTTGTAGATTAGCTCAGGATTTGAAGCAACTTCGAAACATATTACTAACAGTTTCTAATCAGTGACTACGGATTCTTTTCTTGTGTAATCTACGGAATTTCTAAATCACATTGGATCAAACATAGCCTAACATATTAAAACTCAAACAGTTCATTTAATATTTCCATCTTTAAATAGGTTTACACGAGATATTCGCAGTATATGCTACTCTTCGACAAACAGTTTTATCAACAGAAACATATTCGAATTGTCTCCAAACTATCATGATATGCAAAGATTGGGAACTTCCTTAATAGGGCTACACTATTTTATTTCACTAAAAAGCCATCTCATTGGTTTTCAGAGGAGTTTAATTATTTATTTTAAGACAATTTAAAACAAAGAATAAGCAAGAAACTGATATAAGAATAGAAAAATGTACTTTTAAGTATTCACAAATATATTTTAAGGATAATGTTATCCTTTATTTAAATAAACTGTAAGTTATTAGTTGTTACCACTTTCAGGTACATCGTTATTGTAACTGGTAATAATAATATTGGCTATCGTACTTATGTAGAACAAACCGAACGTTCACATAATATTCTCCAGATGTAAATTAGTAAAGAATGAAGTCACGACCGAATACATAACCAAGTGTGGTAACCGGGTTCAGTGACACAAACTCATGGTGGGCTATGACTGATCTTAGATGTTCGGAAATGATATCTGAAGAGTACTCTGAAGCTTTATTTTAAGTTTATCAGTATATCATAGATAGGACGTTTTGGTAATTTTCAATTATTGTAATAACTCCAAAATTCAGGTTTCCATCAGAGGTTGCATCACTATCCTTAGTGAATGGAGATCCAAAAACATTGAAAGCTTTGGTGAGATTGTGTAGATGATAGTGACTATCACTACTGATGACCTTTTCTCAATCTCGTACTGGTTGTTCTGTCATTTTAGTTTCGAAATCTGTAGGAGCTAAGATCCATCGTGGGTGAAGTAACAGGAGAGTCTTTGAAGAAAAGCAGAATGAAAGAAATAATTCGTTGATTGCTGTCATAATGTTATGATAATCACCTTGAAATATATGAGAGGTTTTAAGTAGATTAATTTAGACCTCCATTTAAAGTCAAAATCACACAAGATACATATTTCCCAAAACTTGCACTTATAATTAAAATATATAAACTTCTACAACCTTCAATCCCAAATAAACATGTCTCTTATCTTTCTTACTATACCTTATGAATTGAACCTTGTTTGATAAAATTTTTCTCCAGTACATTATCCATTGCTGGATCTAAATCTTCGCCAATATCTTCAATCAGTAATGGACGTCCAGTTGACAAAGCATCTTCTAAGTGTTGTCTGAAATACTTATTCCACAACGTAGTTATAATCAAGTCATGCTTTTGCTCACGACTTTTTATCCATGATTTTCCTTGCCCTTGTGGATCGATTAGTAAGGGATAACGACTCGCTTGGTCAACAATGATACCGTTTTGTACGGACAATTCATCACTGGGTAAACCTTGAATTTTCCATTCGCCAAGCTGAATACAACAAATTGAATGGATGTAATAGAAATAATCTGTAAAAGAATTTCTCAAAGTGCCATATATTTTTAATATTACTGACTTCAGTTAATTTAGTTAAATCCACTCATGAATATAAAGGGCCTTATTTAAACAAAGGACAATATAGACAAAAACCTGATGGAAGGTCAATCCTAGTTGATGAACTGAAACACCTTTTGGCATATAGTGTGATGTGTGCTACTGGTGTCGACAGATATAAGTAGTATGTATAATTTGTGAATCTTTTAAACCAGTGAAAATTGTCCGAACCAATGTATGAATACAATATTATAAGGATAAAAACACGGTTGAGTCAATGAAATCAGTTAATTGAAGGTGGCTAATAATTCAATGGATAAGTGAACGAATTTACCCAAAAGAAATAAAAAAACAGATTATCGGACACATCTTTATCAAGCAAACATTTAACGAGAAGTGGTTGACGATTACGAATAAAGAATTCATCAATAGTTAGTAAATCCTAATCGCTATTCTGTGAGACCATAATTTATCGACGACCTTTGAGCGACGCTAAAGTGACCTTGGGAATGTCCACATACTAGCTAGTACCAAATGAGGGTTATAAACCATGGTGAGAAACCACAATTAAGATTGACTGTTGATGATTAAGGGTTAGGAATTAGATTTATGGTTTTCATCACGAACTGACATCAGCTAAAAGGCCAAAAGCGCTCTTTAACCAAATGAATGAATGAATTTCACGCCAAAATCCAAGACCTTTACCTTATATCTGATTGGTTCGTCCATAAATTATAGTCTCACCGACTATCATAGTGATGGTAGGGACAAACAACCAAGAAAACTTTAATACTGTGCTTAGGTAACCAAGTTTTCGAGTTCCAGTCTGAACCAAGCGAAACCAGATAGGAATGACAATTTTTTAAATTTTTACTCAGATTTTCTTTAGTTAATAAACTCTTGGATAACTAGATTACTGAATATTTTCAGCTATTGACAAGGTTAAACTTGTTATTACGACTCTGCTGATTGGCAAAACTATTGATATCATTGAAGCGACCGAAGTGATAACCTCGATGAACCGAATAAACTACACGAGGGAGAATAAATAGCCGACTGATTATGTGAATAAATCTTAGGAAGTGAAAGCTATTATACAAGTGCCAATTATGCGATCGATATAATATGATGGAGAGTTCCTTATTGAATATGAAAGACTAACTATGAATAAATATCAACGATCCATTACTTCTAACCACTGTCATAAGACCGAGTAAAACAAATATTTGTCCGGAAAAGAAATGTATACTAGTTAATTATAATATTTATAGCTTAATTTTGTCTAAACACATAAAATATATGATTAACTAACTTGAGTTGGTCGAGTTAACATGGAAATTAAGTTAACTATTGTAGATCCTGGTATATTATATTGTCTTAATATTCTCTGCCATGACTGGTATAACATTTGTCTAAACTCTTGATTGAATGGACCGCAGTAAGAAAGAAATCCAGTTGCAACAAGTACATCACCAACAAGACTATAAACGTAGGCAGAAATAAAAAACAAATTTTGAACGCTTATTAAGAAATTTTTTAATTTTGGTAGGTGCGCAAAAATGAGAAAAATTAAGTCCCTAACGGGGAACTAAAACGTATGTATATATTCTATGTTCATTAAATCTTGTCCTTTCGATGTTATTGAAACATGTATTGTACACGTAAAATTACTTTCATCTCAAATAATCACAATGTTGAAGTCAGATCGAGTATAGAGGACCTTCAAGAAAGTAATATGAACAGCTTATTCATTCATTGTTAGAAGTGTCAAATATTGGATGCCAACTTATTGATCTAAAGGTAACGCGTTTACCACTAATTCTGAAGACATTAGGTTTTGTTCTCATCATGATCGTTGTTGCTCACTGACTAGAAGTCCCATGTGGGCTTTCAATGACTGCCTACCTAAAATCAGTCCATGCAATGAACTGCAAACTGGTCAGTCTCCATAATCCACTTATACCAATCTAATTCATCAATCTATAGGTAATTGTAGGCTCTCTAACTAGAAACAGCAGATATTTTGACTACACAGTATGGACTGTATTCAACTGGGAAGTATCGAAAAACAACTTGGTTAATCTATTTTGATCAGATCAATCAAAAGCCAACAGTATTAATGATCAGATTCTTAATTACTTCACAACTATTTTATCACTGAATAAGGTTAGCTCAAAAGCCGTTGAAAACGAGAAAAAAATGGACGTCTGACTGAGACTTTTCAGCAGAGTTCACCTACAAACTTGGTCAAGATTTAGTCCGGGACTTTCAGACCTTAGATAGAGTATAATACTTTTAAGTTACTGAGTTAACTATTCCGTGAGAAACGATTGACTTCTTCACTAGTAAAAACAGAAAATAAATTTATCATTTTAAATTCATGTCAGGTTTTCAAACTGATTCATTTTGAGATTTAATACAAATGTGTATAACATAATAATATGTGGACTTTTTTCTGTCCTTTTACATTTATAATATGGTGTATGGTTTGGTACAAGCATCACGAATCGAATTCAATTTACACAAGTTTATAGGTTATAGCTATATCCAAAGTAGCTTTATCTTCACTTCTAGCAAAGGCGGTTGACTAGATGAAATATTTTGAAATTCACCAAACTCTTTGAATTGATTTTTCATTTGCTGTGGTTATAAGACAAAGGTGTTTCCCCACATTTTCTTGTTCGCATACTGAGATAACTGTTAGTTTGGTCCTTTTCATAATAGTTCTGTGGTAAGTTCTTTGAGTTTACATGTTTATGCTATATATATTCTAGAAACAGTTGATTTTCAATGTAGATTGGGATCTAGAATATATTTCATATGATGTAAAGTTCACTCTTTCATCAACAACCTTGTAAAACGAATACTTGTTCATACGCTTGGGGATTAGTTACTTGCCTGCTCGTATTCGTTTTTGAACTTATGTTGTCTGCAACGTAAAATGCAATTTCTTAATACTTACTTTTGTTTCCTCATTCAATGCATTTCGATAACGAATAAAACCTATGCTTAAAGGTGCATTATTATTGGCTCAAAGTAGGATACTATTCATGTTGCATCTACCTTAAGCCTAAGAGAATTAATCATTTAAAGTTATTATCACCACAAAGTTCTCCACTAAACTTACTGCATAGCATGTCACATTAAAGCCAATGAGTCTACAGAGTTTTTGTTAAGATGAAACGGGTTACAAAAGGATATGATATATAGGTTTCTATGTAATTACAAATACCACAGCAGATTGCCATATTTTTATATGACTTCCAGAAATAATATTTTTTGGAAATAATAGTGAAAAGTAAATAATTTTCTCTCATAACCATTCTAAATTTTGTTTGAATACTTAGAAACTTCGTTATGTAACTTCTCTGGTTTTCATGTATGGTGTTCAATTAGAATGCCCACTTTTAAAGAATTGAATATAGAGAACTTAGGTGTCAAGCGATAACGTAGGGAATAATAAGGGATGTAAAAGTGATATTATAAAAGCAAATACATATGATCACACTAAGGTAAATAACTTGATTTGATTGTAGACTGTGTAATGTATTAAGAGCTTAGGGTCAATTAAAATTTCACTATTCTTGAAATCATAAATATGTTTATCAAAAAGTCACAGAAAGTACCAAACAATTAAGCATATTGAAACAAAATGGCTTTAAAGATTTAATGTGAAAAAAGCTATCGTATAAAGTCGTCATCAAGAGAAGTAATTCACACATACCATTCGACATTTTCTTTAAATGCCTGACTCTGTTCTGTCCAGCGTGTTTGTTCATCTCCTAAACTCCCGATAAGTTTTGAAGCGGCGGTCATTTTACGTCGACACAGTTCAGCATCCTCAATTAGTGTATTTTTCTTACGTAATGCTTCTTCATAAACTGCTTGAACTTTAGCTAACTCAAGTTCTTTTTCATCAAGTATTGCTTGAGCATCCTATAAAAGCAAGTATTGAAAACAAGAAGAACTAGGTTTATCGGAGTCCATAACAACCACAGTAAGTTAATAAAGGATTACGTTTTGATCCGGATCATATTAAGTGATTTTATTATAAATTGCTGACGTTTTCTTCAATATTTGGCCGAAACGTAATAAAATACATCTTCTAAGTACAGTCTCTGTTGAGTGTAGACGATAAACATTCCAATGTTTAACAACTCTCACTGAACATGTTGGTCATGATATACGTCACTTACATAACAGAGAGGTGAGGAAGAAAAATAAGATTTTCACTCATTTTTGATTGTCTACAAAATGACAGCATATATACTAACAGAACGATTAGTACTGTGCAACTTAAAATAATTGTAAATTCATCTAAGTTACCACATTATTATTACTGAATTGGTGTACTTTCTAAGGAGAGGGATAGTAAATTTATATACGGCAAATAGAGTGCCGCATGAATCTATGTTACTTGTAACAATTTCAAAACATAAAAAATGTTAAAGCATTGACTTTTACCACACGAAGACAACAAATCCGATGATCTGGGTTAAACAAACGAAATGTAGTACCATCAGAGTTGTAATAAACATAGGAGTCACCCCCACCGGATTTAATTTTCACTTTTCTAACTATTTTATTCCTGGGATGATCTTGTAGTATAACTGAAGATTAGTCACTATACCTGTGTAGTTTGCTAAAAAAAACTATTCGATTCCTTGATCAAAGTAGAGACAAATTCCAAAATTACTGCAATTGTTATTATTTTAATATCAGTCTAGCTCTGAAGGTTCACCAAAATCCAAAATTAATGACTCAACAAAAATAGTAAGCAGGTTAATCGAAGTTTAAAAAGATTTGTCAACACGGTATGACCCTATAAAAACTCTGGATAACTCGTACCATCAGGAGCTGGTTAAGATCAGATAGGATCATTTACTACTTTCTTATCGAGAAATTGATAAAACTGAGTTTTAGATGCAATGAGATTAATTTGGACTACGTTTCAGACACTTATTTTAGTACTCAAATGTTCTGGTAACATGCTGTCTAAATAGATGAAGCTACTTATAAAGTCACAAAGTGTACATGTAATCAATCAGTAACGTAAAACTTTTACATTATCATAAAATTAACAGTGGGTCTGCTAAATTTATTTAAGTAAGCCCTACAGACTGCCTACGGTGTGTTCTTTTATTTATCAGCTGAGAGTCATGTTTTAAGAAAGGAACATAACCTGAAGGAATGTACTGCTTCAAAATGTGACAATGATAGCTTACGTTCAAGTCAAGCATAGCTTTAGCTAATCTAGCTTCTTGTTTTATTAAGTTATCTTTCATTGGTAACACGTCTTTATTGATTGTATAAAAGTAAGCCATTGCTTTTGTCCATGATAACAAACCAGCGACGTTACCACAAACTTTTTTACCGACTTCTAGTGTATAATCTTCCATATTTAAATATGGTTCCAACAATTCAACAGTTTCGCCGTTAATAGTATCTTTTGGAAAGGACATCAGCATTGACAAGAAACCAGTATTTGTCATCAGTTTTAAAGATTCACTCCAATTAGGCTTCGGACAGGTCCGTTCTGGATCAGGTTGATATGGTTCAAGATGACGTTGAAACAAAAGCAATACACAATCCATGATACGCATAATTAGGTGTGGTGGTTTTCCTAATCTTCTAACTGTAGCAATATCACCTGGTTTTATAGTGTTCAATGCATCTTCAGCTTCTTGTAGGGCTGGTTTAGCTGCTTCTAATTTCGCTTCCGCTAAAACCTTTTCACGATCAATGTCATCAACTATAGCTTGAGCTTTATCTTTAACAACTTGCACTTTGTTTCTTACTTCAGTTGCTGCATTTTGTTGAACAGTGACCTAAATTGTCAAAAGGATAATAAACCAAAATTATAGACAAAAAGAGGAAGGGAAAATAACGCATTTCACGGAGCGAAAAACATCATAGTGACGTAAGTAAACATGGTTAATACTGTAGTCGATGTTCAATAACTTACTAAATTCTCAAGTTGTCACTTCCTGTCTTCAAAGCCAACCTTCAGATCATTTATCATGGGTGCCTTTATTGAATTGTCTTAATATTAGTCTGAACTAACTTAGCAATTACTGTTGCAACAGTGTCCATATGTACGTTTGTAAGTAATTTTATGTATTGGTCTTATCAAGATGGGAAACTTATGCACAGTTTTGAACAGTCAAGCAGATGGATTACGTAACTAGTTATAATAATTAAGTTAACATTGAACTACTTAACTCAGTGAACATTTGACACATTCACATATTTCAGTAAGGATCAAACGGTAAAGTACTACACACTGGCTAGGATCTGATGGTCAAAAGTTTCGCGTCAGATAATTTCTGCACATATTGTGAACAATGCAAATATTTCCAAAATACTTTAAATTGTCGGAGTTATTTGTTAGTTAAATATTTGGCGAAAAACCACTTTATTGACGACCAATGTAAACCTAACACTAAGAAAAGCTATAATGATTGCATTTAGAATATGACAGTAAAACATTTGACCTACTGTCCGAAGTACTTCTTCAGCTTCTTTATTAGCAATATCAAGATCCTTTTCTTTCACGGCCAACTCTTTACTCAACTGAGCAACACTCTCTTGAGCCTCAACTAGTTTTTGTAAACCACCATCCATGCGTTGGGCTAAGTTCGCATAATGGTTATGTTGTTGCGAATATACTGATTTATAACTGCATAAAAATGATAGATAAGATTTTGGTGTGACGTGAGTTTGTCGTCTATATCTAGAATTTTGAAGGAAAAAAATCAAGGAAAAAAATTAAATACATTCATTTATATCTTGATTATATAGAATTATACGCGTTATAAAGTATCTAAAACGTCAGACAAGCTGCATAAAATTATGTGAAATGTAAAACATTTAAAAATCATTTAGAATTGCCAAATAAACCGACGAATAAGCTATAAAAGCAGCCAATGATATTTTTAAAAAGTGATACTAATTAAACAGAAAGTGGAACATAAAACGTTATTTCCGATATTGTACTGGTTTTCATCACTCATACAACGCCACTTCGTTTTTAATATTTGTTCAGCTACATCTAGAAAGAATTCACAATTTACCGAAACAGTTCATATTCCCATCTTAGTTGTTTTCGCAATACATACCCCCGGTAAAATCTCATAACAGGAGACGGAGTAACTTTATTAGTTAAGCATTCACAAATTAGCTTCATCAGGCCAGAGGACTTCATTAAAATCACAGTGTACAAAAACAGCCGTATTGACAAATTCAATGTACAATTAGATTCGACTCACCTTGAGAAATATTCTATGCACGCTTCAGCTATCCCATCATGTACTATACCCATCGTATTGATTAAAGCAGTTTTTGTCTGTTGTTTACAGACAATCGGGAAATCAATCAAATAATGATTAGCTACAGAGATTAAAGCTTCTTTTGGCCAACGATGAAACCAGTTAGTTGTACATCCCGATAATAATCCAGGGAATTTTAATGATCTACGACGAAACTTCTCGCCAACTGGGGAGAAACACAGAACAACATGGAGATTCTTTCGCGTTCTACTGAGGAAATAATCATTTAGATTTTCATTAGTTGGTGTTAAACGTGGATGCTCTTTTTTCATAAAAGGGATTAAATCTTGTAGAATTTCATCCGTTTCATCACGTGTAAAGAGGTTCGACATAATACCAGAGGAAAGAACATTATTTAAGTATTCTAGAAAAGCTTCATCTTTAATCTCTTGATCAGTAAAGATAAATGTGATACCACGTCCTTTTTGACCTGCTGTACGATATAGGAATTTCAAATCTTCCATTAAATTTGTAGTATTATAGGACCTAAGTTATTATCAAATGGTAGGGAAATTTTTGAATTAATACAAGATTAATAACCAAATAAGAATTTGAGGCAATTGGATGAATTTTGTTTCCATTACGAGTTTATATTTTAAATTTAAAAAAATATCATTCATTAGTGCTACAGTGATGCTTCCACTTATTTACGGAACTAACTATCCACTACTATACTGGTGACAGATATCAAGACTCTCAGTCTATATAGCGGGCATTATAGTCTTTAAAAAGTTGTTATGAAACGTAATTTTTTAAATCGATTATATTTTCTTACAATAAGAGTGGTTCTGTTTTATTTTAGTCGAAAGGCAGTTGAATGACTTAATAGATTATGATTTGTTATCAGGTCTTTGGGATTTTCTCTCCTTAAAACAAGAGAAATTATTAGTATCATGGGTTTAAAAACTTGCAAGTAATTCTCTCAATAAAATAACGCCAATATCGAAAGGGCAATACAAACATTTTATACGTATGAACCTTGGTGCGGACAGCAGTGTTTTAGTTGCGAAAAATAAAGACGCTAGATTTCATAAACAGTATAGATAAGGTTATATCAAGGCAATACGCACAGTACGCACATATGCCAATAAGAGACTGATCAGTTGGAGTCCTAAACATCAATGGGAAGATTCAAACAAACAATACCAAGTATAGATAAGTGTAATAACTAATGAGTTCCAGTATTGTAAAAACTAGTTATCTAACGGATTTTGTTTTCTATGGATATTTAATCTAATCTCTCCTCATTGTTAAATTAACCTAATCGTTCAAACAAATAATACAACTCTTATCATATCAATTACGTCTACATAGTTGTGGATTATTTTGTGCTATCAGCATCAAGTAAAACTAAGTATGTTACGGTTTTATCAGATAATTCAGGAAATTGGTATATCAAAATAAGCTTACCAACTCAGTCCTAAAAACCAACAAGGAAAAACTCCGGAATGCAATAAACGGTTGCATTCATCGACCAGAAGGGTAACTAATTAGATACATGCCGCTCAGTAAAGCTATTAACCCTTACTAGATTACTCGCAATTTTATCATATGAAGAATAATTGCACTACTCTTCTCAATTTCAATCTCAGAAATTGATGAGCTTACTGGAGATGAATAGCCAATGCCTAGAAACGGCAACTGTTGTGACTAATAAGGATGACATTTGAGCCTAATGAGTTCACATGTGTTTCTAAATGTGGGAGTATAAAGTAGTTACTACGCTTAATCAAAAGGGAAAAAAAAATGCATGTGGCAGGTTGCAAGAAAAGGTGAAAATTTAAATGCTTACCTTGTCAATGTAATCTGAAAAGTTTGATAACCAGCGATGTAAGATGCAAGTTTTGTAAATGACTGTTTCCCAGACCCACCGACACCAACCAGCAGAGCATTACCCCGAGGCATATATATAATTCGAGATATTCTCACAATTTGTGTTAATGTATCCCGAAAAAGTACTAGATTCATTCTTGCACCACGGACAGATTCATTATACTGATGTAAAAACATCTCCAAACGTGAAGATAATTGTTGAAATGATTCGATCTATAAGTAAAGTAATATAAAAGGGAACTTAGGCCTGACTGAGATGCGATTTTGCTTAAGCTAAAAAACACTATGCAATACTACACAAAAGTACAGGTGTTGTTCTTTATCACTGCAGTGGAATACTGAAATTCTCGTTTAATGAAGCCACTTAACGATTGCATCCTTGAGGCTATGGTAGATCAATTTATGAAAAAAATTAGTAATTTTATAAAATCTTAAGCTTAAATATTCATGAAGTACATGTCACAAACAGTACATTAGAATTAAAAATCGTAACTGACGGCAAAATGCAATAATGTGAATAAAATAAATGATTGAAATAAATTCCGTGTTAATGTTGTGGTTCAGAACCGGTACCAACAGCGCAGATGCATTCATTCTTTACTTTTCAGTTGATTTTGAGCTACATACTTGCACAATTTTTATTCTCGAACCATATTTCTAGTGTTTAGTATTTTTCACTATCATTGTTACTGTGATTATTTCGACTCCTTTTTATTCTTATTAGTTTCACTTCATCGTTTTGATGTGGTTTGGCAGCCCAGAATGGAGCAGATACCTGCCAGTCACTACGTTGACTAAAACTGACTGATTGGTGATATGTATCAACAAATAAGAAATTTAACTTAGAAATGAACTAACTTACTGGTTCATAAATCCTTGGTACTTCAACGATATAATCTTCAGGTTCATCACCGGTTGGTTCAGGTGGATCACTTTGTATGAGGTAAAAAGTGTAATCGAATGTGAGGTTATCACATAGTGTTTTAAATTTGGACAACTTTATGTTAAACGAAACGAATTCTTTTCGGGATAATCTGTTACTCATGTCTAAAATCTAGTCACCAAACGTTTAACGATCAGTATAAATACAAAGCAACACGTCACAACTAACTATGTCAGCAAAGTGTAAACAATTAACAGAGAAATTACAACACAGTCAACGGAATATTTTCATAACAGTTTTTCATAAAGACCACACATACTTATTGTGATGAAAATCGACTGACCGAAAAGATGAATGACGCTATTAGTTAAGGGTATTCTTGCTGATTTGTTTGATTTAGTTGTCACTAGAATAAATTGTTTCATGACTATTGAAAGAAGAAATAAAGTAACCATAATTGAGATATTTGACTTTGAACCTCGATATATTAATGAACGATTTTCATTATGAAATAGCATTTTTGACTGTGTTTATAGTTGCAACAAACAGTATATATTTTTTATATTCAGCTTATACTTCTTGCAAGTATGAACCTATAACTTTATTTGAAATCGAACTGAAAACGTTCTTCTCCATTTTAGAACATAAAATACTGACTTATTAGGTTTCATTTTCCAGTTATATGAAATGGTAATGTAACCCAACCTGAAAATTACTTTTGTTACAAAACGCCAAGCATTTATAAAATTGATTCTGATATACCAAGTTTCTTAAGAGGTAGTGAAATTTGGAGCATTAGATGTTCCAAATAACAAAAGTTTCGGTACCGACTATTTATAGTCGACACTAAATCCTTGATATTCATAAAACCAGACATCAATGACTCAGTTATCAGCATACCACTACATTGAGAACATGATAGAATCTGTAGAGCTACTAGTCAAGTCCTTGAAGAACTCTAAGAACTATTTCAATATCCAGGATGATAATGCTTATTATAAACTTGACTATTAGGTGCATTACTGTTGTTTTATTATAATGCTAATACATTTGAAGTATGATAAAACTAATAAAACTATCTTACCGAAGAAAATTAACGAAGTATGATGGATCGCCCTCAATTGCAGTCATATATTCCATCCCAAGTTCTTCTTTAACCAAACGCTTAGTTGTCATATGAAACCACTGGTGGTCATCTGCTGATACAAATCTGTAGTAAATAATAATTGAAGCATAAAAAGGGAGTAACACAACACTGTAAAGTTTAGTTAAACTTTCATCCAAAATAAAAAATTTCCTTCGTGTAAAATCTTCAAATTGTGCTCCACCAGTTTCTTATCAACTTAATATTATCCGACTACAACCCAAGAAATAAATAGTTAAACATGATGAAATATATTCATGACCTATCAACTTAGGAATGCCTGGGGTTAGAAAGTATTTAATTGATATCGTTAACGATAACTGATACTATTGTTGTGAACGAGAACTTAAATGGGAAAAATCAATTTATTGATTAATACTACTACTATTTATCATGTCAAATTTCTTTATCAGAAACCAAAAACATGAATGGCTTTAAAACCGTAATTTAACAAATTATGTCATAAAAACCTTTATTCAGTAGAATCAATAGACAAACAAACCTGTCTGCTAATACGCGTGAGCATTCATGACGCCATAACATCATTAATCGTTCTGTATTGTTGATTACTTCAGGTATTGTACCAATCATTCCTTGCCATATGCGACTAAGATCACGTAGATTAAAAATATAATGGAATTTAGCTGGTGTTGGCAACATTTTATTTTTAATTTTTTGCCATAAAATCCGTGTTAACGGGACAAGAAGCTTGACTGTTTCGGTTACTGCAGAATCTGTGAATCCTCTTTCAGGACAATAATGTCCTTGAGCTATTGCACCAAATATTTTGTCGATAGATGTGTTACTTGGCAAGGTGCAATTGAAAATGCAAAAATGTCGTTTTAGTCTATGTGGTATATCGTTTCGACCGGAGCCTGGATGTATCATGGCTGCTAAGAATTGAACATCAACAATTGATGTAAAATCCCCTGGTTTTTCTAGATTGTAAAACCCTTTCATTTCAATCAATTGGCGGACAATTTCGTTTGTTACCTGGAAAAAAAATGTGTACCATAAACACCTTATTTTATATATGTCAACTATTAAGGAAATTATTCCATACAAAGCTAGGCTAGATCAGCTTTAAATTGATGGAAAACTGACTTCTATAAGTAGTTCTTAAAACAGACGTAAATTTTGAAATTTTTGTGTTTCATCGAAAGATTCGCTCACTAAACATCAAGACTAATGCTGTCTACCACTAAGGATGAGAAGTTCGTGATCTCAATATCAACTCTAAGAAAGGATAAGTTAACCATAGAGAACTTTCCGTTTGTATAGTAAACTGCGTTGGATTTTAGATTATTCTTCAAGTGATCCTAATTTCAAGGACGAAATTACTAAATTGACATTTCCTGCTCTTATCTAGTTGAACATCCCATTCTCTTAACTTCAATCAATTTTTATTATTTGAACTACAATGAACTGAATTTAAGTAATAATGAAACGATAGTTTTTGATATTTCATATCAGGGTTATTGACTACAATAGTGTGTTTTTATCAAAGTAGGATAAATTTATTTTCATTTAGGGCAGTATTATGCTACTTGTGAAGCGCACTACCAAATAAGCGAGAGAAAGGAGCAAAGTAAATTTCTATTCAAACCTGAATAAAATTTGTCCTGGCCACGTAAAATACTTTCCCATACTGACTACTACTGAAAATTTCCTTTTGTTTTACAACTTTCATGTTGAGTTGTGTTTACTCGTATGCCTATCTAGTATACCTCTGTAAGTTCTTAAGAGTTGCTTACTGCGATATGAGGATAAATCTTAAAACAGTCATAATGTTAGTGCACTTATTATCAATAGAAATACGCTGAATTAAATCTCAACAACTTTGACTATTATCCACTGAAACAGTATTGCTGATTGTTGACTCCTTATAAAGAGAGTAAGAACAAAGATTTGAGCAGAGTAACAGGAATTCAGTTTAATATATTTCATTTTATGACATAGCTATACTATACTTATATGTCTTAAAAGTAATTTCCAACTAAACTCTTTCATGTAAGTAATTGAAACCCATATTGTAATTATGAGTTTTACGTATCACAAGTTGTAAGCAGATGATGAGGACTAATCGAAATAAAATGAATTCATGACGTTCTGCTCAAATCTTTGTTTTTGATCCCTTCAAAATTATAAAGAGAATCATATGTATGAAAAGACTTATTAATCTACACCTTTGTTGAGCGGGTTTCCTCTATTGAAATACTGAAAAATGATTAGGAGCCCAATTCAAATTGCCAACTATACTAAACTCAATAGATATTATATTAGATATATACACCAATTAAACATTGGTAAATATCTTGTGAATTAAAAGAGACAATGTAGTTATGAACATCAGATAGTATATATGAGTCTCAGCAATAAATTCTGACCCCTATAATCAGAGTATGAATAAATATATTCTCTTAGATTTGTGAAATCCTGACTCAAAGTTGGTTTGGATCGTTAACTGACAGTGGGAGCACATTATAGAATACTGGATTATTGTTTCGAGTCTTACGTCATGCCAGACATGACGACGGTTGGCAGTAAATAAACTACTTGTATCAACAAATTAACATTTTTAAGTTAAGAACACTCCAATGAGAATATTTTCTGAAGCAAAATTGATATTGTTCAAGATTTTTATTTCCATGAGATATTACATCAAGTCAGCAGAAGACTTTGATTCATTCTAGTAGTTTTATGAAACAATCCAAAGTATTTGTAGCTGAAATAGAGAGTTATGGTGGTAATGTTCTTTCGAGATCGAAACATGGAATAGCTAACAGTTATAACTCCTACGATACATGTTACAGTTTAGAAACCATCTCTTAACACCACACTAGTTTTAGCGATGATTCAGTCTTACTCTTTCTAAATTGGAGACTAGTTGCACAAATTGACTAATATGACTGTTGTATAATATTAATTATATACCAGGATGGTAATTAACAATTAGTTATACTCTTTCTCTTACTCAAATAAGATCCTAACAGCAAAGTACTGTACTGTAGAAGGTTGACGTCACGGCCATCAAATCATTACTTGATTGTATTCATGTCGAAAAAGGATACAAATAACTCAACTAACCTGATCACCCCATTCATTTATCAACGGCATACTGATGTCGTCGATGAAAACTGTCATTTTTCTACCAGCTGGTGGACCATACGTGCTTCCCATCCGTTTATCGACAAAACTTTCTATTGCACGTTGAAATAACAACGGTGTCGTAACACTTGAAAAGTTCAAGGTTTTGAATATATGAAATTCAGGATTTTGACTACTTAAATATTTATTGAGTATCACAGTTTTAGCTGTACCCTAGTAAAGAAGTGATTAAGAAAAATTGCATATAAATACGTGAGTTAATATTGCATCACTTTTATCACGTGAATCAGTAAGAAAAGTTCACATTTCTGCATTAACTTGTATCATTGATAGAATATATGAAACTGGCATTTACTCTACTTTTTAAAATGTGTAGGTGATTGAAGTAGGTTACGACACCGAATGCATTTTCTCGTCAAAGTAGTTAGTTCTATAAAAATGTTTACCATCCAAAACTGGAGGTTATTCGTCACGAGTCAGATAATTAAGTCATAACGACAGAGAAAATTGAAAAGTTCCTTCCATTAAACGCTTGGATATGTTGATTTTCACATAAGAGACATGAAGAATTTCAAAGGCATAGTGGTTTTAGATAGCCATATGAAGTTTGAAAGTTTAATTTTATGCTTATGAATTTATATATATACCAGTTACGTCGTATTAGTATTTACCTTAAGCAAAACAGAGGATGAGGAATCAGGTTTTTTCTTTAGTTTAGACTAAAAGAAGTTTATTTAGTAGTTACGAGTCACAGCTTAACGATCATAGTATAGGAGACTGCAATGTTTGTAGTTGATTACAATTAAGACCCTCTTTTCGACTAAATATGAATGTGATGATTACTCTGAATGTGTTCATCTGTTAAAATTTGATACAGACAAGTGATAATCCCCATCAAATTAGTCAAATTTTAGAGAAAAGAACTTCATCGATCACCTGCTTATGACTTATTGTTCAGGGAACAAATTCATCAAGGTATTGTAAACATGATGAAATATGCTCGGTCAGTAAAAGGATTTTTCGAGTGGATTTAAAAAATTTTCATTATTTAATTAGTGTTATTTTATAGTATATTTATTTGATAGTGACTAATTTTTTCGGGAGCATTTCATTGTAATTTCTTTTTAATCAAACATATGAATTACCGTAAAGGTTTTAGTTAACATAACTTACTTGTTCACCAATTAACAGTACACATTTTTGTTGTTTGGAAATTAAATCTATAAGAAATTCTGTCCTCACATTGTCAACATTCGGTACAAGTAACGAGGAATATTCTGGTGTATGATCAGTTGGATATAGAAATTCATCAACTTTTGTATCCCAATGAATCCACTCACCTAGATCATTTACTAAGTAATCAAATATTGTGGAGTGTGATTCTGTAGAGATTTCTGGTAGGTCAAATTTTACAGTTTCATGTTTCCGTAAATATGCCTCGAATTTAGCACGATCATCACCTTCAAGAAAAGCACCAATACTCCACATCAATGCAAATATGTATATACGTTCCATATACTTGAATGTTATCTAAGAAATTAAAATTTATGAAATTGGACTGTTGGTTAACATATATTTCTCATTAAGATAATATTAACTGTATCAAGCTGAATTTCAGTGGATATTTTCGAAAAATTAGCCTTATAAGTAGTACAGGACAGCAATTAAGTGTATTTGTTCGTATTTAGAGAGTACGTTTGAGTCCTGATAACAAAAGAATGTTATAAAAAAATAAGCATCTCTTTATAGTGACACTGAATGAACGATAGTTAATAGTAAGAGCCCTGAACACAAGTTTTAATAATGTTACCATTAATCAGAAATGTCACTTTCAAACTGTAAAGTAACTTCGTTTTGAAATTTAAATACGATTTGACCGGTGCCTTTGTCGAAAATTTCATCATTGAGATAACTAAACTTTAAATTAGATTTATAATCACTATAAAGCAGAAAGTTTCACGTTTCCTGGTTCCCATTACTGAATTTAAAAAATGTCGAGTCATGAATCTCATGCATAATACTTTAGAATTCCATCTAGCATTTAGATTTTTAACTTGTTAGTCAGTTGATTGTTATGTTATTCTAACTGAAGTTTAAAATAAAGTTCGACAACGTTTGCTTCCTGAATTCTTTTCTATAATATGTTTTAGTATTTCAACCTGTCGAAGTACAGTCTTTAGCTAATCACTAATTACTAGTACGAATAGGTTGATCACCGTTAACTGTTTTTTAGCATATGTTATAACCAAATGATAAAAAGTAAATGAATATATTCAATCAGTTATTTAAAACAAATATGTAGTCATGAAAACTTCCTTTCGGGAAATAAGTAGGAACAGAAGTATTGTAAAATAGAACTCAGGTTATTAATTTTGACTGTTAATGGGTGCGTATTGCTTTTTCCAGCCATATTACCTAAGTTAATTCAATCAACAATTGACTTCTACAGTTAAATAATCACAAATTTAAGCATAAAGTTTCATAAGATAAAGATTATTGTGGACGAGACTTACGTTAGTAAAACTTGCATGTTGTTTGGTATAGGAGCATGTAGAAAACTGGTTAAAAGCCAACACATAAGATTTAAGGTTCCTAAATAACTGATATAAAATATCGTACATCCTGAGTGGTATAATTCAAAATCGATAGTTACTTCATGGATACCGTTGCCTACCTTAAGCGATTAAGTTACGAAAACACAAAGAGATTAATGTATCGAGACATGTCTTGAAAGACAAAATTATTCCACAACTTATTTCTTGTTTTTGATCAAGGAATAATTTGACATCTCGTATAGCAATCGAAGTCTACAGATAATGAAATCTTTTTTTAACACCAAACTTTTACTTTACATTCATTTGGCCTTTGAGGATATGCACCACATTTATGTTCAGTTCTAACCGTCAGTTATTCTATCTGTTTAATAAGAACACTCTTAACCAAGTGAAGTAACAAGTATATGACTCTCCTCTAGATTCGATTATAAAAATATTTTCTGTTAATTTTAGCTGACAACAATCATGAAACATTTTTTTATTAAGTACGATTCATTTTTCCTCAATCACTTAATCGGAGATGCATGTAATATAATCTGACCATGAATGTTTAACAACATGTGTGAGCTATTCAGGTTGAAGTACATAAAACAACGTCAATACTTAGTCGGCCAGTGTATATGCAAAATAAACATTAATCGTGTTTTTTTAGTACAAAACAAATCTTTGAAGTTTTTTAGAAAACAAGTAACGCTTCAGTAAATTAATGTTACTGAAACGACGTTGTCTTTAATTCACTTTCCAAATATAAATAAGACTATTGGCCAACGAAATTTTAAGATTCATGAAACATTTATCAAAAGCCAGTTATGGTTCGAAAAATGAAAAAAGAATATTGAAATATCAACAGCATCTACCGGTCCTGTAAGTTTGCGGTACATACATCAATAGCATGAGGACATAGCTTCAGAGATAATTTGTAAGGCATTATATTGTACTCAACTTATTAGAAAAGGGATAAGTAAAACTCAATATAAAGAATGTGTATCTACTTGCCGAGGGAGAATCCTTTTCTTCTGGCTTAGGTAATATTCCACTCAGGATATCGCAAGCTTGACGAATCACAAATGCTTCTAAAACACTCATCTTAAAGTTCAAATGCCTAGTTGCATATTGGTACACACTTTCAAACGATGCCGTAAATAATTGCAACAACTGGTCAGCTTCACTTTTTCCACGTGACATTAACCATCCTTGTAGTATTGGCAACCAATGTAATGTAGTTGTACTAATGTATACCATACCTGAGGAATGAAAAATGTTTAAGATTTGGAATTTTGCAAAACTTGGACTCTATACAAGAATTTTTAATATATTTTATCTGGTACTCAGAAGAACATAAATATCTACTTAGTTATTGGCCGAGTACTCTAATTAAAAGCTTTTTAAATGAATCGTTCTGTTGATTTATTTTAATTAATGCCACTTTACCATTTTTAACTAAGACGTTTATATTGTTTGTAAGCATTTTCATCTAAATTCAATGTTGCATATAACGTTTTCGTTCAGTAAAGACTTCTGTTTTATTCTATTCGATAAGATTGTCAACTTCTGCTTACTTGGACATACAATTTGACCTTATTTAGTTATTTAGAATAATTTAGATCACTGTTAGTTGTTCATAGGATGATTACTGAAACAAAATAACAAACTTTCCGTTCAACTTAGGCACTCGGGGTTTCAAATTTTTGATCATTGATCCATGGTCTATCAAGAGTTAATGGTATATTACCAAGGTTATTTTGACTTAAATAAACGGTATAATTAGCACCATTGAAACTTATCTATAGGGGTTTTGTACTTACAGAAAATTTGAGGTAAATTAATTGGAGCAGATAAATACTATCACAATCAATAAAAACGTTACCAACCTTTAGGTGATTTTTATAGACGAAAAACCGCAAGAATAAGTTTAAATAGACAGTTGTTTTAAAGTATTTATGGAACTTCTAAAAGCTTTGCAATTTATTTACTTACCGTTTCTTGAAACAGTTGCTGGTGACGCATTGTCAACATTATCCACTTCAAAAATAATCTTACAACATGGTGCCATTGGAATACGATCACCATTAGCCAGTGTTAAAAGTTTACTGTCATCAAGAACCGAGTTCAAATTTTCAATCCATAATGCATCAACTGGACCATCTAATATAAGCCAGATATGTTCACCCTTCTTGGCTTTCAATGTTCTTCTCCATAGCGTGGAAAATATGCCATCTGTCCAATCATTTGTAGCAACATCTAAACGTCCAAACATTTGTGAAGCTGTAATCGCTTTCGGATTCATTCGCATTTCACGATGTGGTTCAAAGCACTCAGTCATTGCCTGTTTTTGAATAATTAAAGTATGAAACTCTTCAAATGCTGACTAAGAAAAAACACATCATTCTTTAATACATTACTCTTTCAGAAAAATCGAGTTTATGGAGGGTTTGTGGGTCAGAGTAGATTTAATTTTGAGTGGAACAGAATTTAGATTTTACTGGAAAGGTGTTATTAGAAATTTAAAAAGTATAAATGAATTTTGATGCAGTAACTTCCGTGTAATTTCTCATGTATAAGCGATTACTTTTGAAATCAATGATAAATAGTTGCATGTAACGAGGTGTAAGAATGATATTCAAATGCGAGCGCTAACTTACTATGATGATGTAGACTTTTTACACTAAATATTTTTTCACGTCATTCTGGTTTATGACTATTGGTAATTAGAAGCCAAATGTGCGGATTTTGTTTGTAGCATTTTGAAAACGAAACACTTATTCAGAAACCAAGACAAATTTAGTATCATAAATGGTTCAAATCACTTCTTTTTGTTAAGTTGATTATTGGCTAAATCTACTTTATCCTCGTCTATTGGAACTACAATGATTATCTGTATGATTTGTGATTGCCATTATAGTGGTGTTAACCTTCAGAAAGTGTGTGGCACTGCAGTATATCTGGTCTAGGATCACACTTTCTGATAGTATTACCTATGCTAGGAAAAGGGTTATTCGAACTTTTGAAACACTGGGTAACAGCCCACTGATTCAATAACGGAACAAAAGTAGCTGGAGAATAAAGCATATGATGACTGACTTTAATGAGAATGTAAACTGATCAATAATATTAAGGGCTTCAGTAATATACAGTAAATGAATATTAACACATATCAGATATATGCTAAATGTTTGATTGACAAACAGCTAAGCAAAATCATATGTTTTAGAAAACCTATTTTTCGACTGGAAGTGTTAAGTATTTTCTTATCGTCATCTTTTGCAACGATCTTGTGCACTATGATATTACTTACCATCCATTATTAAACATTAAGTCCAAATAAGCGTGAATTTTTAAACTCACTTGATCAAATCACTTTGCAGATGTAATGGCTAACATGATTTTTTTTTACTTAATAAAGCTCTTCAGTCAAATGTTTGATCCTATTTCGGGACCAATCAACATTTCATAATCTCAGCTACTCACATGAATCAACCATGGAATCCTTTTTATAATCTCATGATGAGTAGTTTAGTTTGAATCACATTTGGGCAAAATCTAATAACCAGTATGTGCCAGTTGAAATTGTATTGTTTTGTGACTTGAAAAAGTTTAGATAACATAAACGAATATGATCACAATACCTGCCTTCATATTAAGGTAATTTATTCACAAAATAGCAGAACATTTGGCCACAACCCAATTTATGAGTACAACAAATTTAATTGATCTGATTCACTATTAGTTACTAGCTTCCCCTTAATGTGAATAAAAAAACAATGAACTATACACAAAGATTCTTGATCCATCAATACTATATTACAACTCAATGAACGCTGAGGGATAAGCTAATAATATAAAAATGTTGAGAAAAAGTTGTAGTGACGTACCTTCATCAAAGCTTGAATACAACAAGATTTACCAGTACCTGAAGGTCCTAATGTCATCATACCATGACGAACACGTTGAGTTTCATACAATTGTATAACTTTAAGAAACCATGGTGGGTGGCTAATTAAATGTGATTCTGCTAGATTTTGTTTTATAGCTTTTTCAAGATCTGGATAGCCACCTTTATCTAATGAAATACCTTTCATAAAAGTAGAGAAAATTAATTTATGGTAGTTTGTAAAAGAAGTTAAGTGATTTAATATCAGAAGCTACAGAATGAATGTCTCAAATTTCAGTTCAAAGTCTAAAAAATAATTTTAAGTACATTAAAAATGCCATCGAAAGTCATTGTTAGTTTGATTTGCTTTCCATTAGTTCTAGGGTTTTAGAAAAAAGTTTGTAAGAGTAGAAGGAACCCATATAGTTGATGTTTCCATTTATCAACATTTAGTAAATAATACTTAAGACAGTAAAAGCGTTCAAATAGTTTAGATGCTCTTGTACCTCTCTCTCCAACCGAGCAGTTACTAGATTTTCTAAAATGTGTACACCAACTTGTATTTGAAACAGAAATTGTTGTGTCTTTACGCCTGCTCCTTATCACGTGATTTATTCGCCAATCAAAATACGACTTATTCTATCTTGTACTGTACTAAACCAATGACGTTCGACTTGTCTGATCAGCCTAGCGTCCTATTGGTACTTTGCTCCCCTAGCCCGTCCAGCTGAGTCCGGAATACCAATAACAGCCTCCACTATGCGAATCATTTATTTCAGAAATACTGGGTTTATAAACCAACTAAACAGACCTCAACGCACCATAAAGTAGGAAATAACACTTATAAACAATAAAGCCAAAAAGTGGCTGTGAACGTGGGAGACAGTAATTAATAAACTGAGTATAATTTAAGAACAGTAAATCTTTTAATAATAAATTATAGATCAAAATGAAGCTTATAATAAGGGAAATATAAATATACATAATCTCATTACTGAATAGTTATACCATAAGAATATATAGATAATATTAGTCCATTAATAGGTCTCAGAAGTTACTCGTAATGTAATCTTCACTAGGATATAACAGAAATGTGATAACAGAAGTTGTATCATTGTTGATCAAGTTTTCTTAGTCAAATAATCATACAGAAATTAATTGACCAAGAGATGAAAGTGACAGACCTACAATTTCTTGTTAACTGTTTCTAACTGAATGACGATTAATACAGTATATATGTATGTTGAGATTTTTAGCACATTAGCTTCAAAATTACTCGATCAATAGCTTTATGCATTAGTATAAAAACTCTTTTGAGACTGAGCTCTAGACAGAACGACTATTTTAAAATCTTCACAAGAAAGGGTTTTACAAATTGTTAATGTTCTATAAATCGACCTTCGAGAATTTCCTTAATGGTAGATTCGTTAAAAATATCACTCAACGGATGAATTTTTGTATACGACATACGTGCTTAAAGTTAGTCTGTATATAAACGAGTTGGCTTAAACCATTAAAAATTATCTTTATGCACAAATAAGATCAATTTTCATAAGCTTAGACTGATTCATTAGTTTCCCTTCCTCTTTGTTTTACGTTCTAACACGAAAAGCAATCTCATCATCGATCTAATCAGTTTTTATGTGACCTTTACTGGGATCCAAATAATAATGTGACAAACCGAGAAATTGAGATTTAATTAAAACCACATACCCGGGAATAGGTCATCAAGTAGCGATAAAAACAGAGGTTCATCAGGTCCGACTAATTTACTGAGATTCATATCACGCAATACACGCATTACTGTTTCGAATTCCGTATCATTCGGATTGGCACGTTTTACTGCACCTAGCGTACGCAACACGGAAAGAATATTTCGTAGCCCAAAGTCATAATGAATCTGCATTAGGAAAATTAAAGAAAGAAGAAGTTTATAGTTGTCAGAATATTGTCATAACGAAAATGAAGCGGAGAAAGAGACAAACAAACAGATGGAGAGAGACCAGAAATACAGGCAATACTGGGGTATCTGTCCAAACAATCGATGAATTAACGGTAATCTGTCAATTCAGTGTTTCAAATAGACAAAGGAAAAGTGCAAACACTTGAAACAAAACTCCCCATAAGTTTTACAACGCTAGTTCTGTGGAAAACTTATTGAAAATAAATATTTTTCATTCAACTAGAGTTTTAACAGATGACAAATTTATTTAAACCAGACAAATCGCATGTAATTGAAAAGGATTTCCAACATAATTTAAAATACATGATTTTCAAACTTCATGATGAACAAACGTAATGACAGAGTGGTGGAGATAATAATCGCTTGACCTGAGTCTAGAGTTAAGGAAAAAAGCGTTGATTTTTATTCGCAGGAGTTCGTAAATGCATTGAACTATACAATACATAACCAAATTGAAAAGGTCAATTACGTTGTATACATAGTATATCATTACGTAAACGTTAAGTAACATTTAATATTCCACCGAAAACCTAATTTATATTCATACCGTCTATAAAAAAATCTACCCACCTGTTTACTCAACTGTTCTTCACACAATTTATATAACGTATAAAACTTTTGTGCTGATATAATATTTTCAATGAAGCCACATGATGCAAGTTTAACACGTATAATGATTTGTCTATCAGGCACCATCATTGCTACTGTTCTAAAGTTGATTTTCAAATTTTCAGGCAATTCCTGTCGTCCAGCATAACCAGGATTCTAGACATATGGACATACAAAATTAATTGTGAATATCTAACCACCTATTTTCGCTTAAATGCGTGAAAACACCAAATTTCACCAAGATTAATGGTGCGTTATAATATGACGAAATTAATAAGGTGAATAAAAACAGTCAAAAAATTACTAAACTGACTTTCAGGGAACAGTTCATTCGATCTCAAGTGAGCTGAACATGTGGACATGTTCTTTCTGTACACTATACCTAAGTGAAGATAACTGATACAAGACTAGTCATCTGGTACGCGAATGGTATACTCACTACTGAGTCAGACTATCTGAAATTAATTAAACAATTTTTTAAACTATCACTAAAGCTTTCATTGATATTACTGCAAAACGCTGGCAATAAGACGAATAATCTTGAAGTATTCTGCGGAGGTACACTAGAACAAGGTGATCTGGCCTTGTTTTTATAGTTGTAAAAATAATAAATTTATTAGCGAGTCAAGTCAGTCGCAAATGAAAATAAAGGCTCAGTTTATGTTTATCTTGGACTTGAACTAGAAGCCTTTTAGTTTGAGTTATAACTAAGACATATTAAAACAAAATAAAACGGTTTGCATGAATGATTAACTGTCAGTTAAATTAATATTCGCAAAGTTAAAAAACACTATATCGATAGACAATTAATATATTTAAATCTGTTATGAACCAGTAGACTATGACAAATATTACTGATAAGCTACGGAGCCAAAAAATTTATGAGCTTACTGAAATTACTTTCAGATAAGAAAATCCCTTGTATTCATACTGTTTCTATTGTTGAATTCCAGTTTCCTGTTCTCCAAATAACATAATCCACCCCTCATTTAAGGCATTGAAATCCTCTTGACTTACAACACAAATATTGACCAAAATGAAAATAATAATGTTAATTTTTCATTAAGAATTCTAAAAGAACCCAGAACTAAAGCTTAGTCAACTTAAGAGTATCTGCAAGTGACAAATATGTAAAGATGATTTATACAAGATGATCATACCATGGTCAAGAATATTCCAAATTGTGGATTCATAGTTATAATTTCACCATCTGTAAACACAAACTGAGGTTTACGCTCCTTTTTACATGTTAATATGATAGCAATCTGTTGAGCGGCTACTGATAACACAGGTAGTTCAATACGATTAAATTCATCAAAGCACCCCCAAGAACCAGATTGTGCTAAACCTTTGAATATTCTGCCTAAACCACGAAAATCCATCTGGTCAGAACAATTTGATACAATGACGTATTTTCCTAAACATCTACCATGTCTTTCACTGTTTCCGTTTTGCCAGTTCCTGCTGGTCCAGCTGGTGAACCACCCATAGACATACCAATCGCTTGTGCAAGTGTAATATAACATCTATAAATTTGAAGAGAAAGGATATATAACTTGTTAGTCAACATAAATTAGTAAAGAACGAAAATAATTTATGCGCTTTACCATGTTTAATTTTTATATTTATAACTACATAGAAACTATGTAGCGCTATGTGACACCTACGCACTATATCGTTAATGTTATCAAAATAAATTACAGTAATATTTTCCCCAGCACTGTTAGTTGAAAGGTTTGTTAGCTTCGAGAGAAATCGAGATTATTCGACTGCTTAAATCTAGAGCAAAATGAATCCTAATGATATATAATCTGATTGAGTGCAACTTACGAGACGTCTAGATTGTGATTAATAGAAGCAATCTACAGATACCTCTGGATTTGAGCATTGTGTTGAACAGCTAATTTATGAGTCTACTTTTAGATGTTTGTTTGCTCAAGGTTTTACGTAGGTCTGTGAGACAAGCGTGAATGTCGCCAAGTATCTAGCATTTTAACGTATAAGTTTAAATTTTCATGCTAATTTATGGGTGTGAAACATGGCCATTAAGAATAGGAGATATTCGTAAGTTACCAGTATTCAATCACAGGTGTCTTCGAAGCACTGTTCATTTATTTTGGGACCACTAAATAAGAAATGCCTGGGTTATGAATAGGGTATTAGGCAAGTAATGCAAATCGACAGATGAGCTAGTAAACCTTCATCATCTGAGGTGGTTGAAACATGTGTTGCGCATGGCCAGCTACTGCCTGCTTCGACAATGACGTCGTCTGGTGTAGAAGTAGGCTGGGAGAGAGCTAGGGATGGTCAAGCCAAAACATGGAGTTAGTCAATGAATTCATCAACAACTGGATGATCAATGTTAATAAGTGTAGAGTATCTGGTTGAGGTTCGCGTGATCACCATTACCGATGGTTAGAGATTTCAAACGATATGGCTCAAAATCGTTTGGAATGGGGCAAGTGCACGCATTCTTTGTCTTTCTACAAATTCTGAACCCTTGAATTCCTCATAACGTTTTTCTATCCCGTTTCTTTTTGAATCGTATCTTCGATTCCTAATCTTTCCTATTACCAGTGATACTGCTACAACCTCTACTAATCTGGGACTCAGCCTGACGGTTTCATCTCTCTGTGCTAATGGGGCGTGACAACTCGAACCAATGTACATACATGCCAAGTTATACGTAGCGTCTGACAGAGAGGCGAACTGGAAAAACCAAAATAATGCAACCATTAAAGTGAGACATTTTGTGTGTGCAAATAAATATCCATTGACAAAGATGTTGGAAAGTCAAATTATTTTGTTAGTAAATGACAATCCAGTGGCATTAGTTGAACCGAAATCTATTGTGAAATGATTTTTGGTTAATAAATGTACCGACTAGTATACTGCATGTAACAAACCGCGTTTCAGAAAGATATCTTCAATATATGTATGTTAGATACATTTCACATCACTGGAATAACATAAGTAGATCAATAATGTCATAGAAATAATCGTTGTAGTGTAGTTTAAATAGAACGTGTATGGCGATCGGTTTAATTAGAAGATACCCATCGATACAAGTAGTTTCAGATGATATAAATCAGTAGAGAAAACTATCTTGATACTCCTATGCGGATAATTGCCGTTTAATCTTTATAATGATAGACATTTGATGAAAGGGTGAGTAGAGAAACATTTTGAGAATGAAATGTTGATTCTGTTATCAGTAAGCTTAACTGATAGAAATATCTTCCGACTTCTGATCACTCGAGAGAAAGTATGGTCAAGATATAAAAAATGAAAGATTTATTTCTTGTACTGTTGTGGTGCGTGCTACTTATGTTTATATAAGTAGTATATGACGCGAGTCAGGAATGTAATGTCTGGCAGCAGAAGATGAGGGAAGATCAAGAAAGCGAGAGGGGGAATAGAATGCAATTTGTATGAAAATGTAAGAACAATGAAGTCTGAGGCATTTTGAGACAACTGGTGGACATTTTGCAACGATTTGATATATAGTTCTCAGATTTTATTGAGATGCTCTGTAATTTTGTGTCAAATACATTCGGTTGTCCTCACCTGTGTTTTCCTTCACTACACTGTTACTACCGTTCTCATTGATAATAGAACCAAGTATGATATAATAAGTACTCTACGGTTTAATAGTTTCCCAAAGAATATCATTAGAAAAACAAAACAAACTATCCTTCAATAAATAACATTTTTAATGAAAGATCTTTGGATTGGCACTGTGGTTTTACCTCACCTTCAAGGTGCTACAGAAGAATTACAACAGGTCTTGAGAACCTAAAAAATCAAAGCTTTCTTTAAGACGATCAACACTAAAAATGCTTTAATTAGAATAAAAGAAAAGATCTCATTTACATCTACATATAATGGTGTCTACAGATTAGGTTGTGTCAACTGTAATGAGTTCCACATTGGAGAGTCTTCCCGTGATATCTTGACTCGTGCCAAGGAACACGTACGTTACACAAAAAGACCTGATAATCCTGTAGAATTGGAAAATCTACTAGTTAAATCAGCAATAGCAGTACATGCTATTTTCAATAATCACGAAGTTGATATTAAAAATATCAAAATAATTCAGCAAGGTTTTTCCAACTATGAAGAAAGGCGATTAATCGAAGTGTTTCACGTAATGCTAAATTCCTCTGCCCTCAATAGGAAAGAAAGCTTGAATATTCATCCAACCTGGACTGTTTATCCAAACGATCACATTTCCCACGCAACCTGCACACACATATACACCCAATTTCAACCTCATTACTTCATATTACCAACATATACATCTTTTATACCCACCTTCTAACGCACAAATTAATACGGTAATATGTGATTAAAAATCAGATCGACCAAAAATAACTAGACATTGACATGCTCAGACCTATTATGATTTTGATAGTACTAAAATAGTCTGCATTGTTTCCATTATACTACTTAAACATGTGTTAATTTTATTTCGGCTATGCATTTAACCTGAAGAAATGGCTTACATTAAGTCATGAAACGTCAGGAATACAATTTTCTACTCAGTAGGACATTACAAAAGTTATATTAATAAAAACCATTCATGTCAAGAAAACTTGCCGATCTGTAAGTGGTGTAACAACCAGTCGTTCTGTGCATCCGATAAATTCATCTTGATAAATGAAATTTACGTCGGTAATTGAAATTAGACATACATCTGAATCTTCTAAATAGTAGAAACGTGTTTGTTTAAGCCAATCAAAATCTGTTGGTGATTTGATACGGTCTTTAACCTAAAACAGTCAATCAAATGGAAGCTGTTATTTATCCAAAACTATGCAGTAGTAAGAATAATATCAAGTGAGTAATTTACGTTTGAACATTATATTTATTATGCAATGGTTTAATTCTATAAAGCATGACTTAGATAAGTAATGATAAAAAGATTTATGTCTTTATATTTCTTTAAATTAGACGATTTTGCTAAGATTTCGTACGATTCAAGAAATAATTTACATAATACTAATTATCCAAGGGGAACAGAATAAATTCATAGTTCCACATAAATTTCTTTGCTTATAGTTCAATGAATCAACCTTCACATTCAGCAAATGAATAAATTCAGTCAAACAAGACTTGGATAAACTTTCCAAAGTTAAATTGATCATTTTATGCATGAAAAATGCATACAGGTTAATGGTTAATTTCAAATATCAGAGTTGAAATACTATTGCATTTAAAATTTAGTCTTTGATATTGAGAAATATGGAAATTTTGTTTAAATAATATATCCTAATTTACAATAAATGTTTATCATTCGCATAATGCAATCAGTTCTTTTAACTAGCTATTATTTTCACTTTAGATATTTTGTAGCTAGCATTGAATGCGAAGAATCGAGATAAAGTTAAAAGTCATTTGTATAATTCATTTCAGTTAGTCTCAACCAAGACAATCATCTCAAGAATTCAAGTACATGAGATTTAATATTCGTTGAACTGAAAAATCAACGGAAGCATCTGAAACTAAGTGATATGACAGATAAAACAGTAGCCGTCTCGAATAGATAAACCTTTATTCAGAATAAATAAGATTCATGTAAGTAATTAGGTCTGACTAATTATTTAATGGCTTCACTCAAAATAGAACACCTGAAGTTTATTAAATGGGGAAAAATATAGCTACTGAAACTGTTTTACTCTTCACAAACACCAATCTAATAGTTGTTTAAAATTATTAAAACAGTGTCAATTTCTGCTAAATGGTGAATATCTGAAATCAGTGCATTCTCAGTTTTGACACTAAATTGTATGCTTATGATCTGTGAAATGATCGGTCATGGCAACGAATACGTAATCAAAGACGACGTTTCGTTATGTTTGTGATCCCTCCTCTTTAGCCTAATTCAAATCGCCAGAGACGTTTAAAGAATCAAGCCTGATTTCATGCATTTAAACCAATACCTATTGAATTTTAAAGGTTTCCATATAATGTCAAGTACAAATGTAGTATGTGTTTGTATTAAATGAATAATCAGAAATCAGTTACATATCGCTAATTTTTCTTGGTCAATAAGTGTGATTAGAACGCTACATAGTCATATTATTAGTTTACAGACCCAGCACATCTCAATTGTAACTGTAAATCTTCATTCAGACGAATCTAAATTAATCTAGCCATCGTATTCGAGAAGTCAGTAATTTTTTTAGTTTCATACTGTTTGTATATAGAAGAAATTTAACATCAGTGGTTGGCAAGGGTGGATTTTAATGGAAACATTGACGAGACAGACAGTTAAATCTTAATTTTTCGTGATAATTTTTATAAAATGTTGAGGTTATGAATAGACACAATTATTTATCAACTGTACTTACTAATGATGAGAAAATATCTTTTTGATGAAGATGTATGGTGATTAATGTCTCTAATTTAGTTCGCTCCACTTGCGTTAAGTTGTGTGTAGTTTGCTGAATAAGCAAGTTTAGTAGACGACCAAATTCATGATCAGTCATTTGCATAATCTTTTTATTATGTCTGGCTTCTTTTAGTGCGTTAGTTGAATCTCTTGTCCAGATAAATTGAATACCCAATAGTCCCACCTAAAGGTAAAGTAGAGGTCAGAGGAAAGTTTAATCATTAATATTACAGCCTTGAAATTATTGATAAATAAGTGAATCTGAAACATGATAACCATACAATGGTATTAAACATTGATTTAGTTCTGCCAATATGGCTTAAACAGTCATCTGTTGAAAAAGTATTTCAGACAGCACCGCAGACCTCGCCGATTTTCTGAAATAATCAGGAAATCAACAAACTCAGGGAAATAATTTCAATATTTTCATGTTACCTACTATCTTTAAAAAAACGTTTCTCTGAATCCTGGAGATAATGCCTCTTTATGTTGGTGTAACAGCTCAAGAATACGGAAAATTAAAAACTGTATTTTATATTTGGTCATAAAGTAAGTAATCTGATATAATGTCCCTTTTTTAGGTCTGAAAACATTTAGTGTAGTGGGATAGAAATCCAGTTTGTCTGAACTTTCTGGTAAATTGAAGATCGAAGTTATTACAGAAACGTGATTGCTTATCTTTCTGAGCAACTGCAAATTTGTTATAAGCTTTCATTTATCAAACCGTGGATCCTAGCTGACGCACATCAAGGCGTATTGACAATATTGAGAGGACTAATGTTCTCCATAGGGTTTGAACTGATGTCTAACAAGATCACAGTTTAAAACGTTTCTAATGGGTTGCTCTGATAACAACTTACCTCCCGAAGGACAAGATATTTACATTATCTGATCACTGCGTAGTAGCCAATGTCTGGTTCAAGAAAGAACGACAGGACAAACTTGAATAACTAGGGAAACCTTCATGGATGATGGACTTTGAAAACAACATAAATTTATTAAAGTTCGGGAAATGGAAATAATTGGAGCTAGCTTTTCTCGATTACCGACTATCCCATTTCATAAAATGGACAAAAACCACTTAGTGTTAAGCATCAGAGAAGTACATTTGGTTGATTTCGTGTCAATGATTGTAGTTCTCATAGTTGTTTAACGCTTGGATGGAGATCGTTAGTAGTAAACTCTGGAAAATTAAGTAGGTTTCGAACATTGCCATGAATTTATTGCCTTGGTTATATAAGTTTACATATTGGTGACTGATTGCAGTCATACTACTTAGTTTCAAGGCGATATTTTACTCCATCAACCGATTAGCCTTATGAAAATGTCTATCATCCGAAATTGTGCTTAAAAGGTATAATGACCTTCAGAAGGTTCTTGAATCAAATAATAATGGTTGGGCAGGAGCTTACGTAGAACTGTCATGTAAACCGAAAAAAGTAATCACTGTTCGTCAGGTAGTCGATGAAATATCCGTCTGTCTATCAAAGAACAAGTATACTGAGCGATGGTCAGCTCTACCTACTTTCATACTACAAAAATGACTCATACAGGTAGGTTATATGTTTAAGCTACTAGTATCTGATCATAGATTTCTGCCAAGAATTGCTCTGGTAAGATGAAACCTCTAAGCGAGTAGTGCTAACTTTAAACATTGGGTACTGACTAAAAATAGGGTTGATGTAACTGCACTGAGTTCACTCATCTCCGATTTCCCACCATACAATTGAAATTTAGAAAAGAAGTTGATTATCTTACAGATGTCAGGTAGTTGATAACTTTGTGAATCTTTATAGAATGAGGTCAATACAGTATGTGCTGGACGTGTTTAACGATAGCTTGCCGTAACGTGCGATGCTGATAGGTGTAGACCTAGGCAGGAGAAAAAGTACTAGATATTTTCCTCTTCAATTTTTTTGAGTAAATTAAAGGCAGTTAAAAGCTGGAACATAATATCAACAAAAATAAACGAAACGCCATATATTAGAATAATGCACAAGTGACACTAACCTGGGCAGGAAACGTCGCAAGAAATTCTAATATATTGACATCATCATCTATTGCTACTTTATAGCCTTCTCTTATTATTTGATGTAATGAAAACTGCGCTTCTTTCAATAATTTATTTAACCAAACTTCTACATGTCCTTCAGCTTTTACTGGATGCTCTAACTACATAGAAAAGATAAAACATTAAATAAGTAATCCCCGATAAAGTGACAAAACTATTATGACACTGATATACTTCTTGCACCTGCACTGATTTCTATTTATTAAATAACTAGTCAATCCAATGTTGGGTATGAGTAAATTGACATTGACGGACTCGGAAGACTGTAGCGTCTAGTACTATGTCAAGCTCACATAGAGTATTCTAGCTTCCTGACAAACCGACTTATTTATTCTTCCTGAATGACATTTTCACCTTGTTAACTATTCTCTTATAACCTTGACTGTTTTTAAAGGCACTTGTGTCGATTGACTATCCTTCTCATCACATGTCTTTAGCTTATTCCTGTCTGGCTATAAAGATTAAGTCACGCTTTATCAAAAGAATTTGGCACACTTGAGTTCTCTAGTTTGCTTCTATGCTTCGTTTCTCTGATTGTCTGGATCAACGAATTTATGAAATATATGTGTCCTAAATTCATTCTCGTATTCGACTCCTTTAATTCCGTTGTTTTTTACCACGAATTAAGTCGATAATTATATACGAGGGGAGCCGGGATGTATATTTCGCTAACATCAACGTTCGATCAAATCGGAGTCAGATTTACGGGCCACAAAAGACTCTTTATGTTCTATAGGATGTTTCACACCGCGGCTGACTGGCTTTCAACTTCAGTTCAATCATGACCAAAGTTTAGCTTTATAAATATCATGTTGGGAAAGTAAATGTTAAGTCGGTCAACATGACTGGTTAACTAAACTCAACAGATAAATAGTAGAATAATAGGGAAGGTGAAACCGGTAAACTTTCATTTATGTTTCTTAATATAATATAGTTTCGAAACAAACGGAATCTAATATCATGAAAACCGTTGGATTGATAACATAGTTGACCGAACAAATGCTGAACTCGATTTTAACTTCTCTCATAGTGATTAACTAAAGCAATGCTAAACTCTATTTATTCAGCTTTGGGATGCATATTCAGACGACGGTAACTAATTTTCCAAAAGCGTTTTATACTACTCATAAGTAAAACAAATAAGCTCACCTCTAATACCTCGCCTTCTTGTGAGTAACAGGTCAAAATCGTTTCATATTGTTTTTCATGAAACTTCACACTTTTAATGTTATCAAACACAGAAAGTAAATGTGCTTGTATCGTATGAGGATCTGATGCTTGACCCAGAATTTCCAGCAGAGTTGGATCAGAAACGAAAAAGAAGCGAGGGAAGAGAAGACGTTTCTTTTCCAAATAACTGGAAGTAACCATTTGAAAAAATGCATATTACTGGTCAATAAAATCGAAATTCATTCGTTTTTTGGATATGAAGCTGCAGTGTGATAATCAAATCGGTCTTGACATTAGAATGAAATAATCGACAGTGTGATGTAGTTTAAACTACAAATTCTCACTAAAACTACATTATTCTTAAATCGAACAAAATTAAGGAACGAAGATTGGTTAGGTTGACAAGAATTGTTTGAGAACTCATTGTCGGATGAACTAATATGCTCAATTTTAACAATGGTCTCTCAATACCACTAAAAATAGTAAATGAATAACTGATCAATGTGTTTTTAAGGGTTGATTTCGATACTGTCTACAGGAACAGTTTAAGGGTAATCTATTCAAGTTTGAATTCAGTTGCTCATTCTTATATTTCTATTCGCCACTTAAAAATAAAAATGTATTTCCACATTCCCCATGTTGAAATCTACTTTTAAGACTGCTTTTATTCGTTACTTTACCTACTTTCCTTTTACTTACACGAACTATATACCTTCATCTAAATAAAAATTAAAGCATAGATTGAGGAGTCTATTTTGTTGCCAAGCAACAGGAAAACATTGCTATTATGTTATCATCATTTAGGTCGAAGTATTTCCATCTGAGGCTAAAATGTACTTTTTTAGAAATGGATATAGACCTAGTTTTTAGTTTGCTTAATTTTTAGTATAAAAGAAAGTTATCAACAAACCATTTATAAAGAGACTTAGAATATAATCGTTTGTTTTCTAAAGGCACTCATACAGATAGACATGAACAAATAAACAATAAATCATTTTCATAGGATTGAAAAAAGTCCATAACATATAGGTCATTATTTCATGCATGTTCGTCTGTTATTTAGAATGAAATACTGCATATTATGCATAGCATATGCAATGGGATATAACTTCATTACTGTTACAATAAAATCACCTAATTAAGGAGGAACCTAGTTCCCGTAATTCCAGAAGTATAATAAATATATATAGCACATCGATCACATAAGAATCAGTAGGAAATTCAGGTCTATCAGAAAGATAAGAAAAAAGACAAGAGGTGATATAGTACTATATCATCAACTGAAGCTAGAGAAGCATTAAAAATTTGGGCAAGCAACACTACAAAAGTGTAACATACTCTTCCTTTGAGATGCTATCGAGCTCAACGACTAGGAGATATCTCTCAGAAACAGGTTTCAAGCCCTATGAGATCTACTGTAACAATAAAAAATACTATGAAGAGCGATTGGAAAGGGATTAAAGAAGCAATAATTCCAACATACCTGGTGCTGCTGTTCCTCAAGAACCATCTGAATATACAAAAGATTTCTGAAGGCAGGACGAGAAAGATCCAAGAAAGGAAGAACAGGAAGACAATAGAAAAACTATCGATAGATTGGAAACAGTAATACCTGATCGAGATACAGAAAACATGTTGCAGTAAGTGAGAACTTTAAAGAGACTGCATTAATGTCGGTAACACGAAACATTTTCAACAAGTCGTTAGTGAACAAAATGAAAAGTTCAGTAGACGCCCAATTTCCAGATCAACAAGTTGGCCTGAGTAAAGATCAACCATATAACAACAGAATTGTGACTGTCAATCAGTGTTCAACAACATATGAGTGAAACTAATATTTATACAATAACTTCGGAATCACCTTCATATGAAACTTCTCTGACAGATTGCACTGGGAATTCATGCAAGGAGACCAGCTCGAAGGTGAATTGTAAGTGAAAACTGGTGTCAAACAAGGTTGCATGGTTTCGGTTTTTCTCTTTCTGTTGGACGTTGATTGAATTAGGAAAATTTTCACATTTCAGAAGAAGAACGCGATTCGGTGGACACCTTGAACAGAGCTAAATTATTTAAACTTTCTCTATGATTTAGCCCTTCTATCGGACAACACACAACAACAAATGCGGAAGTTTCCAGAGAAGTAAGCGCCAACATTCACAAGGAAAAAAGGAAGATCTCGAAGTACAACACAGTCAGCACTAACCAAACCGTACTTGATGGAAATACTGTAGAAGAAGTAGACGCATTACTAATAAACAAAGAGGATCAGGTGCAGATATGGAGGGACGAATTGGGAAACCAAGGTGAAGATTATTACAGTTGTAGAATATCTGAAAATCAAAACAGCTATCATCCAAGACCAAAGTCAAAATTCTCAACACTAACATTAAAGCGATCCTATTGTACTGGGCTTAAACTATGAGAACGATCACCGCCGTCCCAGAAAATCACGGGTATTTGTAAACAACTCAAGATCTATCGCTAAGAGACTATTAGCAACAATGTACTCTGGTAGAGAACATATCAAACGTCAGTTGAGGTGGTAATTAGGTAAAAACTCTGGGAGTGGGATAAGACACATTTTACGAAAACCATGTAACTGAATCACGAAGCAAACTCTGACTTAGAATCTTAGGGCGAGAAGAAACAGGGGCTAACAAAAGAATATACGGCGCAAAGAAAGGGAGGCAGACGTCAAGTCAAATAATAAAACGAGGCAACAACTTGCAAGAACATTCCAGAACGGATCGGCTCGGAAACCCTTGATCGGCAACCTATGGTCTCGAGAGGACATTCGGATTCAGTTAAACTTCAGTCAATTAGCCACTCGTAGATAATGTTAGACATGTGTGCATCAGTTTAAGCTACTGTACGAAAAAACAATGTTAGTGATCCTAGTTTTGAATACACTAAAAATGACGACCTAAAGTTTTCTGACTAAGAAAGGTTATGAAAATTTGCAAAAATGAATAATTTTCAGTGTTACTTTTAAAGGACTAGATATAAGCAAACTCTGTTAAAGTTACAAAATCAAAGATGAGACTTACCCAGTTAAACTTTTCTGACATAATTCTAACTGTTCCATTAGATGTGGTAATAGATGGCTAAGCATTTCATCACCAATACAGCATGTTAAAACATGCGTTGTCTCATGAGCTCTTTGCATAATGCGACACCATGATTTATCTACATTCGCGAAGCGTTTAGCTTCTTGTGGAAGTTGACGTGCTATATCACCACCAATAAAAACTGCTTCAAGATAAATCCATAAATTTTGTACTGCCAACCACTGTTCAATAATTTCGTTGGAATTTGACAAACGTGAGATGAAATTTTGTATATCTTTGCGGAATGGCGCATTGTAGCGATTACTTAAAAGAGAGGCAAGGGCCATCAATGAGTCCTCCATTAAACTAATCAATTCCAAAGTGTGGTCACCTCGTAGCAACAATTCACCACGGTGTTTAAATTGAACAAATTCAAATTCTTGTGCACTCCATTCAGATTTTAAATTAATTAGTTTTCGCTCAATATCTTGCTCTTTAATAGCTGATATACAAATATCTTCAACGTCGTCATAGTGTTCAAGTAAAGGAGCTTCAAGTATATTTCGCAAAGTAAATTCACTATCGTCAACATTGAATGACCGTCCAGTTAAGGTAGCCAAGCCTTTCCAATGTCTCTCACGCATAGCTGGATTAGTCATTAACTCTAACAATGGGATGATCTGGTCAAAATTAGCCAACGTTTGCCTCAAATCATCGTATGCCGGATATTCACGTAAAGCTTTTGGTAACTTGAGGCAGCGATTTTCGAAGTCTTGCAGTTCTTGAGAAATCACATCGATTTTAACATCGGACCACGGTATGTCATAATAGCCAGCTGTTTTGTTCAAAACACTGTTATATAATAAGTAAAGTTTTTGTAGAAGGTTTAATTGTTTTCTAATGTCATCTAACCGAGTATGTTCTGTAATCGGTAGTCCAAAAAGCTGTTCACCTGCACTATACGTGATATAACTGCGATAAAGATTATCAAAACGATTTTGAAATATAATAAGACGATCAGATGCTTCTCGGGGTGGTATGCCTCTAACCATTGGTCCAACCTTATTTCGGTTTTTTCAAGTTTGAAACGAAAAAGAACATCTTATGTACAGTAATTCGGAAAAAACAGCCTATTGAAAAAACAGAATTTATTCTCGATTATGTTTTTTTCTGTTTCTCTCAACTTGCTTTAAAGAAGATAGACTATTTCTCAAAAAATTCGTCGGATAACAGAAGTGCAGAAGTGGCTATTTAAAAACGTGGCATAAACTAAATTGATGCTATTATTGACCGTAAGATCTGACTGATATTTTCCCAATTCTATGTGAGGTTTTTTAAAGAATATAGTGAATCACTTTCGATAAAGTTCAATTGTCTAATCTAATAATGAAAATCCGGATGTGGAGAAACAAATTCGAATTTAAATAAATACATGCTTAAAATACTAAACCCGGTCTCGTCGTAACATGTATCTATCACTACCAACTGCTTTTTACAGTTAGGATTGCACAAGAATATAAAATGAGACTAAACTAAAGCCATATTGACAATTACATGAGCCTAGGTTAATACCCACTTCCAAGAAGCTGTTTAGTACGTATAAAGCGTTTGGTAGCTACAGTTAGAATGAAACGGTATTATAATTGAAGGAGCAATAAGAAACTAATAACTAGGAGTTACTGATAGTTAGTAGAACAGTTTATTAGCAAGCATGTACTCTCTATTACCCTTAATTCATTATTTTTCAAAGATTATTGATAAAGTCATAGCACGTATGTAAGATAGTTCTATAGTTCTTGGACTGCTTCTCCACCTTAATAACAAGAAAAGAATTTTGAAACTAGTCGTGCACAGTATACTCCTTAAAGATAAACGAATATCCAAATACATGGATGCGTCTAGTTCTAGTAAGGGATAAAATTCATATGAAATGTTTTCTGATAATCTTCTGTTGTAAAAATTTTTGTAAACTAACTTTATTATGAAGTATATTCAATAATGGATTGACCCATTTTATTTTAAGATATCAATTTATTGGTTCCTACTTAATTAATTGGAATCTTTTTATGTGAACTTCAACTTTACAAATTACGACCGTTTTAGTCAGAAATGATTTTCAGCAATGGAAGACCTTTTTTCAAAATGTTTCCCTAGAGATAAGTAAATGTAATTATTGGTTTTTTAATGGTAAATGAATGACTTCCATAAAAGAAAAAATATCCTAAACTTTAGAACAGACCTTGTTCTATCAAGGATGAATGCTAGATCCGAAAATTTCTGTTAGTTACGTTTTACAATCAAACATAAAGTTTAATGAACCTTGAGTTTGATGCACAAAATTAAATTCTAAGAAAATTTGATAAACACAAGAGTTTAAAATATGTAACTTAAAATACTATCCTTTCATCAAGGGACACTTATAAAGTGTTGGGGACGATAGATCCCCAGCATAAAGACAGAGTTCACATGATTTCTACCCACTTACTTTATCATAATCGTCGTAGAATGTTGAACAATTTTCATTAAACGTTGTTATATTTTCTAATAAATTATTGCGAAATTCTGGTTGAACGTCAACTAACTGATTTTGTACTTCTAGCATTTGTTTACATAATTTTTCCCATTCATAGCGCAAAGTATCTGCTTTATCAGTTTCTTCTTTATCAACTGGAATTGAATGTTTAGCCAGTAAAGAATAGGATTCTTCAATAGGTCCAAGTTGTAAGTCAACATTTGCTTCCATTTCACGTAAATCCTATTCAAGTTATATAATTACTTTTTAAGGAACTCTTTCGGCTCATAGTGAAATATTTTATCATAAGTCTATCAAAGATTGATTTCTTAATATTGAAAGTGATAAGACCCAACTGTCAGTTTTCCATATTAATGGGGCAACAAACTTCCAAGGTACATCAACCCAGAACATCGACATAAATAATAAGATCAAAATGTGTTTTCACGTTTATTTGGTAATGCGTCTTTAATCTTCCCAAATCTTACAATTGCAGCACGTGATTAATACAACAACTAATAAAAACGTGGATTACTGATCTTCCGAGAGACAAGTATATTTCAAAGCTATCATTTTGATCCTTGTAAGAATGCACATAAATCCATCTCTCTTTTTTCAATATTATTATAGTGTGGCCAGAAGAGAAACGGTAACTTGGATTATATAGTGTGCAATTAACTTCAATAAAGCAAACAAGTTTTAACTATTTTTATTCAATAAAGGGATCAGCAATAATTGAAAACCACCGAGTGTTGGTAGAGTCACAGCCTTAAAACATATTAAACACCAGTTTAAAAAGGAACGACTTAAAATATTTGTCAATCTTTTATCGGATTGATGACACTTAGAAATTTAAGGAGTAAGAAGAGAGAATTACTACTGTCTAGTACATTAGTCATGGTAGCGAAAACGCCCAAGCAATAGGGGTGGACAAAATATTAATCCAAGACATTCATCATTTAATAAGACAAGGATAGAAATCGATTTTTATTCAAGGCTTCCACATCCTAGTTTTCTATGATAAAAGTGAACAAATGTTAGGAAATCGTATCAACGCAGATAGACATAATTTGACATAACATCTCTAGGTCTGATTTGTTTAAAAGTATTGTAGTCAAAAGAATTTGATATGTTTCTTCACTCTTGCATACTCTGCTCAATAACAGATATTCACTAGAGATATTTAGACGAATGGAGTCGAATATCGCTTCCAGGTGAATAAATAGGGTCGTAGCAGGACATCCGTATGTTTTCCTCGCAATCTGACAAGCATACTTTCGAAAAATGTATACAGAGTTTTCTTCAAAATCTGTTCAATTTTCTTAGGTTTGATGTTCTAAAGCTTTAACTAGGCTTCGAATGATTATGGAAGTTAATATCGTGGAAAATGGTTATTTTATGGCTATTACAAGAGAAATTCTGTGCTTTCTTATGAACTGAAGACCATAGGTAATTGAAAATCACTCAAGTGTTCACGACCATCTTTTAACTAACGTTTTCTGAAAACGGATCACCTTTTTATTCAGTAATCTTACCAAATTTTAATTTAGTGACAGACTCTACCAATGTAGTTCAAGTATAAATGAAAGATACTGAGGTCAACATAAAAGAACTTAACGTTATAGCAGCATGAAGATTAGGACGTTTATCCTAATACTTGATATGTCGAGAAATAACTTAGTCGGTTGCAATTGGAATGTTATGTGAATTAAGTCGACAGTCTTAAAATAATATATTGCGGAAAGCGTTTTAAAGTAACATTATTTTGTTAGTAACTGATACAATTAACTAGCTGAATTCCATTTCCGAACTAACTGATTAGACTAAAATATTTATAGAAAATAGAACATTTCTCACCTTCAACGCATTCATCAGTATTCTTATATCATCTAAATCATTGATGGGTCTTGATAAGATCTTTTCATATTTTTCGATCGTTGCAAACAAGGATTCAACTTGAGTTTTAAATTTGAGCTACATAATCTCCCGTATTCTAAGCGCCAATTTCTTGTTTCTGCAAGTAATCCATCTTTTAAGTGGTTGGTGTAAATTGCTAATGGACTGCAATCACATACATCAGGCTCATTGGAAATTAATTGATCCTACAGGGAGTACATCGAAAAATCTTGAATTACTATATAATGGTTAGAAATTCACAAAAGAAAATAAAGCATTCAAACTGTGATAGCTTTAAGCAATTTATTATGTACGATATTTTTATTTTGCCTAAAACGCGAACCCAATAACATTGTGATTAACAAATGCTCCAAATTTGGCAGTTGTTAGAATCCCATGTAATTGTTTTTGAATTTCCCTTAAATCAGCTATTCTTATACGGCATGGTTGATAAACATACATCAGTTAACTGTTATAACAGTCCACCACTCAATTTTACCTCAAGATAAAATATAAATGCATATGTATGGCATAGAAATTTCATTTTCTCACTCTGACACTAATTAATAACATTTCACTTATGATATACACATTCGAAATATCTCTAAATGTACCGGATGTTAATCTTGAGCAATGTGAACTTAGCGTTAATCTTTACTCAAGTCGTTTAGCATGAGCTCAGAGAAAAAAGCTCCACCAAAATTATATGCTAGTCACATCCGACCGTTTTCTATTGATACGTAAACTTCATTATTAAAAATGTTTACCAACAAATTTGAATTTATCAGAGTTAGACTTGTTGAGACACAACATCCTATATCGATTTTCTTTGTTCTGGAAGAATTTAGTAATTTCAGAGTACTACTTCAAGATGTAAGTTTTAAATTAGAATTCAGTGATAATCAGGATATAATTTTGTAAGTGCTTGTATTTTATCAGTGCCTAACCAAAGTAAAGGTCATCCAGCTAAATATTCATATCGCGTTTACCTTTCACCCACTCAAACATTTAAAGGAAAACTCAGAATCAAAATTTAGAAAAAAAAACACAATCTCCGATTATGAAGATGACTATTCGGGTACTGTTTTCATTTTTATTCGATCTACAGTAGGAAAAATGTCAAATTTAATATACTATTAGTTTTTGCAATATTCACAGCCAATTTAAATGGTAGATGATAAGATGTGTTCCCTCACTAGAAACCAGTTATGGACGTTTGAGCTACCCTCATTCAACTTTCAGTTTTGACGTGCTCCCATAAAACATAAACCGCTTATGATTTGTCTGAAGTCAAATATATAAGCCATTTGTAATTGAAAGATGAACTTAGTAGTTTGTCAAAAGTAATGAGTCGATACAATTAAAGCAACCTTACATATTACAGGTCGTAGAAGATTGTTCTTCATTAAATTGGTAGCCAATTACTGAAAAAATCTTTCTGAAATTCATGTGAACGTTTTTAACTTATAAATCTTACAAACATTTCATTTTGAAGGGGTTTTTTATAAAAAAATGAGGAGGTGGAGAATTCGATAATCCAATAGATCAACTTACTTTCTCATAAAACTGTTGAATAATTTCTTCAAAATCAGTCACCGATGGATTATTTGACATGAATTTGTCGAATTCTTCCGTTTTAGATTTCTCCCATAACGATTTATATTGATCAAAATGCCGAAGTGAGGATTTTGCACTCTATAGTAGAAGAGAGAACTTGTGAAGTTACAAGAAATTTTAAAAATTATTCAACATTTACAATGCCAGTTCGAATTCATGAATTTATATGACGAACTATTGAATTTAATGTTGTCCAAACTTTTACATTATCTGATCACGCTATATTCAAATGAAACTGAGCATAACTAAACAAAATAGACTAATCATTATTTTGTTTATTTGTGTCAATTAATCTTCATGGTTGTACGGTCCCTGCCAAAGTGTTTGACTGAACATCCAGATAAGTGAGTCCAATCACCTTAAAGATAATTCAACATCACTATAAATTACTGGATAAAATCTTTCTTACTGTTAGTCATTCGAAGTTCATACTGTTGATCAAAGGAAGTTGGAGTTCTTCAGTAGTTCATCTAACACGAGACATCGAATTTAGGAAACTACAACTTAACATAGCCTTTGTAGATAATAGAGCTTTAGTAGTTCTGAAACAATTACTCATTTTTTGTCAAAAAACTGTTAAAATGATATGCCTGTTAGGCATCAGCTTAGATAATCAACATTTTCACTAGAACTTCCTGTCAATGTTATCATAATTCAGTTTTAGCGCATGATACAGGGATATAATAGAATACAGTTAAATGTCTCTGTTTTGGAGATACGGAAGGGAAATAAGAATTGATCTCCACTCACAGGGATAGATCTTAAACTTTATGTTTACAGATTTCTTTTTTCTAAGGTTCACTCAACAGTTACGTGAAAATGGATCCTAGCCTTTTTTTAAACGATGCTTGTTAGGCTGATATTTCAGTGGTTATTACGCAAGAACATTTTTCCTGTAAACTGAAACAATCAACAGTCTAATTGCGATCAAATACTTACCGTCTCAAACAGCATAACTAATAAAATTGGGACACAATTTTTAAAACCCTCTGAAGTTAGCGCATTAGGACTATATTGATCACTCTTTATCAAAATATGTTAAAGCTGACTGTGCTCTTTATCGTGTTTAAAATTGGTAAGGTAATACTGCCTTCAAGTACTTGTTTAAAAGTGTTTTATGTCATACACTGAAAGTTTCTAGGCTTTTTTTAAAGACACTAAAGTCAATTACGGATTATTTCCACATGCATAGTTCTGTAACAACCTGCAAAATGTTTTATTAATCCCTTTCAAAGTACATTCTCTAAAAAGGTGGTCAAAAGCTCAAAAGTTAGTAGTTTCTAGATACAATGATTCGGGTTCCTGTAGTAATTTAAATAACTTTTGGTGAGACTTAGTGGGTCCAAACTTCAGCTAGTGGCTAGATATGTAAAAACACAATTTTTCGTTGTGTCTCCAGTATCATTCAGATGTCGATAGTGTTGCTCAACGACATTGAAACATAATCATTGACGAATAAGATCAAGTTTATAGATGAACTCTTTGCAATCCGATTTTAACCTATAAGCACTAAACGAGGCTTTTTGTATCAGGATACTAGATCTCTAAATATTCGATAAGCTCATCTTCTGGGTGAATGAGGTTCAGTGAACAAACATACCCGGCTCTAGATATGTTTATCAAAACAAAATTCTTTATCCGTTTCACGACAACAAATTGTTTGGAGTTGTTTACTATTCAGTTTCGCATTTAATGTAAGCATCTTAGTTTCCAACACTAGCTATATTTATGAAAGAGGCTAGGGGGATTAGTCGAAGGGAAACAATATGGGAAATTTAAGACTGACGATAAAGAAATGTGGCATTGGTCAGGATGGACTGAATTAGAATGGGTAGCGGTAAACTAAGTCCTATAAAACAAAAATTGAAACAATGATGCGAAACCACTTATGTTATTTTATCTGTTGAATATGATACATTATATTGTGTGAAAATGGATAGGAATAATATGCAAATCAGCAATCTAATTCTGTGGATACGTTAGTGTCCTTGATTGTACAGGCTTATCACTTAAACAGACATCCAGTTAGAAGAAAAGTTTCAGTGGGTCATTAGTTGAAACAGCTTGCGAGTTGTGCAATAAAATTCGTTGGTTTAGGATTCAGCCTCTCCCGTCTACAAGTTGGCTAATAATTTTAGCTACTCGATTTTACGATTCGCCATGTTTGACGTCCAGTAGGTGAATAGAGTAAACAATAAGTTCTGACTGTAATACATCAGCAATCTCACCTACAAATTCAAGTATGATAATATTACATCAATGACTCCAACAGTCATCAGTCGATTCTAGATTCTTAAACTTTGGATTTTTAAATAAAGTGTTTTAATAATTAGTGTTCTACATACACACTTCTCTTTGTAATTCCTATTTACTTATTGCTGATTGGTACAGTTTCTTATAAGGGATATAGAAACCTCTAAAACTCACTCGTGTTCTGTTGTATCCCGATAAGAATAATGAATGGTAATTTTTGGGATCCATTTAATGACCAATATTATGAGTATATTTTTACCGTATAATTGTTAAATAACCAAACTGTTCATATTCATGTCCCTCTTATTATGAGTTTTATTTTGATTTATGAACTATTATTATACGATTTACCATTCATGAATTATTCCCTGTCTGTTAATCGCTACCTCCCTCATTCACAGCCACATCTGGCTAATTCTTGTACAAATGTTGTTTCATATTTTATTGGTACGTTGTGGTCGGTTTGATTGGTATATAAACTCAGTATGCTTGAAATATAATGATTCATATCTCAGAGGTTGAGACTTGCGTTCTGAACTCAACTGGCTGAGCTAGAAATGGAAGCAGGGCCAATAAGAACTCTAGACTGCTCATACGGTTTTACGTGTAATTGATCCAATCGATAAGTTGCTGCCATCTAATCTGCAGCCACAGTTATAACATGTTCATGGTTCTAAAACACCATAGATAATATGAAATCTAAGACTTGCAAGTTCGACCCATTGAAGAAAGTGAGAACATATATCAGTGCTTTTCGTTATCAGGATTTTTATCAAAAATATAATATCTTCTCAGTGACATTTTTTTTATTTAAGGGATTCAGCAAAGCCACAAAATGGAATAGCTCGATATCACCAAAGACTATGTAGTGCTCTATTTATAAAAAAAGAAATATCTAGACTTATGAGTTCTAAATTTTGATTTAGTAACAGACTTTTAACGAGATAATTTTGGATATTTCCACCAAAAGTCTGCTTGTCCTACAAATTAAGAAAATATGAAATTTTGTAGCGTACCTGTTGAATCGATGAGAAAGCATTTGTAAGCATACCCCTTAGTTTATTTATCTCCTTATTTTGAGAAATTTTATTAAAGTAATTTTCATCACCTTTATTTTCATATTCATCATCTGCAACACTGAAGCGCTCATCTGTTGTATAGGTTACTAGTTCGTTAGTCCCAGATGATACAGTTATTTCTCTAGTCAATTCATTACCCGAATGCGTTGAACTGTCTGTTTGACTTGATTTTTTAACTTCTTCAATTGATGAAAAGCTTTCTTCAATTTCAGAATGCTCCTACAAACAGATAAGGGCTTTCAACAAGGTTTGTTACACTGAGAAACAAAATTAGACTAAAATATAACATTTTTTGTTTAAAACAAAGAAGTCAGGCATGTTTGTAGTTGATTCGCTTACAATCTAACCGTAAATGATAGATATGCAATTAATTAAAAATTCTTCTTAAATAGGGCTTAACTGTTTCTTTTAAACCTATTACAAGAGATTGCTTCATTTCATGAAAACAGATTTAACTTAACTGGGGACCAATTTGCTAGATTGTTCACTTTGTTTATTCCAAATATATCACACTTGCCCAATTTTATTCACCAGGGTCTATTTATTATATCAATGAATATCACCATGATGCAAGGACGTCATTGATACTAGGATATTATTTAATAATAAATATGAAACAAAATGAACTAACTTTTGAGCCATATGGATTACGTAGCCTTAAATCCCACACTGAAATGTGACGAGTAACAGATATAATTAAATGTGTAGCAGTATTCAACGCTTTCTGAAAATCATCAAGAGACGGATGTAGTATAATTGATGGCTTGGATAACTGTGCATGGCATGAAAAATAAAGTTGAACTGATCCATCTGAATTCACACTATCTGAAATGAGAAATATGAGTTATCAAAGAAATACCTTTCTATAAAATGATGACTTAAGGGTGCATTGTTTTAAAGTTGGCCATCATGGTAGTTTCATAAATTTGATGTGTCATTGGAACGGCATCATATGAATAGTAGCTTATAACCAGAAACCAATGAATAACGGTTTTGCGATGTTGAGGGTAGAAAAAACTAATTTAACTGATGGATTAAGTGATCATGATGTAAAAATACTAGTCATTTCCATTGTCATAAGAAATGCAAATAAAAAGAAACTAAATGCTGATTGGACGAACTACGTTTATAGACTCATCATCATTTTAAAAGACTAATATTTGAACGAAAAATATTCTTTTCGATAAATTCTCTTCAGGTTCTACAATTATATATCCCAATTAATAATCCGAAAAAATGATCAGATTAAGGACAAAGTACATGGTTTAAAGTATGTGAATTTAGGATTGTTAAACAAAATACAATAAAATTGTCACAAATCTTTGTATTATTATTACTGTTGGTTAAACATCATTATTAATGTCCCCTGTACGTGATTCACTCACTTCGCATTCAATCCTGCTTATTACGTTTTCAGTATGGGGGTTGTGGAGATTGTTAAGTTTTTGGTTGAGATCATGAATTAATTGATGTTAGACCACCGTTGGAAACCTGGAAGCACTGGACGGCCGTTTCGTCCTAGTATGGGACTCCTCAATTTTCCACACAATATATATAAACATATATATAAACATATCAACACTAACAATTTTATTGTACTTAGTTGGACATTAACACCGTTGGATGCCGGCTCAGTGGTCTGATGGTTAAGCGCCCGCGCGCGAGACTGGTAGGTCCTGGGTTCGAATCTCGTGGGGGGCGGAGTTGTGGATGCGCACTGTTGAGGAGTCCCCTAGTAGGACAAAACGGCCGTCCAGTGCTTCAAGGTTTTTCATGGTGATCCAGCTTCAATTAAATCAAGTATTGAAAATTCTAAAAATCTCCACAAAACCGCTTCTGATAATTTTATTGTATTTTGTTTAACAATCCTAAATTCACATACTTTAAACCATGTACTTTGCCATTAACCTGACCATTTTTCGGATTGTTAATTGGGATATATAATTGTATAACCTGAAGAGAATTTATCGAAAAGAATATTCTTCGTTCAAATATTAGTCTTTAAATATGATTGGGATCTTTAAACTATCATCATCATTTCCATAGAATTCATGTATGTGGCATAGTTATATCACGTACGACGTCAAAGGACACTTGTTGGAGGACATCATACACCTGTAATCTAAATACACTATATTCATTTCACCGTATTAGTATCATAATCATCTCACATTTATCAGACCAATAATTACCGGTTTCAGTTTCATGAAAAGTGTAAGCTTGACTGTTGGGTGACCAAAATTAGTAGTAATTGTCGGTATCCAGTTTGAATCATTGTAAAGGTATATTTATCCCGTTTTAAAGCCAAATGTAGCAAATTGATGTCTTTTAACCTCACGACCTAGTTTCTATCTGGTAGATTGTGAACTAACATTTATTTAGTTGTCGATTGACTAAATTTTCATGATTATAACTATGATTGGCCTAAAAAACAATCAGTCATTATGCACTTTTACTCATAAAACAAACGATTGGTAGTGTTTTTGTAAGATTTTATACGAATTATTTATTTATTAGTTTTTTCACCGGAGTAAAGCTTTCTGATGCGCTATTTAGTCAGCTTTAACCACTCAGTTCTGTCTATTTTCAAGATTCATAGTTTATTTTTTGTAGAAAATTGAGCTAACCTATTTCACAAGAATCAACATCAATCGATGATAGCTGAAGCAGCAAAAATTGTAAAACTTTGAGTTAATATTCCGATAAAAATTAGCATTTAAATTTGTACACACTAGTAATCCCTTAGAACATTAAAAATGACCTATTGTAATTCATAATTCATTACTTGAGTTATCATTCGTAAACATATTTACTAAGATTAGGAATATTTATTAAGCTACTTCAGATGATTATGTTCCTAATCAGCACCATGAATATGTGACCTAGTTTTTAATTAAGTGATTTCTGATTTCTTTAAAACACCAAAGTTTTCGTTACGAATAAATGTGACCAATTTTTACATTTTGACTATTTAATTTTCAGGGAATCTTCGACTTAGATACTGATAGATCAATAATCTCATAGTTTAATATTTAATCAAATCATAGATCGAGTTTCAGCAACACCAGGAATCTTAGATTCAGTTACAGTTATTTCATGGGATAGTACTGTTCGTAAGTCCTACATTAATTAATCAAAACCACTCTTTCGGTTTAATGTACTACTTTCAATTCTAATTCATCTCACATAGATTTCATGATAAAATATCTTATTATTCCTTCAAATCATTTAAAATTCAAATTAAGTAGAATAATGCAAAATACAGTATAAAGAATCATCAACTAACCATAGGCTAAAATTGAAGGCAGGGTTAAACATTTACGAAGATTATCCAAAGTATTACGAATTAATTTAGTTAAAGTATCCACAGTTCTCTGATGAAAATGCTCTAATACCCTGAGTGCAGCATCTTCAACTAATCGTTTACGACATTCTCTTGCACTTTTTGTACCTGTTGTCCTTGAAACTGCACTCTCTAAACAATTTTTTTACAAAATAAAAACATTTAATTAAGTTTATCAACAAATAATGCTCTTCGACATTGTTATAGTAGTAAGAAGCTTTCAGGAATGATCAGCAACGGGTTCATTAAATTAAGAGAGACTTCTTTCGATTAATCGACAAGTAATTAAATTAAATAAATTTCCGAAGCCTGATAGAGAAAAAAATGAAACTGAAATAACTGGAGCATAGCTTGTAGATATGTTAAAAAGAATAAAATATACCTGTTTTTTTGATTGATCGCACATAATATTCTTGCGTTGTCCTTTTGTACTACTTAAACTTGGATTAATTTTGATGTGGTTATTTATTCTCTGAAGAAATGGCTTACAGTGAGTCACGAAACGTCAGAAACTCTAATGTTTCTACTCATTGGGATATTACAAATATATTTATTTTATTTATAACGATTTAGCCAATGCACAATTCATCCGAAATTATCAAGTCAAACCTTGGTAATGATATCTACAAGAATAAAACATAGTTCTTTATTAACATCCGTAAACTTCAGCTGATTAAAGCCTTCATATTTTGGAAAAGCGCAGACTATGCGGTCTGCATGAAGAATGTAATCCTGGAGTTCCGCTTTGACTGATTCTAGACATAACTGGATCACTGTACTACCCAAATATACAGTGGATAACTCGAAAACTTGAACCCGTTTGCAAGTAATCTCTGAAATACATTTGAAGGAATTGACTTTTAATATCACCAAACGTTTTTATAAAGACAATTGGTAAGTTTTACACCTAAATATCGACTTCCCATTCGATTCCTGGTCACTAAAGATCTTCGATTCCAGGACTTTGAATAATAAATAAAAGGTGGGAAAAATGGAAGAAGCTCTAGATTATGTTCAAACGGTTGTTATAAGTGAGGACCAACTCGACATTTATCTATTCAGAATAACAAAGGTTTTTCTGCTCATTTTCTAGATGTCCATTGGAAGTTTTCGCTATGATGTGGAGTGTATGAAACTGATACGGATTCACAAACTATAATCCAAAGGAAAACCAATGAAATTAGAGACTTTGTTGCAAAACTTATCCACATGGCTAAACAGCATCATGACATCATAGCTAACGTCATTTGGCGACGAAAACCCCAACTCTAATTCCTTATCCCAACTACTAACCCTAGATCCCAAGCCTAATTCCTTACGCTAATTTATAACTGTTTTGGAACCTAGAAGGTAGGTGGGTTTTCTCAAGGCCACTTCAACGTCGGCCAAACGTTGTCTCATAGGACATTTATTTGTGTAAACCGAATCAAGTGCATAAGCACTTATATGTATATATATATATATATATATATATATATATATATGCAGGTACATCCAGCTGACGAGTCCCAAGTAGGACGGAACCCGCATCCTGGATTCCACTGCTAGCCACTGTCCATTTCTGTTTAAAATGCTTGTAACTTAAGACAATATCAAGGCAATCCGCACAGGATGCACAGATGCCAACAAGAGACTGATCAATTGCAGTCCTAAATAACAACGAGAAGATATATGAAGCCAATATTCATCCTCCTATATGTCAGCAAGTGAAAGTTGATTTTCCATTATTGACTATTCCTACATATATGGACTATATCACTTGATCCTGGCGAGCAATATAAGTTGGTCCTTCGACGAAACATTATCTTCGTCTTAGTCTAGAGTATTTACTAGCACTGCTCAGTGAAAAACAACTCGGATCATTTACGCCCACTATTCTGCAATATAATCAGCTTCAGATCCAATTTTTGACATTTACACAATCCAGTGGGTAACGACTAAATCTGATTTACACCACAGAACCATCTACTTTCCAAAATTTAAAATCCATCTTGTATTGTACAAAAGCAATCTATTAGAACCTTCTCTTAGTTATACCTCCATTTTTATCGGACTTCCCATTTACATTGACCGAACTATTTCTATTTCATTTTATAAAGGTTGTTTCTGCTTAGAACTCTTAATTATCATTCGAATGACATCTATTTCATTTCAGCTGTTAGGTTAATGATACTTATATTTATTCTCCTGACTCTCATGTCTACATATGTCACACGTTTCACAAATTTCCTCTTCTAAAACTATTTATTTAAAAATTACATTTTATTGTGGTATTTAAGTAGATCATATTGCATTGAACTTTCAAGATTCATATTAGATATAGCAATCACCGTGGCTCCTTGATTCTAGCACTAACCAGAAAATACTTTTAATATGTTATAGGTAAACGAGAGTATGAAGTGTGCATGAAGCATCGTTTCTGCATTTTCCTGTAAATTAGCTTTAAAAATCATAAATTTCACAACTTCTTTAATGTTTCATACTCAGAAAAATACAGCCATATGTATTATATAAATTATGACTTACATAAAAGCATATTTCTAGTCCATCACAGAGTACACAATGCAAAAATGTGCTCCCACCCTATCTAGTGTCTATGAGATGCACAGATTGAAATTATGCGGTCTTGGTCTAAACGTGCTTAACTGCTGTGGTATCTTTCACATGAATGGAATTTAAAATATAAATGGTGCACTTTTTATTAAGATAACATGTAAACTGATGAATCATTTGTCTATATTGACCAAAAACGATAGGTATTTTAATCGGAAATTCGACTAATCTTACTCAATCCAAATCGGCAATCCAAAATCAGTTAATGTATTCAGGTTTATATATCTCTTGTATGAAGGGTACGGATACTATCTGGCTGTTCAAACCAAATTACATGGAGTGAACGCTGAATTCACAACGTTATATTTAGAAGTATAGTGGCTTCCTTACTAATCCACAGCTTTAATAATAAGAGACTAACAACACGATCACTAGTGATTAAAACAGATAGGGTGTATTCATGAATCATCATTATTAAAGTGAATCTTATTACCTGGGTATATTGACTTTTGTGAAGACAGTGTTGATTTTCCAGATCCTTTGATACAAGTCATGTTTCTTTCGTCCTTTTCCTCTTCTTGCATCAACTGTAATCGATACGCACCGCAAAGCATGGCAATCAATTCATGCACTGAATCCTGAATAACTTGACTTTTGATTTGCAAGATATCCCCAGCTTTACTACACAGATAATTGGTATGTTCTAAGAAATAATCTATGGTCCACGGTTCTGAATCACTTAGTTCGCATAAAGTTATATTAGATATTTCGTTTAAAATCTAAAAAGTTAAAATAAATAAGTGTCTGGGAACCAGATATAAATCACAATGTTAATTTTTAAAAAGTTCCACTTCCATCTTATATTCACTTTTCCCTGTACTGAGTAAATTGAGTTCCTCTGAGAGTAGGTTTGTAAATCAAGAATGAATTTCAACTATGAATAACTAAAGTATCAGTTTGTAAGGAGTGAAATGTTTTGTTAGGTAAACACCAGAATGTACCGATTCTCTCTTGTAAACGAATAATTCGACACAATGGGTTAAAGTAGCAAATGTGAAACTGTTAGTACTTAAATTCCCAGTAAATCGAAAATCCAAACAATACATTGAGGAATGTTAATTATTTTGATTTACTCCACTACAGTGGTTAGCTGACCGTTAAACGGTGACAAACTATACCAGTTTCAAATGATTTAGTTCTTCCTTCGTGGTTAAATAACAGCAACCAGAATTTAAGGGTTCGCGCGCGAACGAAGGTCTTGACTTCGAGTCTCGCGAGAGGAGTCGTGATTGCGCACTGCCAAGAAGTCCCGTATCAGGACGAAACAGCCATCTAGTGCTTACAAGCTTTTGATGTGGTCTAAAATTGATCTGTTGATGATCTCAACAAAAACGTAACAATCTCCACAACTCTATACTCAAAAATGATTTGTTTACTGATCTTCATTTTATGCTTGCTGTAACATGTTTGATTCATATAATTTAAATAAGAAAGATTAGTTCAACGAAGAGTTCTCTTTTCGGTAAACTCATTTTCAAAACTGTACAATCGCAAATATATATACTTATTTTTCAGGACGATATTAATTATAATAATATTGATAATAAACTTCTGTTAGACATAGTGACAGTCAGGTAAAATAAACAAAGGTATTTAAAAAATTTTTAAACAAGGAAAGTTTAATAATTGTTTGATTGTTAATGGCTTAAGTATTCATCAAAAGATAGATAGGGAAATTAACATTGGGAAAGGGTGGTTCAGCATGATAAGATAAAATGTTGAATTTAAATAAAGCCAGAGCAAATATAGATGCAGAATAATATGAATTCATTACGTTTCGTGGTTTCTCATCAGTTGCTTACAACCAAATATGTAATAGAATTTTACATTGAAGTGAGAAGTAGTATGAAACAATTGATATAAGTGAATGTAAAGAATTGGAATGACAAAGGTTATCAATAATAACTATATATATAATGTGCAAGAACAGATCAGAGGTTATTTGGTGTTAGAATCTAATACATATTTGGTTGAAAGCAGCTGATGAATCACAAAATATAGTGAATTCATATTATTTTGCATCTATATTTGTTATGGATTTATTTAAATTCATAAAGGGAACTAATTGCATAAAAAGTTGAAATTGAGATTAAATGTAAACAGGAGGATCGCTGAAACAGAAATAAATCAGTTGGATGTTCTTTAAAAAGAGCATTCTTCGCAGCAACGCTGCGAATAGTATTCTCCAGCTAATCATTGTTCACTAGTAATCTTTAAGATAAATTATTGCGTCTGACCAACTCACTGTGCATTTACCAATTTAACTGCTCATGTGGAGCTAGGTATATAGTCGTTCGATGCATACGTTATCCAAAAGAATTCAAGAACATTATCCGACGTGGCTAAGAATAGAAGGAAACGGCTCAACAAAAAGCTCATTAATTGAACATCTTGTGAACACAGGCCACGCAACCAAAGCAGACTCTGCATTCAACGTCATATACAGGGCGAGTAGAAGTCTTCCAAAGACAATTAGATTACATCCTCTTAACAGTGTCGAAGCAATAGCTATACATCTGGGAAAACCAGAATTGTATGTGCAAAAGAGACTGGTACAACCTCTTCTTTTGCCATCGTTTTAATGTTTCATAATTCTCTTCCTTCTTCATACTTTTCTTCCTCTACAAACATCTGCTTCCCCTTCCATCTTCTCTATAGACCTTCTACTCCCAACTGGTTTATTTCTGTTTCTATAATCCTCCTAATTACATTTCATTTCAATTTCAATATTTTATCTTATCATGCTAAACCATCCGTCTTAATTATAACTTCCCTATTTATCTTCATGATGAATGTTTAAGCCCTTAACAATAAAACTATTATTAGTTTCCTTGACTAAAAAAATAATTTTTTTTATTGCCTTTGTTTATTCTAACTCACTGTTATCATGTTTGACAAAATCTTATTAACACTATTATTGTAGTTATTATCATCCTGAACAATAAGTATATATATATATCCACGTTTGTGATTGTACAGCTTTGAAAATGAATTCACCAAAAAGAGAACTCTTCGCTGAACTAATCTTTTATATAATTTACAGAATTATCTGATTTCATCGAAAAATACTAATTAGACGATATATAGTCAATGAAATTTTGTTCTTTCACCTCAGTCACACGCATACATACAACCGTTATCTTAACACACTTTTCTTTACACACTAGATGTCTTATACGCACTGCAACAAATCCTTACTTTCAACATTGTTAATATGATTGGATGACCTGTTTAGTATACAGTTAACCGGAGAACCATGTACCTATTTATATTCGATAATTTGATGCTTGATTATATTTCGTTGAAAAACCTTGGACTGAATTGTTGAGCGAAACATTGGATTTACTTAAAACTCAATCGCTGGGATTTTTACGAATATAATTTTCTTCTATAATGTTTTACATTAGGTTGGCACCCAAATACTAGTGAAACTATTCGTTCAAATTTAGACGAAAGGTTTTATAAATTCTCCTATGATTTATGGTCGCGGTTTTGAATAAGTTCAAGTCGCGCTTTCTATTCAACATGTGTGTTAGAATGGATCTTTATTCATTTTGCAGAATTTAACCAACACCAATTACATAGCTATACAGTTTCAAGAAAATACTTTATTACACGACATTTTTCAATGATACTGAAGCAATGTCAGTGAGTCTACACCATCACAAGTTACATGTTGGAAACATTTATCAATCACTCTGTTTCTCAGCTTACTTGTTCTATTCGGTATTTTTTCAGATCATTTGCACGTTCACTGAGTAACTTCAACTGATTTATATAACTGGTTACATCATCAATGAAATGGTTGATTCCAAGACTTGTCCAGTTCAATAAACATAAACCAGGTTTTAATAAATTTTGCAAATGTGCGAACTGTGCTCGCATTAATTTGATAAACATTGGATCTAGATTAACTTCTATTTCATTTATACTGGTCAACATTGACTAAACAGTTAACAAAATGAAGGCAAAACGACTGTTTAAGTATTTTAGGTTGGAAAAAAATTAGAAGAAAATTTAAAGACATCAATTCGTTGATGATCCTGATTGATGGAAAAACCACTCAAAATCGATAATTAATAGGTTTGCTAAACAGTACTAATGGTTGAAAGAAGTTGAAATAATAATAACTCCATGTTAAAAATATTAAAAACTGAATAAAGGCAATTTGAGATATATGATTGTATCTAAACAAAATGTTCATGTAGCAGAGATATGTATTTATTCCACTATTTTAAAGAGTAGTATTACTTGGTAACAAAACTAAAACACCGATTTGTACTAAACTAATAATATTAGGCAACTATAAATAAAATGTTAGTGATATTAAACAAAGTAAAACCAGCAAATTATACCTCTTGTCAGTTACAGGATTAAGACTTCAAATTAAAAGGTCCTAGGGAAATTATTGTCTAAGAAATATCTAAAAGATTCCATTCATACTGGGTCACCTAAATTTTTTATCCTGTATTTCTTCTTTTCTATCATAATTTGCATATGGGTTGCAATTCATCAAAGGCCAACATGAACTTTTTGCAATAAAGACAAAGAAGCTAGATACCTGTCTTCCTAGTTAAACTTTCATTACCAGAAAGCTTGTTTACAATATTTGGTAATAACATAATGGAATAACGACAAGTATAATTAATATTAAAAACTAAAAATGAAAACTAATAAAAATCGTTATCAACTATTTCAAATTATTAAAGCCTTATCTTTGGTTTAAAACAAATCATTAAAATTGTTTACAACTTCCGAAATTAATCTCACCTTAGTAAGCAACATGCTGGGTGAACGATACAAGTTCGAATTTGTGAGTACGAGATGTACTAAGGTGATTGATGAATACCTATTACTATAGATATTGATATTATCTTTTTACCAAACTACCACTAACACTGAAAAGTCAAACTGAAAGTAACAGATTTCGTATAAGGCAAGGTATTCCATACGTTTTTGATTTAACTGAGCTTCAATCAGTGTTTAGTGGTTGTATATCATTATTTAAGCAGTTAGTATTTGTGGGAAGCGCAAGCGACGGAAATAACTAGAAACTGAAGAAAGATGTACATTTATTTACCATCTCGATAAACTGTTGGAAAAACCTCAACAGAATGTACTTACATAAGGACGGAAACTAAAGTTTTCAGTTAAGAAAATGTGAACTTAGGATCTCTGTACCAAGTTTTGTTTTTGTTAAATTATTCATACTTAGGATAGATCATTAGCCCACACTACCCGTTTGACTTAAAATAATTTAGTGTAAATCAGTGTCAAAAAACGTCTCATACATTTCTATTTATACAAAACACTACAGAACGTTTCATGCAATAAAGTAAATTAAAGAGTAAACGTTCGAACATACTTTCAATTTATTATAATGTAATTTTAATTGGGTTTCTTTTTGACTTAATTCCACGGCAATTTCAGGTATATCTAATCCCCATTTCGATAATAATTCTATTTCTCGATAGACAACTAAAATTTCTGGGTCAAGTGCAACAATAATACGATTAGTCCCTTCATCTTGATAAAGCAAAGGATCACGTAAACCAACTTTTGCAAAGGATATCTATATGGGAAAAAAATGTATATTATTTTATGCAAAATATACAATCTAATGCAAGAGGAAGTTCGAAACAACAGAAATTGATTACAAATGGAAAAAATGGGCAATCCTGGAAAGCGTTCATAAACACAATATCTGACTAAAAACTTATGATAATGATTGGATTTTATATCTCTGTTTATATTCTGTGGAATTAAAAAACCAATGGTAACAGGTTTAGGCAAAGAGTTCTAAGTAAACTAATTACGTTACGCCAAATGTCGAAGTTAACTTTCATCAATCTACGTGAACATATCAAAGTATTTATACACTGGGAATTTGAGTACTCATATATTTACGCTAAATAAGGAATAGAATTGAACTGCAGAATGCAATTAGTAGGTTAATTTAAAAATCTCGTTCAGACTTATTTGTCTGCTTAAATATCTAGAACATAATAATAATTATTTTGTGGTGTATACTACTTATGTCAACAGATATAAGTACTATGTAACACCAATCGGAAGTGGATAACCTAGCAGCAAAAGCGTATGAAGTTTGACTTGAAGAAAACGGAGACTAAACTAGAAATAAATTGTGAATTGGAAGAGAATGTGAAAGAGAAATGATGGAAATTTGCAAATGAAGTATTTCATATATGGTTCTCATATTTAATGATTTTCTGTAATTTGTATTGAAATCCATTGGTTGTTCTCACCTGATGGGAAAATACATAAAGGAGGTAAAAATAATTAGAAACAATATTACGGATATTGTATTTTATTGCCAATTTTGAGAAAGCTTCAATTTGTAACTTAAGTGATTTAGGTTGATTGATAGTTGTTGGTTGAATCTACTCTTATTTTAACAAGTACAAAAAACAAAGAATTTAAGCTAGTTAATTAGTATCCCTCATTTTAGGTGTGACCTGATAACTTAAAGTTAAAAGTAATGCTACAGCAGCAGGATATTTAGTCGAATATAACTAAATAAAATGTTTTCAAAACGGATGGCAGGCCGATAAGGCATTTAGTTTGATAAGGTGTAATAGTGCCCATATTGAATATTTAAAATATCACTATTTATCTATTTTCATTAAAGTTATGACCCGAAATTATATATATGAATTGGTAAGTTTACAAAACTTGATGTGGTGCTCAAGTACTTAATGTTGACTGGAAAGGACTTACGAATGATTGTTGAGCTAATCAAACACTACTCCGGCATTATTACTCGTTTACTGAACCTTCTTCAGTTTTGACGAATCCGTGTCATACACCTAGAAAGGTTTTGCTTTTAACTACCACACTGAGTAAATGTGTAATTCTTTTTTAAACACTGCATACTGATAAACTCTAACAAGTGATACCAGTCAATCTGCTTCAAACAGATTACTCAAACTAGTTATAATAGAAACATAACGCCGCCTGTAGTCTTTCCTCGCCCGGATAAAGGAGGGTTGGGCATGAAGTCAACAACTTCATCCCATGGGAAAATCCTTGATAATAATCCTGCTAACCAGGAAAAATCATTTAAATGTTGTTTTGGGATTTGAAGGGTTTTCAGATTGGACTCAAGATAGGTTTCAGCATCAGGTAAAAGTCATACAAGATCTACTCAAAATAGGGGACACTGGGAGAGACAAAGAAGCATTAGCTTAAGTATGCTTGGAATTGCTATGCCCCAACAACCAACAGCATAAAGAACGTATTTCCACCGACACTCTAGGTGAGACTTAATAAAAGAAGAACAAGGAGAAATTAATCAACAACCGCCGAGTAAGAGCAGAGAAAGCCAAGGCGCAGACCGAATACACAGAAGCAAACAAACTAGTGAAGAAGAGCATTAGAGCTGATAAGTGGAAAATGCTGCAGGAGAAGGGAAAATAACACAACTTTAGAATACAACGAAGAAGCTAGCCGGAAGATATGGTAAACCAGAGCGACCAGTCAAGAACAAAAAAAGAAAACTAGTCACTGAGGTTCAAGAACAGTAGAACAAGTAGGCAGAACAATTTTGAAGAGCTTTTTAATAAACCAGATCCACTGAACCCACCGGCCATCGAAGCAGTACACACAGACCTCCTAAAAGATGTTACCACACCAACAATCGAAGAAATCAGTAAGTTCGTTAGACAAACCAAGGGTGGCGAATCAGCAGGATAACATAGCCTACCAGACAAAGCACTGAAGTTAGATATAGAGATAGCTGCAAATATCTTACACGTTCTATTTGGGAAGATTTAGGAGCAGCCTCCAGAAATGCGAGCTATAACAATCACAAAGGTAAAAGGAAGATTTTGCAGTACAGCACAGTGAGCAACAAACAAATCACACTTGATGATGAAGCTCCAAAAGAGTTGGAAGGCTTTACATACGTAGGTAGCATTGTTGAGAAAAAATGAAGATCTGATGCAAATGTGAAGGCACTGATTCGGAAAGCTAGGAGAGAATCTCTGCAGCTGAAGAGTACCTGGAACTCAAAAGGAATGTCAGACAACAGCAAAATAAGAGTGTTTAACATCAACGTATAGACGGGTATATTTTACGGTGCTGAAACTTTGACAACTACCACAACTATTATCAAAAAGGTGTAGGTGTTTATAAACAACTGTCTACGCACAATACTTCAGATCCATAAGGCAGCGACCATCAGCAATAATAGAACATGGTAAAGAATAAACCAGTTTCCAGCTATGGAGGAAATCAGAAAAAGACTATGGAGGTGAATAGGATCCATATCACGGAAATCATCAGACTGAATCACAAGGCAAACCCTAACTTGAAATGTCTAAGGTAAGAGAAGAAGAGGTATACCAAAGAATACGTGGTGAAGATAATTAGAGACAGGTATCAACAGGATGAATAGTACTTTGGAACAACTAGGAAAGAATGCCTAGGGCAGAGTTGGTTGGAAATGTTTGGTCGACGGCCTATCGGCCATAAGAGAGAGCACGGTTAAGTAAAAAATATAGAAGAAAGATAAGTAATCACTGATATCTTTACGAACTAAACTGTTACAATTTAGTGTTATGTCCCGGTAAGAATAATGAGTGATAATTTTTCGCTGCTCTCTGACTGGTGGTATCGTTACGTTTCACATTAACATGGCACACAGGCCCGAAGTTATAACATTTAGTTTGTACCAGATGGAACATAGAATGAGCATATCATACTAGATTTCTTTGTACTTGAATTTTTGTATTAGAAAGTTTCAGAAACAACTTCGTGGGGGGGTGTAAAAAGTGACTGACTAAAATATGTGTTAAACCAGTGTCGGACATAAGATAACGACAGAAAAGGGAAAGGGTTAACTTAGAAAAGAAAGTATCGGTAAAATGTGTAGTTAAAAACTAAAACCAGTTTATGTCAGTTATCTGAAACAATATTTAATCAAATTCTAATATCATTTATCCCTTTCACAATACTCTCAGTTAGTAGAACGGATATCAGGATCTCTAAATCTTCTAAAAAATGAGTGATTTGGTGACTAGCAGTACTTCAGTTTTAAGGTTACAAATTTTGTGAGTGACTTGTAAATTAACGTACAGTTCTGAGAAAAACCGAGTTCAATATTCAGATACACAAAATATTAATTGGAATAACAACTTCTTCAACAAGTTTGCAGCTCTAAATTCCTATTTATTGTATAATGATACACTAAATGTGAGAGTTGAATTCATACATGTTACAAATTGGAATTGGCCATTCTCAGATCAGTTACCGTTAATATTATAAATTATTTTATCTGTTCGCTAGAACTTATCCTCTCGAGATACATAACATTTCCCGTACTTTATGCATCATTTTTCTTAAGATTACCAATGACGTACTTCGTTAGTATTTTGTAGTTTCATGAATCAATCAGTATTAAATTTACTATTTTCAATTTATAAGATGACTTAATTAATTTGTCCGTCGCAGAAAATTAATAATTTTGGATTCAGAATTGTAGAGCCTGATGAGAAACAATTGTTTGCTTTCATGTTTCTTGGAGGTTTTTAAAATCCAATATTAAGATGTCTAACACAAAACTGTGAAATCAATACATTGAGATACAGATTGAAAGTATGTGCTAAAAAACCTGTTTTTCTATGCGATAACAATCGTTAAACTTTAAACCGCGACTGAATAGTGATCGCGTACAAACCAAAGTTTATTGGAGTCTAAGTTACTTATCGATTAAAATGTCTGATTAAAGTACCTATAGACTGTATTTCATGTCATGTGTGCAAAACACTAGAAATTATAACACATTATACATCAAGATTAAATTTAATTAACTGCATATGTTTAAACGATTTTTGAAATGTTTAAATTGCATACAATTTTCATACTGCAACTTAACCCAGTCAATCGTGATTTTGCAGGAAATAATTCGGGAAACAGCGATCAGAGTGATCGTAGAATCTACTTTTTTATTCATAATCATCAGAGATTTACTGTGAAGAAATCTAGTTGATTGTTTAATCGTTCAAGACTTCTATGGTAGTCAAAGTCTTTAAACTACTTTTTGGCAAATAACTGGATCGTAAATCGTTTGCTTGTGATGTAAGTTTAAATTTTGAAATAAGATATGGATTCAGTCGAGTTCAACTAAAAAATGCTTACAATTACGAAACTTAGTTCAAAGGGTGTTTATAAACTGGATTCAGGTTCTTACAGTAAACTAGCTCATCGGTAACAAGAAAATCTAATGTTAAATAAGTTCATTTAAATAACCCATTAACCTGGTTAATCCAATTACGATAATGAACCATTTCGTAGGTGATCAAAACTTCAGCTAACTTATTATACTTTTTAGTAATTTCTTTGCCTTCCTTTGATCGCATCAATTTGATTTTATCGGTAAGCATAAGCATTGGACTTTCAATTCTTCGATATAACTCTTTTGCCCAGGAAATTTTACCTATCATTATGAAAACATTAAACAACAGAAAAAGAATGATGATTTATAGTTCATTTGAGGTTTTTTGATGTAGTGCAAAGAATTAATGATCATGAGACATAAAAATCTAACAATTTGAACCTGTAAGAAGTTTCGGTTCATAGAATTTAACCTTAATTGTCATTCTTTATGAAACATAGAGGGTATTGATTAGCTCTAAAACACCCTAGTACACTACAAACTACAAAATGAACAAAATAAAAAGATACCAACTAAAACATGAATGAAAAAAAGCTGATAATGGACTGAGGTTAATGCTTCTGGGATAACTCATGTTAAAAATCATATGCACATTAAACTGACAATTATTTCAATTGGAACTTATTAGCCAGTTCAATGCCTGAGATTTTGTCTGTTCAAGTTGTGTAACGCATTCAAAACAATCATCACCCCATCTTGTGGTTAGATTTAAATGCTTGTTTAATGTTTATCAATCATCGTTCGCTTGCATACTTACGTGCTCATACTAGCAGATTAGATTACCATAGGTGAAATTATGAAACCTATTTTCAACAAACAATCAACTTAAAGATAAGATGAAACATGACATCAATATATCAAACTAGAAGCACAGCTTACAGTGATGCCTTTACAACGTCAATAAACACTTATTCACTATTATAGCACTTCTAGTAATTATAAATTCTACAACTTGTAGCACCAGTAAATTTGGAATACCTGGTTCCTAAAACTACGGAGTATTCTGTAAACTTAAACAAGTTTCAATAAAAATTATTTTTCAGTTTTCTAGGTTTTAAGACACATTTTACAACCCAGAAGACGTCAATCGTGAAAAATCTAAGTATGAGAAGGATTTCAACAACATTTATGGTTATTGAATGTCGTTGAGGCTGTCAATGATAAGACCATAAATTTCTAAAGTAGAACATAAACATTCCTCCGTTGAGGGATAGAAATTTTAAACTTTTTTGGGGAAAAGCGTGATCGATTGAGCCAATTAAGTTGAAATTCAAGATAAATCCTAGTATTTGGTGTCAGATTTAGGTCTATAGGAAATGGAAAGTACGTGCTCCTAAAACGAGCAAACTAACATTCCCGTATCCTTTTAAATCACTTTTTCATTCTAATAAAAAATTATGCCCATAATAATAATAGTAATAATACTAATAATAATAATAATAATAACATCATGCGCACTGGAAAAAATAATGACTTTCTAAACTCAGTAGCTCATTGGATAACGTGTTATGCGAATAAAGTAGATCGTACTTGGTTCGAGTCATAGTGTGAATATCAACATTGGGATGCGTGCACATGCTGGTGACGACTTCTGAATAGGACAAAAACACACATCATGGATACCATTACTAGTCACCATCCATTTGTTGTAAATAATGAAGATACTCATTTTAAAGAGGATCTTCTTTGTAAGTCAGTCAATCGAAAAGACTTTCCTTAATCCAGAACACATGAATGACATTATCTCAGTCAGTCAGTCAGTCAGCTACAACGTAGGACCAGGCACATATGTGCATCGGTCCAGGTTGCCATACCGCATCAGCACAACAAGATGAACACCGGATTCATAGCAGTGGTTAGGTCAAAAATGGTAATAAATAAGAGGAAGATTGCATATAGACATTATCTAATTGAGTAGAGATTTCGAAAAATTATTAGAAGGAATGATAACATCGTAAATTAACGCTTCAAAGTAGTTTATCCTTTTTATAGCTTTGAATAATACATCAGGAACGGATCTATAGTGAACTCAAATTTGATACTTGAAGATGAACTAGCTGAATTTGTATCTATCACTGTTTCTTATTCGAAATTTTTATTTGGTAGAATGAACAGAATAACCAGTAGTAATAATTATGCAACTACAAAATAAAGTTTAAGATCACAGTGTCACAGATAACAACAAACCTGCTATTGGAGGTATATCACGACCAATTGGTGGTGAAGCTTTAAATTTACTGTATTCTTTACCAACATGCTCTATAAGCTGAGAAAAACGATGCAATGATTTTATATGTGCTTCATCTACACCCAAGTTTGGTAAGTTTAATTTTTCAAACTGTCCAATAATATGTAAACTTCTTTGTAGATCATGATGCCTGTTCATTTCTGTATCGAGTAGGGATCTTAAACTAGTCTGAAGTTATAGAAGTGAAAACAAATACGGAATTAAATATATAATGGACAAATCAATAATTCAGATGAAAATGCTGAAATTATCGTTGATATGAGCTACCAGTATTGATACGTAGTAATTCTAGCAATATAAGCAATTGTAAAACCTTGACAACTACACAACTGGCCTAAAACTATACACATTGTGTCAGTCAGCCAATAACAACGTAGAAATTCTTACATACGTATATCAGTTCGAGTTGCCATACCATACATATTGTATAAGTCCTAATGATAGTATCTACCTATCTTAAACTCTTTCTAGGTTAAATGAAAGCGGAACAGATGGTTTTTTGACGTAAAACTAACGCTCTCAACGTGCTGTTCAAAGCTCTTTTAAGGCATAAAATAAACATGAGTTCTCTCATTTCTTGTGTGTGTCATAGAGATTCACAATCAAAAGAATTTCTATTAGGCCATACTGAATCTAGTTTACTGTTAAATATATATTACGGAACAAGAGATTTCAAAAAGCCAAGTTAAATAAACAGTATTTAATTTGATCACATTTCTCATTCAGAACACTTGCACTATCCTCTTTCACCTTGTCTTCGGTATCTCCATAATTTCGTTGTACTGTTCTGTGCAAAGCATATCATTATCCGTATTGTGAAACGTTTACTTTTGATATATATAAAACATAAAATCGATTAACTTACATAGAAATGATCAAACAAGACAGCTGTACAGGAATGAAGATTTTAATCATGAAAGATATATGGTCCCTTAAGCAGCACATACTAATGCTGGTTGATGTGCTTTAAAAAGATTTCAAACGATTTCCAGCAGAACAGTTGTACTGCGAACTTGTTTTAAATTGTTTAATTACATTCTCCCTTGCGTAGTTGACCTATTGTATCTCTTGCCTCAGTGAATTTGACTGGTTCTATTTGGTTTTATCCATGATAAATCCTACTTTATTGGTGAGCATTTGGTCGATTGATAGGCCATAGATTTCGTGTTCATTGGTAGTAATCAACAAGTGGATCTAGTACTGTAAAGAAGCTGATACCTCCTAAGAATTTCTATCACATACAGTTCGGCAATCAACATTGTTACCAGTGAACCAGGCTGAACACACCCTAATAGGATATAACCATATAAATGCCAAAACAGACCACTTTCGAAGTATGAAAAGTAAGCTATCTTTGTGAGATTCGGTACCACACTTTAAGTCGGCTTGTTTTTCAAGCACTACATGACAGATCGCATCTGGCCTACTAATGAAAGTAACCAAGTTATTATTTATCGATTAATGCGTGTTTCTCTAAACCAGATAAGTAAATGTTGGTACATTTTGAAATATACAGATAAAAATGATTTGGTAAACTAACCCGTATATCACTCATTTTCTTTTTAAACTCCATGATACAGTCATCGACTTCGGTTTTTCGTTGGTCCAAAAAGTCAAATTCACTATTTCGTAGTTTATTTACAGCGAAATTGTACATCTCAATAAGTGGATCTAATTTTTCAATTTTTGACACTAGCAAACAAGAATACGATGAGATCATTTGGAATATGTCATTAATTTCACCCAATCTTTGACAGAATAAATCATATTTACCAAATATATGTATTTCAGATAAATCAAATTGTTTTGAATTCGGTTTAGCAGCTAATTCTGTTTTGATTCGTTGAAATGAATTCTTATAGACTTGATGTAAATTACAGCAATCTATAATCTTTTTCAAAATGATTTCTGTTTCCTCTGTCCAAATTGTACTTTGATAATTATTAGTAATGTATGCTTTACATGCAAATATCATTTGATTAGTGACCTTGACAAATAGTGAAGTGATTTTTTCTTGTGTATTATAAAATGTAGATATCTCATAAACTAGACGAATCATTGTCACAAGTTTCGGTATACTGTCCAACATTCCGACCTACAACAAAAAGGAATCAACCAGGTATTTTTGCTTTATTTTTACACTTTAAAATTAAGATTTAGTGTCATCAGTCAATCATCATCTACATCGAGTTTGACACTGATGATGTAAGCGAAATGGCAGTTCCAATTCATCATCATATGATCTTTCATTTCTGATTTAATTAACTTACAAAGAAATGTTATATAGAGCTAACGTCATTAAAGAGGTTCCATAAACGTTGGAGTAACTCCTCATCCATATCAACTGATAGGAGATTTATAGTAGTGACTGTTAGATTTTTGTATTAATAGTAATATTTTCTCTCAAGTTTCAGAATCTAAAAGTTTCGTTTCGAAATGAATTATTACAATTTTTTATATTTCTTACCAAGATCCTATATCTTACTGTGCAATCTACTGTAATTTTTTAATACATTAAAAATGCTACTTCAGACTGGATCGGCAAAAATGGATGTTTTGGGATATATCGAATTAATTTTCATTTTGATACAACATTTTCTTCATTCAGTGTCGTTTTATATTCAAATACAATTTTCAACATTCATTAATTCCTTCTCAAGAAAGTAAAATATTTATACTCTTAAAAAAAAGACACAAAAGGACACACATATGAATTCATATAAGTATCAAAGAACATTTTCCTGAACAGTGATTTTAGCCAAACAGAATATAGGTTACCAACAGATATTTACAGTAGTACAAAACTTTCTGACCATGAATACATATTCAACATGATTATAAAAATATAAGTGAGATGAACTTGGAGGTTAAATCTTAAATAGATAAATAACTGTAACATTTCATTACTGAATAGTTTGATATTAACTTTTAAATGAAATTGATTAGATCATTAATGTACGGTTTATATCATAATCATGTACGGTTATTATCATTTTGTGATTGATTATATGTGTATATTTGTTTAACTATGAATATAATACTAATACTGTTATTATTTGAAACGAAAGCTTACTGGATCACATCTGTACAATGGTTCACAATATTCTTCCAGTGTACTTAAAAATTTTAGGTTATTTTTAGCTTCATTTGTGTAATCCATTACTTGGGATTCTAGTTTAAGCCATCTCTGAAAAATAAATTAATGGAATCTTCAATAAAATATCAGTAGTCGATTAAATATGGTTTTAATCGGGAAAGACAGAAAAAAGTGAGTAATATTTTGGTGGTAGTCAATTTAGTGAATCTAGTGAAACCGTCTTTTGAACAATCACTGAATAGAAATAAGAAAATTGTATTCAGTGCAAATGTTGTTTCTGATATGAAGTCATTGGATATTACAAACTTTATGGAAAATAATATTTCTAGGTCATGTTGATGAGTACAAGTGTGTTTTTATGAAGTAAGACGAAAGGTGTACATGAAATTGTCTCCCGATTCATCCCGTTAGAATTATTCTAAGTGGTTAATATACTGTCAGAAAAGAATCTTAAGATGTTCAATCCGAAGACACTTGTTGGATAACAGGATTTTGGTAAATCAAACTGCTTACACTTTTGGTACAAAACGTCGGTATGTAATACAAATTTTTACCTAATAGTAGTTCGAAATATATGTAGTGAGGATTTTTCAGAGGTTTTATTCTTATGGTATTCGTAAAGACGCTTATATGAAGTGTACTAAGTTATTTCCAGTTGTTCATAAAATTTTATTTGTCATCACTCTCCTGATATGCAATGTTTCATCAATCTCATAAACTTAATAGTTTACACTTAATGAAAGATTGGATTCATTAAATCTACCGACCTTGACTTATCTGTACAAACGAACCTGGTCACTTTCAATTGGGGGATCATTTGAATCCAAACAGCGAAAACTAGTAAACATTTATAGGCTTATACAAAGAATAAGTATCAGAACCGATTCAGCTTAAATCTACAACAAAAGGAGTCAATTTAAATCCTACAGTGAGTTGTAAATGAAAATTGCAACATTAGCAACATACATAACAGCAAAATATTCATTTATGCTAGAATTTATTGTTGTTATTTATTCAGCTTAAAATTACTAGATCTGAATGAAGTTTAATTATTTCTTTTGAAGTAATAATTATCCAGGTGATGCAATGGTTCTGAAACAGATTAGTAAACCGTATAATTAATTACTTCGTAATCGTAGACAATGTTTGAAATTTGTCCTTATTAAATTTCAGTGGCTAAATCGTATGTGATGGAATGCTTAGAGAAATTTTAACACTTTATACACCATCAAAAGTTGTAAAGCAGTGAATTAGATTAAACTCTCCAACTTTGTTGAGATAAGATATATCTTATTGAACCCGAACTGTTTGAAAAAATTTATCGTTCTGAAAAACAGAATACACTCAAAAAATAAAACAGTTTCACAGAAAAACCTTTTGCGAGCAATAATGAACAGTAAATAAACAGCAAAAATTACGAAAGCTAATTGATAATCTTTCGCTTCGTTTGTTAGAAATTATAAAATTTACAAAGTCAAAAATTATGTAGTATCTAACTTTGACTAATGGACAATTGATGGTTGAAAGTATGCCAAATACAATTTTACAGTTATGTTTATTCATTTCTTCGAAGATTGTATTGAATGTGATCATTCGTCTTCGCCAATATTCTAACTCTACTCGGGGGCCGGTGTTATCAGCTTCTTTTCTGATTTGATCAGCAATAACCATTACCTTATGTGAATAATAAAATGAGCGGGAATATTACATAAATGTACATTTTGTAAACATATTGACAAAATATTCGAGTGATATGTTGTCACTGTTTCCAATGCGAACAGACGAACGACGATGATCTACTAGAAATGTAACCCCAACTTGAATAATAAGTGAATTGCATTCATCTTATATTTATCTCGGCCTACTATGTTTGAATAAATCGGTAAATCTAAGTTGTAAGTCGAGAGAGCTCTGCTATCTAAAGTAAAGTGCAAGTTATCGTCCGTTTTTTAATAACATACATTTACACAATTTGTTGAAATAGCATGTTGACAATAAATTCACAATATTCAATTGATTAAAGTTACACATCAACGATGTCGGGTTCCGGCTCAGTGGTCTATAAATAAAGTGTTGCATTCCCACGTGCATGATCTTTGATGAGTACTGCTGAGTAGTCCCTTAGGGCTTTAAACTGTGAAAGTTCTAAAATCTCCACATGTATTCCCCACTAGTTAAAAAATATTTAATAAATTAGTCTTTTTTGACAATTCCAGAAAATGAACGTAATTAAAGCCTCTGTTTAATTAGAAAATTTATGCATATACTTAATCAAGAGTAATTAGGAATAACTTGTCTTACATATAAGACTGATTAGAGTATGGAGAAGATAAGTCATTGATGTTATGGAATATTTTTCTAATATAGATCATTTCACTGTGGGCTATCTTTCATAGCCGGATATCAAATCTTGTTACTGGTATTTATTTAATCGGCAAAGATATTCTACTACATAAAATACACATTCTGTATTAACTATAACTTTCAACATTAAGGTTGATAACATACATTTGTTAATCTCCAACCTGAGATTAACTGATATTATTTTGAAGCTATGAACTAGGTCTAGAGAGTTCTCTTGACCAAACTAGTAGATAAATATTAGCTTCTAAACTAATTCTGTACAAAACATACCAACCAGTTAACATCAGAACTATCTATATACAACTTCTTAGAAGAAAATTACATCTCTTATTGATTCTTTTGCAGATTTCTTGAGTTGTTAATAAGCTGAAACCAGAGTTTCTAGTAGATTCCTATCAATTTAATTATTATATATTCTTCTGAACCTCTTTTCATGAATTTATAACCGAACATCTTTGCTCTCTTTTTCAATGTACTTTCAAAGACAATCAAAAGTGAATTCTGTCAGTGGAAATTATATTGAAAACAATGATATTACTTTAAAATTTATACATAATCACGGTTCAGTTTTTTATGTGAATAGATTATTGGAAAGTATAGCAAACCAATAGTCATTTCTTGATTAAATTAACATTATCTATGCTTAAAAAATAACGTTGATTTTGTCTTTTACAGGCACTTTATGAACCATAATTAATAAATCAAACAACTTGAGGTTGCAAAGTAATACAAGAACTATATTTTAATGGTTATAATCGCTTAAGGCCAACTGTAAATACAAGCCACTTTTACAACTAAGCAGCTTCTTTTGTTATACACCCTCAATCCAGCTCTTATATTGAGTTCAAAGTCTAGAAATCATTTGGAAAGCTTTTCATCACTCAAACAACTGCGTGCTACCTAAGAGTCGATGGTTTCACCAGTAGTTTAGAGCTCAAAATAAGGAATAAATAAATTTTCAATACCATCTGGTCTGTGTGTTATTCTATCATCAAGCCAACCGAAACTTGAACGTTATCCATGATATTTTACTAAAATTTAAAAAATATATTCATTACACACTTGTTCTAGTTGATTAATCCAAGTCTCAGCATAGATTTCTAGTTCCTTCAGCATGTCAGGATTGACTACAGATGATATTCTTTTAGTGTCAAGTGTTGACTGGATTTTTTCAATTGATTTATTTTGAAAAGATTTAAAGTGAAACTAAGATTGAAAAAGAAGGCAAAAAGAGAAAATTGTTCACAATATTTTTTAAACAATGTTGAAAATGGTTAAATGCTGTAAAAAAATTTTGAAATAAATCATAAATTAGCTTTTTTATTTCACCAATTTTAAACGTACATACATCAACATCAGGCAAACGATCAAGAGTTTTGTTCGTAAAGTCAATGGTGCCAAGTTCATGAAGGTAAACTTTGATATCATTTATATTCAAGAACTATTAAATTGGACATAAGTAAATTTTAAATTTCCATTACGGTATACTTACATATCTTAAATTTGTTAGTGAACAATAATACTTTGACAAGCATAACAGCAATGTAATTCATATCTTTAAAATAGTGACCTCATAACACAGAGAGCCACTTATTTACAGTACGCTCAAACATATTTATATTATCCCATGAATAGTACTCAGGTTAGTCAGTAATCAATAAACATATTGAAATAGAATCAATTTACTAATCGATCACAAAAATCATAAACAAATATAAATAAGAGGGAGACAGTCAAAAGATATTTACAGATAATGTTAGGGTAAGTAGTGACAAAAGCCAATCAAACTCAACATCGATAGAACAAGTTGTTAGTCACTTATGCAGAAATCGTCGTAGCTTTCCTTCATCTCTAATTTCGTACTGATTTAGCCTAGAAACATAGTGAAGACTTCACGATTAAACTGCCCACTTAAAAGAACTCAATTTCAACCGATATAATTTACTTGCTTTTATCTGTTGTAGATTCAAGAGTCAGAACATATATTCAGTGTATGAACTTACATTTGTCAAAGCTGCTGTAAATCAGCTTCACGTTCTTCACAGTCGTACTTCTTTATTACCAAGCAAAAGATTATCAGATACTGTGAAATCATGGAACTGCTACTCTGTTATATAGATCCGATTTTAACAACGACAGATTGTACAATATATATCATAGTGTGTCTAGCCTAGGAGATGAACCTAAATCAGAGGCCGAAAAGATGCTGGATCCCGATAAGTTCAAATTCTGTTTCTTATCTTTCATAATCGTTTATATACGAGACAGTAAACGTGAAACTCAATTAGAATGATCATTATTTAAGCAAGTTACACAATCCATATCAACTATTTACAAATGATTCTGAATGTCTTTTCCAAATACTTATGGTAACTATCTCCTAGTTTGACGAAGAGATTTATTTGAAATCGATATTTTGATCCCATCGGATTAAAATTACTCTATATTGGATGTGAACTATATCCTGAATCGGAAAATTACTACTTTCCCAATAAGTTAAATGAATTAACGTGATGTCATGAAATTGTTTCATGAATTAGAGCTATTACATTTTTCTAAATGTAAATATTCATGTATATAGATAAGATACTATATATATAGTTTAAATTCCGTTTTCGTAATACAACCAAAAAACGTTTTGACAACGTGATGAGTTACAAATAATAAGACCGAGTTTTTTTCATAAAGCATTATTTTCGCTCAAGTTGATCACCGAAGATACACCTTGTCTGAATACTGGAAGGTCCTAAATTCAAGTTGAAAATCTCCAATTCACTGCCGTCGACTATTTGAAATTTAATAAAGAAATAAATCACTTTCAATTATGTTAACTGATTTTTCACTTCAGTATCATTGTGCTATTTAAAATTTAATTTACTCATAAAAAAATAAAATAGAAAAATATAAACTTTCTTGAACCGTTTTAAACTTGAGAAATTAGTTTGGGGCACAGTTTCACGCCTATTAAAACCTCTTCCGGGTTCTATTCCTCACCTTGTTTGTACCGTGATTTATGTGAACGCTAAAGTCATTCAGACTATTATGAAGTCGGTTAAATTTGATGTTGATGCACTTTATTGTAGTAGAATTCTCAAATGGAGTACAGATGTAACTACTTAAAATTCATTGACCAATTTTAAATGACCAGATGGTTACTCGGATTTGGTTATAACTCAGAAAGTACTTAGGCGAATCAGTTAACTAGTATAAAATAAAAATGCATAAAAATTACTCTGTTTTCCAAGAATTCCGATGTTTCCTTAAGAATTTTCACAAATTTTTTTGTGTATTCAACTAAATCCAACTTTTGTACGTCTATTGAAACTGTCTTCTCCACGAATACTTTGTTCGGAATTGCTCGAAGTTGTGGTAACATTAAAGAATCGAGCAGGTTTCCAAACGCATTCAAAAAGTCTTTGGCTAAGTCTGTTGTCAGAAAAGTCACTTCCTAAAAAAGCCAATGATAATGACTGGTCTATAGTGGAGAGAAGTAAAGAGTTGTATATATCAGAACTATGGACAGAAACTATATAATTACCCTTTAAATGGCATATTTACCTAATATGAAGTTCGAGTAACGATAAAATTCAACAGTATTTAGTTATAACCAAATGTGTCTCAAAGGACAGAGACAGGAAATAAATATTCGAATAAAAAAGGAAAGCCGCCAGTTATAAAATCTCTCTCGAATCCACTTAATATGTATTTCAGCCCCTTTAGTTCCTTTCTAGTTCAACATGAGTTCTGCTTCATTCTGTTTGAAACTTTTGTGATGAATACTTTAAACGTACAAAAACAATACCTCGATTTAGAAGATAAAAGATATTCCGGTATGAAATCAATTAAATACGTAGTGTAATAATATTCACAAGGATTCATCAAAATTCATACCATCTTAGTTCGATTTTGGATCAACAAACCTGATACAGGTAAATCACTTTAAGGAAGACTGTCATGTATATTGTTAATTATAAACTCACGAGTTGAAGCTAAACCAGAGATTTCCCTCAATTGGTCAAACACATGCAATTTACATCCTGGAGCATAAGTGCTTCGGTTTAGGTTCTCACAACTCATCAGGGTAGCAAGACGAAATTAACAAAATTAATACTGAGTTACCGTAGTATCAACGGAAATGAAAGAGCGTGATTCGGAAAATAATGGATTCGCTAAAGAAAAGATATAGAAGAATCCTAGAACTAAGTATCTAAGGGAAAACAAAGAGTGAATGTATCTGCCCCATTGCAACCCATTGTTTACAACCACTGGTTACGATAATTGTGAGGACTCCAAAAACGTAATCTGCACCTATCACACGGCTCATTCTGACTATCAGTAACTACATGACATGATGCCAAGTCTCAGTCTGACGACTCATAGCTTTCTTCCAACTTGTTTCACCTAAAAACACGTCGATAAGTGGGTTTTTGAGTATAAGCAGTACATGTAAAAACTAGGTTAATCGATGAACATTGAGAATCTCTTGAATTAACTTATCATCTTTGCTTGGAGATATGTGTATAACCTAAGTGTTGTTTACTCTGTTACCCTGAAATGTTTGACTCAAGTGGTGGTGTTCAAGGCGGTAGCCTTCATATGATCTATGTTGTCTCTTTTAGTAAGCCTTTTAATTACAAAACGTACCACAAAACTTTCATATTTATATCACTGTAGAGAAAATGCTGGTTGCAGTTAGAATGTCAATACAGTGTATGGCTAAAGTTATATCTGATATTCGGGTATTAGTTGTCATGAATATATTTTCCAGAGCTGTACCGATAACAAAATCTTAGAGCGATCGGAAAAGCCGCAAACTTGTTTAAATTCAAACTTTCATACATCTCATCACTAAATAAAAATCATTAGAATATTCAAACAGTTAAAGAGATAACAAGAATTTGGACAATAAACGTTTATTATCACTTCTGATTATTTACTGTGTAAGTATATCGAACAATACGTGTGTCCAGGATTTTTCTTCAGATCAATGACAGATGATATATGAGTTCAAGTTAAAGAAATTTTAACTGGGAAATATATCAACTGGATGGTGGATAAGGACTAAAGTGCACAAAGCAGTTTTCACCTAACTATCAAAAATCTTTGGATGAATGTTCTAGAATCAAATCCTGCAATGTAGATTGCCATAAAATTACTCACAGATTTTAAATTGTACGGAAACTCAACTTGTGAAATGTCAAGAAATGTGAAATCGTTTGATAAAACAGATTTCTTGTCTTAAACCCTCAAGTAACTCATGGTCTATTTCCAAATTCTTGAAATTAAAGCATTTTTTGTCGCTCTTTCCACAATAGCCGCTGATTTTTAATCCAGATAAATATCGTCTGTAACCTCAACGAATTCTAAAACTTTCTTAGAAAGCATGGCACGATTCGTTCATCCTATTACTTCACAACACGTAATTTTTGATCCAATAAATTCCTCGAATTTCGGCAGACGTCTCAAAACAATTAAGTTGCAAATACTAAAATCCACCTATCCCTTTGTTGTTTCTCAAGACAAACATATATTATGCATTATACATGAGTAACAAACGAGTACAAACTTTTTGATATCTTAACAAATTTCTAAGATTGTTGTAACAGTTTTGTATCATAAAAAGTAATTTTACTGTAATTTCAGATCATTCTAATACGCTAGTTACACCTTTTGCAAAAGACGTATTGATGAATATTGAGTAGATCAAGGTGACGGTACATTTGGAAAAAAGACAGCCTTTTTGATGTCTTTAAAGTAGTTTTAGTAGGGGTTTTATTTAGCTATTGAATAAATAGCCGAAAATAATTTCAATTTTGCAAACATTCATATGGTTTCGACAAAGAGCAGCAATAAGTTGTGATAGACGAGCTAAGTAAGTAAAGGTTTAAATGACAACAAAAAGTAATTTCCCAAAATAATTATGACTAATCTTGGCTGAACATTTCAAAGTATGATTCAACTCGTAACTTAATTGCTTTAAATGTTTCAAATGCCATCATTTAATATACACATATAATGATGCATCTTAGTTTCAAATTCTAGAATAAATTATCATTTGACAATGGATCCTCTACCGTTTGTCTTTTCTTCTGTTGCACTCTAGTAATTGCGTACAGACAGATAATTAGTGTGACTATATATTACAAATTGAAAGACATTGTTTGATGTTTGATGAACAGAAATATTTATCTATTTATCAAGGGCATTAAGGATTATTAATGTATACGTTTTCGTTTCCTAACTCAAACAAGAATCATGCTAAAGGAAAATGATAGAAGCTTGAGGAAACAGTTCTATAAACTTCAAAATTATTCCACCTGAAAAAGATGCTCAAACGTCGTCTAAAACGGGAAAAACGAAGTAAAATCTTTGTGTTTTTAATGAAAAGACTGACTGTAGACTATTAGAAATAGAGAAAAGTATAACAACATAAACAATCCTGATGATAATTTAAGCGGTCTTCATGAAATAACCATGCTAAACAGGTCTGAACTTTTTACTATTTCTTACGTCTAAATATGTTGAAGCTGCTTAACATGTCTAAATGCATGATTTACAAACCCTTGTAAAATCAGTTTCATAAAGTATTTTACAAAGTAACTAGTTAAGTGAAAAAAAAAACTGGTTGCCACTTTCAAAAATAAAAAAATTCTTAGCAAACACAGAGATCAGCCCGATACTTTTGAAATGTTCTCAGCTGTTATTTGAAGTTCTGCATTGACTTTTGTGAAGACAGCACACGAACCGAGTGCATATGCCTCAGCCACTGTAGATACAACAACACGTGGTCTAGCTGGGACCAGTGAACGCGAGAAAACACCAATCCTTTCATTAACATCTTAAGAAAGTAAAACTTATTCGACGCAACGTACCTGATTTTTCAGACTTAAGACTAATAAACAAAGCTTTCATACCTTCGGGATTGAAGAAAGATTTTATTAAATATACCTAATTGTAAGAACACCAATGAAGTTACTTGTTCACCATCTAGTATACATTCTAAAACATAGCTCTTATCAATCTTGAAGTGCAGAGAAATTTTTTCAAAAAGAAAGTGGAATCTACTGTCGACCAAAGATTTTCTGAGTTCACGATCCAAACATTTCATTTCCTAAACATATCATGTAAATACTTGACCGACATAAGCTTACAGGTTTATCTTGCGCGAAATCAATAACATTGGATGCATTGTCTCGGACTTCTTTATGTCCATGACTTTCGGATAACATATGAATCGGAATAATATAAATCACACTATTTTGCAAATTTAAATTTGTAAACGTTTTCGTCTCTAGTTCAATTGAATGTTTGAATCATAAAAACAAACTACTTCAATATCAAAAATCTGAAAACCAACACCTTGTTAAAAATAAAGAAGAAGGCTCGAATTGCCTGACAAGTCATTCAAATTTTAGCAAGGGAAACAGTGATTCATACAGTAAATACAGTGAAATACTACATATCGTCAATGTTGTGAGGTGTTGAATATGTAGTAACATCTATGTTCATTTTCATGTTAGAAAAGTAAACACTTCTCTGCTGTTTCGATCCAACACCGTCTTTGAAGACACTCTTGTGAATACTTTTATGCTTAAAGAGTCTTTTGTTAACATCAATCGTCTTATTTGTATTATCATTTATAATCAACAGCCATAGGTTTTTGAGACACTTAAATATCATTTGTTCTAGTGTATACTACAATCTAACCGTTTTTTGTTTGCCCATAAGCCAAGCAACTTAAAACTGGCTAGTAAATTGACGACACAGAGACACGCCCATTCACACAAAACGTCAGTGAAGGCAGTCGAGCGAAAATTCAGACCTCTACGGGCGGTATGGTTCCAAAGATGTCAAAAGTATTCGGAATTCGACAACATCTTTATCAGTTACACCTTTATGATATAACTATACCGACACAGTCAAATCCGAAGTCGGAAATGAAGGGGTCTGAAAACATATTTAGAAGACTGTTGATATGTCGAAAATCGTTTGGTACAAGCTGGTTAACATTTGTTAAGGGTGCATAGAATGGTGTGCCCACACAGACTGGTATGGATGAGTGATAGAGCGCCTGCAGCTGGATGTGTCTAGTAAAACTAATGAGGTCAGCTTAAATGTCATTGGTTTTAAGGATTTACTTACCGCTACAAATCAAATTGGTTCCTGTTTTTGCCTTACATATCAAAAGTCTGAGTGCCTAAATTTGAATATTAAAAAGTTACGCTGACTTTACTCGGAGTTTTGAGCACGCTACACTTTATACATCATTTTGTTTTTTATTTTGAGCTTAAAGATCATATTCTATTTCCTAAGATTTATTGATTTCACTGCAGGATATAATTCTTCGTTTAAGTGGACGGATGTGAAAACAGAATTTGTAAGCGCAGGGTCAGTTTTGCGTGAACGTTCACTAACGCCCATAGTATATAGAGATCTTACGACATGACAGGTCTAACTAAAATTAAAATACAGATTCAACTAAAATCCAATACGCAAACAGTAGGAGGCGATTTCCTACAGATGTAACTCTAAGTTATTCTCTAGAATGTCGAGCACAGAGTCTTGGTTTAGCCAAACTCAGAACAAGTAAGCTATTTCGTTTGATAAAATTTATCTGTTTCTAAAACATAAATTAACACCGTTAGTATGCAAAATAAACAGTACAGTCTATTTAAACAGGGAAAAACAGAGACATAAATAACACACCGAACAGTAACTAGAGAATGGGAAAAATGAGTCAACAAGGCAAATATTGTTTTATAATGAACATAAAATTGTGATTGGTGAATGAACAAGACATAGTCATACAAGGTCAAAGAAAGATAATGTGGTGGTGGGCGTTTCACTTCATCATTGGTGAGTTCGTTTATTGATTACGCTTTACAAAACTTTAAGCTTTTATTGATTTCATTCCACTTACGAGTTGGTTTATTCGAATACTAGGGCTGGTTGCTAGAACCGTCAAAATTAGTGTGGTCGCACGTAATTCACACTGAATAGAAATGGAGAGTGACTCGCTGATTCCTTAATTTATCTCATAAACAGATATGAATATCAGGATGTTATCTTCACTAAATATAATGGTCTACATTTTTTTAATCTGACCATAACACTACTTAGTTGAAGAAACTTCAAATTACCTTTTTCGGGTGATAAAAAACAGGACTTCGACTTCAAAACTGATATTCATTTTGCTACCCTCAAAATTAGGTTTTTTTACCGTAGGACTTAGGCGATCGGTCTTTTTAACACTTAATTAATAGTCCCTTTCGCTTTGTTTTGTCGGTCTCAGCTTACCTGTACTTCGTGAGATTCATCTGCTTGTAATCTATCCTTCAGTGGTGCATGCTATTTATATCGACGGATAAAAATTGGTTGGTCGTGGTGTTTGAATGAACTAATGATTCCTTTGTACTTGTTGAATGCTTGTTTTCGAATCCTAAATACAGTACATTCGTTTGTGGTTATCTACTACTTCTTGATCCGATTACGTTATTTCTGGGATTCGTAGTTCATACTATAATTCAAATACTCCTAACTATTATATTGGCCTCACGTTGACAACCCTTGGTTTCGCAGCCAACCAGGAGGCGAAGAGAAAAGAGTTCTGTGACGCCATTGCGTGATCTGGGGAGGAGGCGGTAGTGTGGGTCATCCGTTTCGGGGTGGTTTCACCGCTTGGAGTGTTGTGGCGGTGTTGGAGGTACCGGTCGTTGTCGACGGAGATTGGCATTCGCCAATCGGATACTGGGTTTAGATGGCTCAGCAGTTCGCTGGAGCGCATGTTTTGATGTTCCCTATGGATATCAGACGTGGATGTCTCGGAAGTTTAACATCGCTGCAGAGGTCAGCACGCCGCGGACCCGATATTCCGACGGCATAGACTGTGACGGAGTGGCAAGGAAAGTAGGACTGAGCAACGACCTTGAGCCGTCTTAGCTAGCCAAAAAACAGACTAGTTCGAAACATGTGACACCTACTAAAGTTATACAAAGCCTACATAATTAGTCAAATCAGTTAGACTGGCTTATATTTTTAACGGATGCCTGAGAGTTATGGTCGAAATCTGCATTTAAATTGTATATATAATAACTCCTACCCTGAACTCCAACTTCACCATCTAGACCGGAAATTCTAGTTTAGACCTAATTATAACACTAAAGCGAATCATATGCCCAATGTGACAAGCATTGCTGAGAAATATAACCTAAACTTGTGATTGAAACTGCTTCAGAATGATTGTGTGTGCGCATTGATAGATAAATGCTTGTCTTCAGTAGTCTGAAGCCCTGAGATTGCAAAGTGTTCCTTTGGAATAACTTCCTCTCTCCTGATTGGTTTAGCAGTAAGCCTATGTCAGCCGGTTCGCACTTTACTGCTGTTGATATTCATGATTGCATTCGATCATCGGATAAGCGGCCTTGATCGGATAAAAAGATTATGTCAGTAGATACAATATTCATGTGATTCGACAAACCAGTTTGTGATAAAGTGCAAATTACATTGCGTATAGTGCCTGACATCTCTTAATGGCCCAATAAAACTATGAGTGAAATGAAAAAGTCCAATTAACGTCTGCATCATATATATATATATATATATATATATATATATATATATATATATATATAAAACTTAAAAATTTATCATACACAGGCAGTGGTAATTATCAGCTGGCTAACGATGTTGTGATATTTTCTTAATGCATGGTGCTTCCAGAACGACTGAATCTGAATTGGTCTAATAGTTTTGCTTGGTGCTCTGAGCTAACAGGGTAATAATTAGCCAACCGGAGACTCAATTCAGCCCGTCCTGACGAAAGACGTCTGATAGTAGCCGAGTAGTTAGCTAATTCAGATAACGGTGCTATTGCACGTATACGGTGATATTTTTCAGCTCCCATTCTGCTATCGTCTTCACTGTTTGCACTGGTTTCTGCGTTGTCAACTGATATTATTTCTGCGCGCCTATTCGTTAAGTCACACAGAAAGGCTGATAATTCTGAATCATAACCTATATTGGTTTGAAAACAGAATGAGACAAGGACCATGAAACATATTTTTATGATTAAATTTGTGATGACTGAGTCATAATTAAATTTTAACTGCGTGGAAGCAGCCCCATACTACTACTAATATGATTTATTCTCAGAGAACACATTATAGGGATCAGTTAAAACAAATGAAGTTTCATCTGAGAAGCACGGCGAACGGCAACTAAAGCTACGGCTAACCTCGTATCACAACTCCTGGGGTTCTTGGCGCCGTCATACTACCTGCCGTCAAACTAGACTAACGATAAGGTTATGTTTTCAGCTCGTCAAGGTACATGAATAGTGACAGTAAGAAACACATCTATTCATTACGTTACTGGTAAAATTTCGACGAAATTGCGTTTTACTGAACAATATGGTCACGAATATATTAAAAAATGCTCTTAAATATTCACGTGAATATTGGTGAATTAAGTTGCGAACTACACTTATCACGTAGCCATATTACCACGTACTTATCAATGTTCTTCAACATACACATCAAATTATTAAGACCTCTGGGAAGGGATCATAAGTTCTCGCTGAATGTACCTAAAGCAAATGAAAAAGAAGTTCGGTAGCACATAGACAAACTCCGTTAATTAAAATGACTACAAACTCTCAGCTGTCCTGTACAAACAGGTGTTTCGTATGAAAGATTTTCTGTCATTCTAAACAACATTATTAGGTCATGTTTAATCTAACAGTTAGATTCTGGATTATTCCACAAGAATTGCATCAGTTAGATCGGATGATTTTTCTCCAAGATGGTTTTTTGGTAATCATTTTGTGTTCTTGTGTTCCCGTTGATAATTTTGTGCAGTTGACCTCCGACTATATATGTGACTGACCCTTTCTGCAAAGATTGGCAGATTGGATTTATGTCGATGTGTGTGTTGGTTGGAGATTAGACTCAATCTTTAGATCGCAAAGCAAACTAAGAACATTCAGAATAATCTAGAAAACTTACGAAGAATTACCTTTTAGGGAAGGCAATTGAAGTTCGATTTCCATCATCGGCTCCATAATATGCCAGTTAGGTATTTTGGCTACTGCATTTTTTACACTACTTATGCAACAAGTTTTTAACAAGGCTAAAAGGGATGGTGAAGAAAGTTGAGCATTGGATAATTTATCTAAAGTCAAGTCACCAAGACCATTGATACATCCCGAGTCATTTGAAATTTGTTCTACACGGCCACATACAATATTACTAATGTGAATATCTACTCCAATAATAGGGGAACGAAGAATAGGTCCACTAACCTCTAAGGCAGACAAACAGGCTTCGGTGATGGCATGACGTACACGAACGATGTTATGATCTACAAGTCGGTCAAAAATGACCTTTATATATACAAAAGAGGATCCGTTTATAAAAATGAAGAAAAACCTTACAATTGAACAACATTCAAGACTAATAGTAAACATATTCATATCAAAGTTTAGCATAACATATAATGATGACAAGAGATTAAGGCGATATTAAAGTCTCTTGCTGCACAAGCATTTAATTTGCAATGATAGTATTTTAATGTTCTGCCAGAAAACCTGAGATATATGTCGATGTTATATAAATATTGTTACGGAACTAACAATAAATCTCTACCATTCGTTAGCTGGATTTAATACAAATAATTCACTATCAAATTTGCTTTTAGTGAGAACTTTAATCAGAACAGCATAGGTCAAAACAGTCGGTTAGAAAACCTTTATGATTTTGATCTATGACTAATCAGATTACTTAGATTATTCCTAAGGGGTGCAATGTACAAGGAATCATGGATCACATTTGAAACACGTTTATCGTTAAACTGTTATGTAGACTTACAGTTAACTGACCAATATTCTTAACTGATTGAAATAAATAATACGTCCGAATAAAACCCATGATAAGAATGACATGTTAACAGTATAAAACAACCTCTTGATGATAAATAAAACACAGGATAAAAACATTTGAAAATTAGCTACCGAGATTTAAAGCATTGGTATCCACTACTGACTTTTTTACGAAAAAAAGATACTTTATTTGTTTCAACGCCTTGAGAGTTAGTAGGATAATCTATTCATCCTACACGTTTCCCAATCGATAGTCGTAAGGTTACTGTACCGATTTATTCAAATATCATTATCAGACCGAACAAAACATATGCTTATAGAGGTGATAACTGTGATATTAGTCCTAAAGCTGACGAAGCACCATCACTAGTTTGAAAAGTTTGCTTAGGTCTATAAAAGGTAGAAAATATTGAGATACAAAAAGCTATGTATTATTCTATAACTGATACACGAATGTATAGGTATAGAAACTATGCGCAGATGAAATAAAGTCGGCAGAACTTATCTTCGGAACATCGCTAGTTTAAATAGAATCAGAGAGTCAGCAGTGTTGAAGTTAGACGTAGTGTCAGATAAGACTAAAAATGGCTTATTTGGCTATGAACACGTATCAGATGAAGTGGCTAAGTTACAGACAGTGAGAGAGTACAAATAAAAACCATGATACATTTCTATCAATAGGTGAAACTATAAGGCTACAATAGGTCATTAGTCCTCAGATTAAGTGAATTATGGATTAAAGAACCACGCTAAAACCACCATAGCATTAGTGTAAATGGAGAACATTTATTACTTCTATACAATTGACCATGCAGTTTCACAGCTCTTCGAGTTGGAGTTCGCATCAGTAAGTTATAGATCTGATGTGCTATAAATGATTAGAAAATTTATTATGATTTGTGCATACACGTTTTTACCTGAGGTTTGTGAAGTGGATGAATAGTTTTAGGTTGAAGTATCACTCCTATTGCAACAGCTTTTTCACTGCCATTTATATATCCAACCACAAAACTCCATCCACTTGAACTGGAAGCATCTTGTGGTGGACATTCTTTGTAAGCGACCAGAAGTGGTCCCATTCGAACATTAACTTTGTATTCACGTTTCAGCCTTGAAAGTACAACATCTAAGTGTAAGTCACCCATTCCAGAAATTATCCATTGTCCAGTTTCTTCATCAAACTTCACCTTTTAGAATAGCGTCAGTGAAGCAAAAGTTTATTGAAACAAATGCAAAACAAGATATATTGCGAGGATACTTGAGTAAGAAATAATTGAAAACATGGACCCATTTAATGATATATGAAAAGAAGATACAATGTAGCTGGCTTAACAGACATTTGCACCTTTCAAATTTAAAAAACAAGCAAAACAAGTTTAAATTATCAAATGGTAATTATCGTAAGAAATCATATGAGGAACTGTCTTTTATCAGACGATATATATGAAAAAAAGTGCTAAGTCTTAGTTCACTCAGAGAGCAAGTGAAATATGGGTTTAATTTAATTCATTTGAAGCTGCGTTCAGGAAAGCATGTACGACGGTCTTGTCTTCTCATCGTCTGGTGAAACTGTCGTCTATTAATTACCAAACATGAATTGAGATTGTTAGAAAGAGATTCAAGGGCAAATTAAAGGATATGACATTTGTATCGCATTCGCTTATTGGGATAATTTCTTAGCCTATCCACAGCAAAAAATATACGTCATTATAACCTATGGTTCTCCCCGACCATAGCTATTACCTGGTCGCGGTGGTCGGGCTTGCCTATCGTGATGACCCAACCGAGCTATATTGGCTGGAACATATGTTCCTGTAGGTTCTACCATGCCAGGCAGGTCGACCGGAGAACGGTAAGACTAAAAGCAGCAACTCAAGGTCTGAGGGCGAAGTCGTACTGCTGACTGTAGAGGGGTGTGACAGCAGTAAGGTGTTTCCTTCAAAAAACCAGCATCTGCAGCGATGTTGCCTTCCCACAAGGAGGGGTGGGGTTAGAAAAGGTCGACCCTAAAAATGTCACACCTCACCTTACCTCACGGATTTCCGTCTCCGGCGGTAAGGCCCTTTGAAGAACGGAGCTAACACGTCAAAAGCCTTCCACGAAAAGGCCGTGCGCGACCGGCCTCAAGCAGTTGTCCCTTGGGCTCTGCGGTCACGCTCCCAGGTCTTTAAGACCAACACTAATCCAATTTCCTTTTCAGGTTCCTCAAGTAATACCCTTCCACGGTGTGGGCAGCCGGGAAGTGATATCAGCCCTCATACTCGTAACAGCAAACGAGACCAAGTTGGTCACAATCAAATCCTTCCTACACCTCCTAATACCTCTCTTATCTCCATGACTAACCCTCCTCACGTCTCTTTGTCACCTCGCACTACTAGGGCAAACGATTCGAGTACGCGGAACGTTATTCTTGGTCTCCTGAAACCACGCTCTAAAATACACGTAGGAGCTTTCAACGTCCAAACACTGCCCCAATGAGACAACAGGCTTCCTTAGCTAGGACTTTAGAATCTCGAGCCATCGATGTGTGTTGCGTCTCCGAAACGCGCATACAGGATCCGAGTAGTGTCATTCACTTGACCTCACCATGTCAAAGTAAAGAACCGACTCGATTCACGCTTCGTGTATCTGGAAGCCCTGATTCTGCTTCCCGTGGCCTCGCCGGCGTAGGTATAGCATTGAGTCCTAGGGCAGAACTAGCTCTCTTAGAGTGGATCCCAGTAGACAGTCGTTTGTGCGCTGTCCGACTGAACGGAACAGTAAGAATCCGGAAAGATAGGGACACTCGTCGTTGCCTCTTCGTCGTCTCTGCCTATTCTCCCACTGACTGCAGCTCAGATGATGTAAAAGATGAGTTTTACAGAAAGCTTTCGGACCTTCTCCGAAAAGCTAGGCGCTCGGATGTAGTAATAGTGGCCGGTGACTTTAATGCTCAAGTAGGTAAACTAAGCGATAGGGAAAGACACCTAGGTGGATCTTATGGTGTCGTGGCTCAAAGAACAGATAATGGCGACCGTCTGTTGCAGCTATGCTCAGATAACCGCCTGTTCCTTGCAAATACTAACTTTAAGCATAAGGAAAAACATTTTTAACATGGCGACCCCTTAATTCGTCCCAACGTTGGACCCAAATAGATCACATCGCTATCAGCCACCGATGGAGGGGCTCGATAGAAGACTGTCGCTCATTCTGGAGCACATGCTTAGATTCAGATCATGCTCTAGTGCGAGCGCGTATTTGCTTGCGTCTTACTGGACGTAGGAAAGATGGCAAGGAAACCTCTTAGGGCCTACTTAATGATAGTCAAGCTAAGAGTATATTTCAGGAACAACTAGGAAAACAGTTAGGCAGCCATGTATGTGATGCCCACCCCGAGGCAGCATGGAATGATATCCGAAAAGCTGTGGAAACAGCAGTGATATCTGCTAGTAAGGTAAACCGTAAGGTTAGGGAGCAACACTGGATCTCAGCAGCATCTATCGCACTGATAGATGCTCGGAAACTCATTCCACCTGGCTCTGAACATAATGAAGAGCGGAGTCAGCTTAAGCGCAAGCTGACAAGAAGTCTACGCAATGATCGTGAACAGTGGTGGGTAGCGAAAGCAAGAGAGATGGAAAAGGCAGCGGCAATAGGTAATAGCAGACAATTGTTCAGACTTGTTAAGGAAACCGGTATTAGGAACCGACTGTTAGCGAAACAATCTCAGAGAAAGATGGACATATTATACATTCTCAATCCAGGAGATTGGATCGATGGGCAGAACACTTTAGGGATCAGTTCAACTGGCCTTCAGCCACACTTCGGTTTCCCACGATCTCCAGTCAACCTGAATGGCAAGTTAATGTAGGTCCTCCGTCTCTTTACGAAGTTGAAAAAGCCATAGGAAATCTGAAGCGAGGGAGAGCAGCAGGCCCTGACAGGTTTACTCCTGAGATTTTTAAGGATGGTGGTCCAGTATTAGCAGTGAGATTAACTGAGGTCTTAGGTAGAATTTGGGAATTGGACGTAATCCCAACTGACTGGTCTCAGTCATTGATTGTGCCAGTTTATTAGAAAGGACAAAAGTCCTCTTGTGACAATCACAGAGGAATCAGTTTGACTAATATAGTGTCTAAAATATTAGCTTCAATAATTCTTCAACGCCTAACAAAAGCTCGTGAAGAACAGACTAGAGAAAATCAGGCTGGTTTTCGACCTGGACGTGGTTGTATAGACAAGATATTCACACTACGTCAGGTCCTAGAACATAGACACACATTCAGACGCCCCACAATCGTAGTATTTCTCGACATTAAGGCAGCATTTGACAGTGTTGATCTCGAGGTTCTGTGGTAGTGTTTGTCATTGAAAGGAGTACCAAAGAAGTACATTAACCTTGTAAAGGCTCTCTATTTGCACACAACTGGTCGAATGAGAGCTTATGGAGAACTGTCATCAGAATTGATTACCTCAAATGGTGTTCGTCGGGGCTTTCCACTCTCTCTATCCATGTTTAGCTTTGTCGTTAAAGTGCTTTTAAACATAACACTTTCCACATCTAAATTTCCAGAGGTTGAAATTTTACCAGGAGGTTCAGTTGTTGACTTAGAATATGCTGATGACATCGTTCTGTTTGGTGAAGACGCTGACAAAATGCAGAGTCTTATGACCATTCTAAGCAACAATGCATGGATGTTCGAGATCCGATTCTCCCCCTCGAAATGCGAAATGTTGCTTCAGGATTGGGTTACTTCGACACCCGGATTAATAATACGGGGTGAAGTAGTTGAGCGTGTCGACCGCTTCACTCATATTGGAAATCTCATCAGCCCTTGTGGTCTGGTGTGTGACGAAATCTCAGCACGGATACAGAAGGCTCGATTAGCTTTTGCCAACTTGCGTCATTTATGGCGTAGGCGAGATATCCGTCTACCAACCAAATGACGTGTTTACTGCGCAGCAGTTCGTTCCTTCCTACTTTATGGCAGTGAAACATGGCCGGTAAGAGTAGAGGATATCGTAGGTTACTAGTATTCGATCATAGATTTCATCGAAACATTGGTCGTATATCCTGACACCACCGGGTAAGTAACTCAGTTGTTAGGAAACGGGTACTAGGTAAGGATGGCGAACCAATTGATGAAGTAGTAAAACTTCACCAGTTGAGATGGCTGGGACACGTATTACGTGTGTCCAACCACCGACTGCCTCGACGTGCGATGTTTTCTGGTGTAGGAGTAAGTTAGAAGAAAGCTAGGGGCGGCCGGACCAAAACATGGCACAAATCCATGAAGTCACTGACAAGTGGAATGAGCCATGTTGGTAGGTATAGACTACCTGGTTGGGGACCGCGAGATGATATCGACCGATGGTTAGAGACCCTGAATGACATAACTCAAAATCGTTTGCGATGGCACAGGTGCATTCACTCTTTGTGTCCTCCCAAATTCTAATCTTCTGAATTCTTCATGTCGTTTATTTTCTTCCCAAATTTGTTTCACTGGATTATACTCCTTGAATAACATCTTCAAACCCTAATGTTTCCGATTACTGCTTGTACTCATACTACCTCTACCACTGCGGGGTTGAATCGATAACTGCATCTCTGTGCTAATGTGGTATGGCAACTCGAACTGATGTAGGTACGCACGAAGTTCCACGTTGTTACTGACTGACAATGATTGTTCAAGAAAACTTATATTTTCACGCTGTAAATGGTCACTGAGACTATCAATTGCAAAATAAATTGTCGTGGCCAGATTAAACGGTCCAGTTGCACCGCATCTACTAGATTTAGTTACTCAATAATATGTGGAATATATTGGAATTTTAGGTGGCTGAACATAATTATTAAGACTAGTATTGTTTTGTGCTAACTGAGATTTATCAAGAGGGCGTATATCCAATGTCCAACGATTCTTGACAACCTTTTGGCACGGTTATTGGAAAGCAAGACAATTTATGTGATAATAATGATAATGTTATGACTAATGGCCCTGTCAAATATCACGTGACAAGATCACTAGTCAGAACACCGACATGTATGATCTTGTCACTGTGCTAAACCAATGTGTTAACCAGAACGAACACGATTGAGTTAACTCTGAGTCCTTACCGGTCCCCAAAATAGTAACTTCTCGCCTATCCCGCCCGTTGAGTTCAGAACACAAATATCAACCTCCGCTACATGAATCATATTTCAGACTGCACCACACCATAAAATAAAAAATAATAATCATACAGGATCAAGTCAAAAGTGGATGTGAGTATGCGATACTGTAACTAGTAGATTGGGGATAAATAAAGAATGGCGTATCGTGCAACAGTAGTCAACGGGCTAAGTGAAAGCTTATGATGAAAGAAATACGAATACATACATGACCTAGTTACTTAGTAATTATCCAATAAGAATATATATGTAATAATAGTTCATAAATATTTTTTAGCAGTTACCATTCATTTACTATTCGTTGGGATATAATAATAATAATAATAAATAATGACAATAATAATAATAATAATAATAATAGCAATAGTAGTAGTAATAATAATAGTAATGGTAATAATAAATGTGACTATATTACCGTGTGAATAGTAATCGAAGATACTGCTGACACAATAATGGAGGAGGAAATCACATATACCTGAGATATGGAGAGTTTAGTCGCGCGTGATCACAAAGTAACTGGGTTAAAAGTAACACTGGTCAGTAGACTAATAAATGTATTTTTGGCATATCTAGCTCTTTAAACAGCTATTAATTTCTATATAAGGGATAGAGTTACTAGACTCTCGGTAGCTTTTTCCCTTTCTTAAGTGGTACACAATATAAAGATCAGGTGAACTGGAAATGGTGAAAATGATCAAATTAGTTCACTTCATCAATACAGTAATTGTGAAAAACAACAATAGTAAGAGCTAGACTTACATGAAAGCTCGGATCTTCACGTTGCATACAATTGAGAGCATGTTCAAGTGTATTTATTTCGGATCGACTACCAGGTTCAACCGCAGCGTATACAACAGGTTCGGATACTTGAAATACGGAAGGTGATTCTGATCCATTGTCAAATATTTCTTCAGTATCATTTAATTCAGTACCATTGAAATTCTCTACTTGTCTACTTTTAGTCGAATTCAAGACAGGACCTAAAACATCGCCTGTGTACGTTGACTGAAGTCCACTTAAAGCAATAATACTACCAGGCCCAGCACTGTTAACTACTTCTAACGAATCTCCATTTAGTTGAAATACATTTAAGATCTATAGGGTAAAAAATACATATGAACAAGTTTTATTGCAAAGTAATACAATATACGTCGATATCAATAACTAGTTAGCAACCACGTTTTGCACTTCATACACAGATGAGTTCTGAACCACAAAGCCGGAAACTGTTGATTCAAATTTAACTATAATTCGCTTATGGTTTATGACCTCACAATATTTTATCCCTGGTCTGCTGAAACCATGCACTAAACTATCTGTTGAAGCTTTTAATGTTCGAACCTTCTGTCAGATAGGAGAACAAGCTTCTTTAGCTAGGACTATAGAATCTCGCACCGCATCTCCGAAACGCGTATACAAGATCCAAGTATGGTCATTCATTTAACCTCACTTGATGAATATGAAAGACTGGCACGACTTACTCTTCGAATATCTGGAGACCCTACTGCTATTGCCTGTGGACTCGCTGGTGTAAGTATAGCATTAAGTTATAAAGCAGAACAGGTTCCATTAGACTGGATCCCAATAAGCAATCGCTTGTGAGCTGTCAGACTAAATGGGACAGTAAGAACTCGGATATGAACACACGCCATTGGTTTTTTGTTGTCTTTACCTACACTTCCACTGATTGAAACTCTGATAAAGTAAAATATGCATTTTATAGCCAACTTTCCAAACTCCTTTGCACAGCTAAACGCTAAAGTAGATAAACCAAACTAAACCGAAAGGCACTTGGATGGATGTTACAATATTGCAGCTCAGTGAACAAATAATGGTGACCATCTGTTGCAAATAGGCTAAGATAACCGTTTGTTTCTAGCAAGCTTTGAGAAAAAACACTATCTTACATGGCGACCCCCGCAATCGACTCAACGATGGATTCAAATAGTCTACAATAACATCAGCCATCGTTGGAGAGGCTCGATAGAAGGCTACCCTTGCTCATTCTGAAGTACATTTTTAGACTTAGAACATAACTGTTAATTCGATAAACTGATAATTGTTTTTTCTTTTGGAATTATTTTCGATTATGATATTTACGACTAGACTGGCAAATTACAGATATATTATAGAACCAGGTAAATTGAACTTGTATACGTTTCGATAGTATATTCACAGTGCTGACTTACTTTCTCTGGTAAATGTATATCTTTATATCGGGACCAATTAGCAATTTGAGAACCAGGTGTAATTACACCGGAATATATGCGTACTAAGGTAAGCGGGCCACGATGTGGATCAAAACATATCCTGAATACAAGCATGATTGGGAAATTCGATGATAGAATACTGCGACGATTATCTAAGTCTCTAGAGGCTTTCAAAAGATCACTTGGATTCGGTAATGTAGATTTCAACGATTTATAAACCTTTAAAATAGAGATTGGAATATTGGAATGACTAGGATCTGGTAGGTAATCAACAATAAAATCCAATATAGGCTGAATCCCGATGTTATTTCGACTACTACCAACTAACACTGGTATGACTTGGAAGGAAAGAATTGCCTAAAATAAAAGTAAGTAATAGGGCTAGACAATAAAAGGGATACAGCGTTAAGATTATAATTATTTGATTTAGTGGATATTATTGTAAAGTAATAAAAATAGCAAGTATACACATATTATGATAATGGTTAGAAATCATTAAATGTTCACACCTATGTTAGTAAATGTCCAGGTGTTAAAAAATGTTATTACTTTGAGAATGTATATGTGTCAATCCTCATACGCGACATTACATTTAGTTACATGAATAAAGACAAGTTGAATCATTTTACCGCAAGATCGATTATATTTTATTTGAAAAAGTGACTGCAGTTGTGACAAAAGTAGATGATCAGCTGACAGAAATCTTAGTGAAACTATATAGTACTATTTTACTCTGACACATACAAATCATAAAATATCGCCGACAAATACTAGACGCCATTCTGTACAATAAAACCAACCTTTTTTAAACTTTTATGAACAATATCTGAAGTAACCAATAAATCTGGACGATCGAGTTGCAAGAATTTATCTGCAAAGTCTTCATCGACATCGGCCAATGTACTTAGTAGCTGCATACGAGCACTTAGTGCCTCTCGAATTCCAATTGGGTTCAGAGTGTTTTCAATGGAAGATTTCGATTTCGGTAGATGAGAGCAATGTGATACAGTAGCTGTATTGATACCTTCGAATAAATCAGATGATGTATAAACATCATCAGGACCGTTACATGAAATCCAATTCTAACAGAGAAATAGATAACTAGCAAAGTATAGATAATAAATTACGAGAATGGTAAATATAAATGTAACTTTTCAAAAGATTAATATAACAATGGCAGTGTACCAATCGTTATGCAAGGTTCATACAAATAACTATTCCTTTAGTTGTTTATCATCCGAAAAGCAGAAAAAAGGTTGATGATTGTAAAACAAATAAACTGATAAACTCGGTCAGTCAATTCTAGTCAACACCTAACATTTTAACTAGTTATAGAAATATAATTTTTAACAAAGAACAACATGTCATCAAACAAATAATCGAAATCCCTTTCTATATAAGTGTGTCTGATTGACTCCGCCTGTAGCTCTTCTACGCAAGATATTCAATGTCTGTTGACCAGATACCATCAACAACAGTCTTGTGGGTGAGAACAAACCAGCTTCCAGCCGAAGAGGAAATTAGGAAAAACCGTCGGTGGTGGATGGGACATACATTGAGGAAATCACCAGACTGCATCATGAAGCAAGCGCTAACTTGTAATCCTCAAGGGAAACAGAAAAGAGGATGGTCAAGGAACACACTGCACCGAGAATTGGAAGCAGACATGAATAGGATGAAAAGTAACAGGAGACAACTGGAAGATTGCCCAGGACAGAGTTGAATGGCGAATGCTGTTGGACGGCCTATGCTCCACCACGAGGGGTAACAGGCGTAAGTAAGTATATCGTGGTTTCTCTACAGCTGCTTATAACCCAGAAACAACAGTAATAATCATTTACAATCAACGTACATACTTTATTTCGTATTAGTAAATATTAGAATAACAACAAGCACGGAGGAATTATCATGCGTTAAAATGAATGCGCACTTGTTATCTTTGGAACGGAACGAGTGCGGAAAAAGTTGGGACGTTTCTAGCTTTTTTCGGATTATTATTCATATTTTTATTTAAATATTTTATACCCTGGCATGGCCGAGAGTGAGGAGAGTCCGTTCTCCCTCTCGAAATGCTCTCACATGGCCACGCGTATATAGCCTCTGCCAGGGAAGTCCTACTCATCGCCTTCTCGCGGTAGGGGTGTTGTTTACGAAACTGAGAGGACGAGAAGCGAATGTCTGGCAGTTTAAACGGGTTAGTGGAGACGGAGAGTCCACCTAGGGGAGTTGAAAAACTCTGATTCCGAACCAATGGTGCACGTGGGCTTCATGGATCCTGAAGGAACAAATGGTGTAAGAACGAATTGTTGGTCACCGGCTACCATAAGACTGCATCTCCTACCGTTGCTCCACTGCCTTGTAGATCAGACCTTTAGATCGAAGGTTCCGTGTGTGGCCCCCCCTAAGAAAACCACCTGCTTCGATTTGGGCACCCGGGCAGTATCACAGCTCTCACACAAATCAAATGAGATTTTTCTGGTGCATATGTATTCGGTGCCTCTTTATACCAATATCTATGTGTTCAAATAAATAAATGAATAGATAATTATATTATTGTACTTCTATATTCTCAGTAATTATTTACTGTTTCCTTTGTTCTCCGTCACTCTTGGTATGATTTCTTCTTTGGTGTGGTTAGTGGTCTGATAATTCATATGTTTAAGCTGATATGTGTTTGGTACAGTTGTTGGCTGGGTTGGGCGATAGGAATATGAATATAGTGAAGGCTGGCCACCGACATTTCTTCGGACTCTAGTTAAAGGATATAGAAAAACTTACCTATAACTGGATCAATAGGCACATGGCTAGCGTTAACTCAGAGTCAACTATACAGGCAAGAAGATATAGTTGGCCAAATCTCGGACGCTAGGCTATATAAAGAATAGTAGAGGCCAGATAGAAAATTCTATAGCCGGAATTCTGATTGTTGAATGTGGCACGCGGTACCGATCATCTTCTCAATGCGCAGTAGTTATTAAACGTGAAAACTCTAGAAGAAAAATCGCTCTTTTTCAAAGATATCGTCACACTGACCTTGTATTTTACAGCTGTCAGTTAAGGTCTTTTTCTAATGCATGAGTTATATTGTATTTCACTGTTATTTAGCAAATTATATGAATATGTCAAATTAATTCTGTTCAAGTAAGAACATCTTAATCAAACACATTACTTACTCCTGTTACCCCTCGTGGTGGAGCATAGGCCGTCCAACAGTATTCGCCATTCAACTCTGTCCTGGGCAATCTTCCAGTTGTCTCCTGTTACTTTTCATCCTATTCATGTCTGCTTCCAATTCTCGGTGCAGTGTGTTTCTTGACCATCCTCTTTTCTGTTTCCCTTGAGGATTACAAGTTAGCGCTTGCTTCATGATGCAGTCTGGTGATTTCCTCAATGTATGTCCCATCCACCACCGACGGTTTTTCCTAATTTCCTCTTCGGCTGGAAGCTGGTTTGTTCTCACCCACAAGACTGTTGTTGATGGTATCTGGTCAACAGACATTGAATATCTTGCGTAGACAATTGTTTATAAATACTTGAACATTTTGATGATGGTTGTGGTAGTTCTCCAAGTTTCAGCTCCGTACAGTAGAACTGTCTTGACGTCCGTATTGAGATTCTGACCTTGATATTGGTTGACAGTTGTTTAGAGTTCTATATGTTCTTCAACTGTAAGAATGCGGACTTTGTTTTACCAATCCTTAACTTTACATTTTCATCAGATCCTCCGTGTTTGTCGATGATGCTGCCCAGATACGTAAAACTTCTCCTATGGCTCTCCTAGGGTTACTGCCGGTCCCAAGTCCAGGTAAAGGAGTAGGGTTGGGCATAAGGTCAGCAACCCCATCCCATAGAAAACAACCTTGCTACAAAAACACCAACCAGAATAAACAAACCACGAAATGAATCCTGCTTATCATTCCATGTTTATTGTCCTTGCTTTAGGTAAATATATAAATCCGAAAACATTTTATGAAATTAATCTCATTTAACTGAAAAATAAATGTTTCTACTTGGTTCGATTGGTAAAGTTTATGAATGGTTTTACACAATACTTTTATTGCGGAAAAATACATGGATCTGTGGAAAGTCTCCAAGCTTTGTTATCAATATTTAAAGAACACATAAAGCATTCAGTAAAAATGTTAGTAAAAAGTAACTAGAAAACATTTGACAGGCTGATGTGTACAGTGCGAACGGAAAGCATAGGTAGTGTTGTTGACATAATTCTTACAATTAGAGCAATAAATGAAGGCATGTTGGTCATAACTTGTCAATTTTATAAGTAATAATTATTGGGACTCGAAAGATCAAATACAATAATATTCTGAGCATAGTTTAGTGATTCAGGTCCATAAAAACAGTAAAAATCTCGTAGGTCACGGTAGGTAATGTATAAAGAAAGCGTACTTTACATAGGAATTTCTAACCACTCCATAAAATCTAACGTGCATTTTAGCATCGTACTATGACATTCAGATTTTCTGATGACAGATATTTTAGTTAGTTACAAACAGAAATTTGTTTTCTTGATTCAAATGCTGACCAGAAGTATGCTGGCTAATTTGTGACAGTACAACATATAGGGTTACACTTCGAACAACCGAATGTATTCGATGTTAACAGGGAAATCCACATATGTCGCGGAATATATGTTAAAAGTTTGATCACAATAATGAAGAAAGATGTAATTGGCAAATAATAACACTTTCACACAAACGTACAGGAAATTATGACAGTGTAATTTAAAGAAGTAAGGATTTGAGTCACAGAGCTACTCCTTGCTGTTGCAAAAAGTGAAGCGATAAGGTTCATAACAAAACAAGAACGAATTTAACGAGTAACATATGATATCGCACTTCGGACCGCTCATCCATAGCATGTAACTTTTTAACTAGGCTGTGTTTTAGCCACTTTTCTTAAATCCCAACCAGTTCTAATAAATGTACACTCAAATGGCTTGGACCAAATTGCCGAGCAAAACGCTGGATTTACTTAAAGTCCAATCGCTGAGACTTTTAAAAATATAATTTCTTTTTTGATGTCTTACATTAACTTCGTGCTCAACTATTGTGAAACTGTTCGTTCAAATTCAGACGAAAGATCTTGGAAATGGATTTTTACTTTTATAAGTTTTAGGACTTGCATTTCTGTTTTTAATATTCAGGACTACATTTGACCAGATTTTGTTAACACAAGGAGCTGCTTAAGAGAATGCTTCGATACTGAGTACAACACAATTACACTTTGAATAGCGATTAGTAATATAATCAACAGTGAGGTGGAGATTACCTCACTTGATAGGTCCCGAACTGAACTAAATATGTCTTGAATTCGACTGCTAGCCACTAACAAAATTAATAATTAACATGCTTACATTCTGTTTTTAATTTAAACGCAGATACGACTATATAGGAAATCTCACTATAAAAAATTGGAATGAGAATCATACAGATTTTCGTTTCACATACAGAATAATCAAAACATATCTATTCATAATGCTTGGATACACGGTAAACACTTATCAATTTTAAATACAAAAATTTTATAAACTTAAAAATTTACGTAAACCTCTGATCATTATTTACTTTTAATTGCATTGTAGTCAAATCTACAAGTCCAACAAATTGACTGGTACCATTTTTTTTAATATATTTATTAGAAAGCGAAGTAGACGTATTCGAAGCATTAATTAATGATGATGTGTTATCTGTATTAAGACTATGAGAAAATACTGGCCAATGAATAGGTATATAATGTGCTTTTGTAGGCAGCTGTTTAGATAAACTGCGTAAGCAGAGATCGACGTTAGCCATTGGGCGGTCCATTTTATTGATATAGATTAGACATGGGAGACAGTAACGATGGGCCTGGCGACTTGAGAGAAAAGGATACGAAAAAAAGGTGGGTAACAGGAACAAATGTGATATTATAGACTATATCAAAACATTGTATTTGCAACCCCACAAACCCCTTAAGATCAGGCTCAAACTAAAATATCAACTTGTAATAATATACACAGTTACGAGTAATGCAGGTCTGTTATTTTAGTCTGGAAAGATTCTTTGCGAAATTTGGTGATCTATGACTTTTAGATTAACTAATTCCAGGATAATCATGAATTATCTCCCACTGATAATTCTATCAAATGTGAAAGCATTACTAATCTTGGTAGCTATGTATCACAGTAAAAAAGGGGCATCCTATGTAGAATTTCTCGTGAAAAAAAAACTTTTAAACAGTAACTCGTTAAAGTATGAGTTAAAGGAAAATAAATAAATTTACTTATTTAATAGTTGAATTCATTAGTCAATTGAAGCTAGACAACCATGAAAAACCTGGAAGCACTGGACGGCCGTTTCGTCCTAGTAAAGGACTCCTCAGCAGTGCGCATCCACGATCCCGCCTCGCGAGATTAGAAACGCAGGACCTATCGGTCTCGCGCGCGAATTGACTTATACAACTATCAATTACCAGAAGATGGGCAGTTAGCGCCAAATTGCAAAATGAAACAAGTACTCACCACACAGTATGTGTCTGAGGTTGAACACCTTTGACCGCATCCAATATAACGACAACACTATCTAAAACAGTTAGACTTCGTTCAACTTCAAATGTGAAGTCTACATGTCCTGGAGTATCCAACAAGTGAATTATATGATTTCTCCAAGACAGAGAAGCTGATGCAGTAACAATGCTTATACCACGTTCACGTTCTTCTGGTAAGTAATCAGTCACAGTATCTCCATGATCCACTTCACCGAGATAGTGTATACGTCCTAAATTATTAAAAGCACGTAATTATTTCGTAGAATCAATAGCGAGTCATGAGCATAAATACAGAAAATGGGCTAGAAATAAATACAAAGTGAATGTAGGGTAAATACTGAATAGTAATCTTAAAGTAAGTTGGCTGTAGCGACATCAAAATTAGATACTACATAGATATAAACTGAACGATCAAACAATCCAAGCAATCACTTTGATCCACATAGAGCGATGAATAAATTGTGCACCATATGAACGTTTCTACATTAGGTTAAAATTTGCATTATCATACGACGGGTTTAGCTTTATCGAAAAGATGTGATTCAGTAGTTCAGGCAACACACAGGCAGCCATTTGATGAATGATTCGAACGTTGGTCTACTTGTTACAATATCGACAAGTGGGCGGTACATTATAATTCATTTTACTGATTCGTGTACTTGGCTTCAAGCCACACTTTAAGTATGACGGCCAATGATACTATCTGATTACCCTAACCGTAGAAAATGAAACGAGTTTTGAATCTCAAACACAACAGCTGAAAGTCGAACATCATAATCACAGAGTCGCCCCTCCAAAAACTCTTGATGAGACAATAAAGAGGTGGAGGGCATATATATAAAACAAGACTCTGAACAACAATAGATGCATGCACTATCAGGAAACTTGAAAATAACAATAACAGTATTAGATCATAGGACAGGTCAGGTATTTATTGTTAGTAGCCAGTACATAATCTATGTAGCTTGAAACCTGAGAGTGATTCTAAAGCTCTAATTAGGTAAGATGCTATTGCAATTTCCCCACTTAATTTTGGAGGTATACGTAACTACAGAAGTGATGATAAAAATGTTTCTTCAGCTAGTGTTAAATTGTGATACAAAATATCATCTTCAAAGAATCACTTAACACAACACAAGTGAATAAAAAATTATTTATATGACATGCTTATTAATTTCTGCTAACAAACGAATAAATATTTTACTCACGCTCTTATTTATAAGCTCTGGGATAAAGCATTTCTTTGGCAATGATAGAAGAGAGAATACATCAAAAACGTCCTACTTGATAATTTACTAAATACTATCAGTTAAAATACAGAGTAGTTTCAGTATGTTTAACACAAAAATGATTGGTAGAATAGGGTGTTACGAAATGCACCACGATAATAGTTATGAAGCAATAAGCCCCTAAATGCCCTGGTACGGCCGAGGGTGAGGAGAGTCCGTTCTCCCTCTCGAAATGCTCTCACATGGCCACGCGTATATAGCCTCTGCCAGGGAAGTCCTACTCATCGCCTTCTCGCGGTAGGGGTGTTGTTTACGAAACTGAGAGGACGAGAAGCGAATGTCTGGCACTTTAAACGGGTTAGTGGAGACGGAGAGTCCACCTAGGGGAGTTGAAAAACTCTGATTCCGAACCAATGGTGCACGTGGGCTTCATGGATCCTGAAGGAACAAATGGTGTAAGAACGAATTGTTGGTCACCGGCTACCATAAGACTGCATCTCCTACCGTTGCTCCACTGCCTTGTAGATCAGACCTTTAGATCGAAGGTTCCGTGTGTGGCCCCCCCTAAGAAAACCACCTGCTTCGATTTGGGCACCCGGGCAGTATCACAGCTCTCACACAAATCAAATGAGATTTTTCTGGTGCATATGTATTCGGTGCCTCTTTATACCAATATCTATGTGTTCAAATAAATAAATAAATAACAATAATAATAATAAAGTAATAAGACATGAATTCATGTAACGATAGCAATTTTGCTCATGGATGAAGTTTGAATACGAATACAAGATAAAATTCATTATCTTAACCTACATGTTAGTGCTGAAGAAGAGCAAGAAAGCAAAACAACGCAGTGGCCACTAATTTTAATTCCGGTCCATGTCTGATTAAGTTCCAAATAACTGAGTTGCATACACCTCATAGATCAAGGAGTGATAAGACTATATATATATATAAACTCGATAGAAATATACTGAATTCCACAGCTTTGTCATAAAATAACCACCTTTACACTTTACCCAGACAGTCGTAAACAATCTTCAACAAGAAATTTGCAAAAATATCATGAAAAATGCATGATGAGGAAATAACTCTTCACGACTAGTAAGCAAAAGCATTAAATCATGGAATCGCTTGACTTGTTATATACACTTATCTCATGCACGAGTCAATGGTTATATACAAATATATTTTTTTAAATCTATTTTGTAAGCACACACAGATGCATACAGGTTACAAAACTCAGTTACTGTGTGAAGGGTAGCTGCACAGAAGTAGATCGACGGAGATTGTACATATAACCACAGCTTTGAATGTCAGCTCACGAGTTTATAAAATAGAGTCCATCCTATTGAAAGGCATAGGATCATTAATCGTATATGCCGTATAGGCATCCAAAGACGTTTTAACTTAAAAAGTTCTTCACAAGAAAAACATTTTTTAGCACAATGCAACTCAATGAACTATTTACATTGAAACAACTTCGGTGATCAGCAGTTGACAACACATTTGGAGTTAACATACCACCTTATATTATGCAATTGACAGTTATATAAAAATATTTAGTAACATGTAAGATAGTTGTTTTTACGAAGCGATGTAATCACAAATCTTTACGTGGAACTGTTTTATGTGAGAACACCTTTATCATTGATTGGTTGTGTTAATTTAGAAACATTTTTAAAAAAAAAACATTTGCACTCAGTTACCGGCTAACAGGCATGGAAATAGAGTACACACATAGATATATGAAATATGATTATGTATCATTTACTTTTAATTTACGAAGAACCTAGTAAACGCTAGAAGCTTTCAATACTTTATATGTGACTGATCTGATAGAAGTACCACAATTTTATACAGATGTCAATGAAATGCAAAATAAAGAGACAACATAATATATCAAGCTAAACGCTTACGAGCATAATAAAGCATGCGTTCTGTAGTAGTCGTTTTACCAGCGTCGATATGAGCAATTAAACCAACATTTCGTATTGTTGCGATAGGTGGATCACTGACTGAAATTTTCGCTTTAAGATTACTACCTATATGTTGTGCATAAGTATGCGCATGGCGACAGCGCTTGTAGTCATACTTAAGATTTAACAAATCGAACCATTTGGATGAGGGTAAGACGCGCAGATTGCTGTGAATTAGCATTTTTCAGTATCGTTAGGCTAAAAAAAATAATGCTCGACATTTATTATATCTCACAACGAAAAGATAATATACTGGCATAACAGTTGAACATTAGAATCAAATATTAAAATTCAAGCTTGAAATTAATTGGAATTCCAAAACTTTGTACACTATGCCATTTTGTGAAACCTAGTTTCATATATTATTATTACTGTTATTTTGAATATAATTTTTCTAAACACTAGCGGAATTTATCACTGAGTTTCATGCAAATATCTTCCCTTTAGTATGGGTTTGATTCTGAATGGCACGATTTTACACTATAACACTAAACACATTTTTTCAAAGACAGATTATTAAGGAAAACTGTTACATGACTATATATATATATATATATATATATATATATATATATATATATATATATATATATATATATATATATATATATATATATATATATATATATATATATATATATATATATATATATATATATATATATATATATATATATATATATATATATAGTGAATAAACTGCATAGCTTTTGATCAAAAAGACTGAGCGGAAAGTTCATGTGAAAACCCAAAACAGTGCCACAAACTATAAGTTTATAGGAAACCTAAAATAGAAGCAGGATTCTAACACTAGCAAGAATGTTCATCTACACTAAAGCAATTCAGTTGTTCAGCTGTTCAATAGTTCCAACGAACTAGGGCACAGTAGCCCACCAGTTCAACAGAACATAGTGTTTATTTGAAAACAGTGGATAATCATCAGACAGACTTTCTAATGCAAACACTGAAGCAAATATTCTTGGAAGTAAATCTAAAGAACAATGTATACAAGAAAAGATATGTTTATAAAAGTAAGTATCTATTATAACGAATGGATATTTACAAGCGTACGATTTCTATAGAAAAACGAAGTTTGGAAGGAAATTAGTTAGTGTGATCTAAAATTAGCATATGCACGATTCTCTTCACATTGTTATGTAATTCAACCTTGTATTTGACAGCTTTCCCTTGGTTTTGTGAAGCCACCATAAATTCGTTTGCCAGAGATATCCATATTCGTTGATCACGTGGCTTTCCTCTAGCTGCGTCCAAAATAAATTTCACTGCAGTATGTGTGGCAACCGAAGAAGATACTGGAGGAGCAGGAACCTGTACAGACAAAACATTACAGACGAATATGTAGCACAAACATATATTATAGTAACTAGGTTCATAGAACGATGACTTAAAATAGTCAGGTCGATTAAATAATTTTCGATGGCTGTCTGACAATAAGTAGGAAGTTCTCAAAGAGAGCACGCATGGTACTGAAGATATGGCTAAGTGATAAACAAATTTCAGTCGGCATAAATGCTTAATCTAGTAATCTTGGAATAACATTGAAAACAAGAAGTTCTGAATTCCTGGTATAATTATGGGGTTCAGTATGTCAAATCAAATGTGATTATGAAATATTTCATTCACTCCGAGGTTGAAAGATAAATTACCTAGACTAACCACTTCATTCTGTATCTATCAATTCAACTGCTCCTGTGGAGCAAGTTATATTGGCAGATGTTCTAGGAATTTATACATTCGGGCTCGTGAGCACCTCCCCGTGTGGTTAAGCAAAGGTGTAGTCAAAACTGTTAACAGCTCCATCTTACACCATCTAGTTCAAACAGGGCATACAGCCAACATAGAGCAATCGTTTGCAATAATCTATCGTGTTGACAGCAGTCTACCTAATTCCGTCAGACTGCGAATTCTACAGACGGCTGAAGCAATTGCTATCCGGATCAAAAAGCCAGAGCTTTGTATCCAAAAGAAGTATGTTCAGCCACTCATTTTACCCTGGCCAACTAGTTAGTAATTAATTTTATAATATGGTGACGTAATCTGATTAATGTTCATTTTATGTCCCAAACTTATTACTGTTATTATTATTATTATTACTATTATTATCATTAATATCTTTACACTTGATAACCGTTATGAGGAATTTATTCAATATCCACGGCTAAACCTACTATATCTGACCTCATTCATATTTTTTGATTGAGATCATGAACCGATTGATGTTAGACCACCACTTTTGGAAACCTAGAAGCATTGGACGGCCGTTTCGTCCTATTGCGAGGCCCCTCAGCAGCGCGCATCCACGGTCCCGCCCGCGGGATTCGAACCCAGGGCCTTCGGCATCGCGCGCGAACGCTTAACCAGCTGGACCACTGAGCCGGCATCCAATGGTGATAGTGTCTAACATCAACCAATCCACAAAATTGCGCGACCAACTTCCATTGAACTGAGGTAGATACCTGTCTCTACCCGACATGGATTGGTTCCACTGATCACGGCTTCTCACTAGAACTCCGAGAATTCCCTCACGAAGCTAGTCACTAGTGAGCACATATTGATTACTAGTATAGGGGTTGTGGAGATCTCGATCAAAAACGTAATAACAACTGCGTTATTTACTCGATAATGTCAGGATATACGAGCAATATTTCGAAGACACCTATGATCAAATACTAGTAACCTACGAATATCCTCTACTCTTACCGGCCATGTTTCACTGCCATAAAGTAGGAAGGAACGAACTGCTGCGCAGTAAACACGTCATTTGGTTGGTAGACGGATATCTCGCCTACGCCATAAATGACGCAAGTTGGCAAAAGCTAATCGAGCCTTCTGTATCCGTGCTGAGATTTCGTCACACACCAGACCACAAGGGCTGATGAGATTTCCAATATGAGTGAAGCGGTCGACACGCTCAACTACTTCACCCCGTATTATTAATCCGGGTGTCGAAGTAACCCAATCCTGAAGCAACATTTCGCATTTCGAGGGGGAGAATCGGATCTCGAACATCCATGCATTGTTGCTTAGAATGGTCATAAGACTCTGCATTTTGTCAGCGTCTTCACCAAACAGAACGATGTCATCAGCATATTCTAAGTCAACAACTGAACCTCCTGGTAAAATTTCAACCTCTGGAAATTTAGATGTGGAAAGTGTTATGTTTAAAAGCACTTTAACGACAAAGCTAAACATGGATAGAGAGAGTGGAAAGCCCCGACGAACACCATTTGAGGTAATCAATTCTGATGACAGTTCGCCATAAGCTCTCACTCGACCAGTTGTGTTCGAGTAGAGAGCCTTTATAAGGTTAATGTACTTCTTTGGTACTCCTTTCAGTGACAAACACTGCCACAGAACCTCACGATCAACACTGTCAAATGCCGCCTTAAGGTCGAGAAATACTACGATTGTGGGGCGTCTGAATGTGTGTCTGTGTTCTAGAACCTGACGTAGTGTGAATATCTGATCTATACAACCACGTCCAGGTCGAAAACCAGCCTGATTTTCTCTAGTCTGTTCTTCACGAGCTTTTGTTAGGCGTCGAAGTATTATTGAAGCTAATATTTTAGACACTATATTAGTCAAACTGATTCCTCTGTGATTGTCACAAGAGGACTTTTGTCCTTTCTAATAAACTGGCACAATCAGTGATTGAGACCAGTCAGTTGGGATTACGTCCAGTTCCCAAATTCTACCTAAGACCTCAGTTAATCTCACTGCTAATACTGAACCACCATCCTTAAAAATCTCAGGAGTAAACCTGTCAGGGCCTGCTGCTCTCCCTCGCTTCAGATTTCCTATGGCTTTTTCAACTTCGTAAAGAGACGGAGGACCTACATTAACTTGCCATTCAGGTTGACTGGAGATCGTGGGAAACCGAAGTGTGGCTGAAGGCCAGTTGAACTGATCCCTAAAGTGTTCTGCCCATCGATCCAATCTCCTGGATTGAGAATGTATAATATGTCCATCTTTCTCTGAGATTGTTTCGCTAACAGTCGGTTCCTAATTCCGGTTTCCTTAACGAGTCTGAACAATTGTCTGCTATTACCTATTGCCGCTGCCTTTTCCATCTCTCTTGCTTTCGCTACCCACCACTGTTCACGATCATTGCGTAGACTTCTTGTCAGCTTGCGCTTAAGCTGACTCCGCTCTTCATTATGTTCAGAGCCAGGTGGAATGAGTTTCCGAGCATCTATCAGTGCGATAGATGCTGCTGAGATCCAGTGTTGCTCCCTAACCTTACGGTTTACCTTACTAGCAGATATCACTGCTGTTTCCACAGCTTTTCGGATATCATTCCATGCTGCATCGGGGTGGGCATCACATACATGGCTGCCTAACTGTTTTCCTAGTTGTTCCTGAAATATACTCTTAGCTTGACTATCATTAAGTAGGACCCTAAGAGGTTTCCTTGCTTCATCTTTCCTACGTCCAGTAAGACGCAAGCAAATACGCGCTCGCACTAGAGCATGATCTGAATCTAAGCATGTGCTCCAGAATGAGCGACAGTCTTCTATCGAGCCCCTCCATCGGTGGCTGATAGCGATGTGATCTATTTGGGTCCAACGTTGGGACGAATTAGGGGGTCGCCATGTTAAAAGATGTTTTTCCTTATGCTTAAAGTTAGTATTTGCAAGGAACAGGCGGTTATCTGAGCATAGCTGCAACAGACGGTCGCCATTATCTGTTCTTTGAGCCGCGACACCATAAGATCCACCTAGGTGTCTTTCCCTATCGCTTAGTTTACCTACTTGAGCATTAAAGTCACCGGCCACTATTACTACATCCGAGCGCCTAGCTTTTCGGAGAAGGTCGGAGAGCTTTCTGTAAAACTCATCTTTTACATCATCTGAGCTGCAGTCAGTGGGAGAATAGGCAGAGACGACGAAGAGGCAACGACGAGTGTCCCTATCTTTCCGGATTCTTACTGTTCCGTTCAGTCGGACAGCGCACAAACGACTGTCTACTGGGATCCACTCTAAGAGAGCTAGTTCTGCCCTAGGACTCAATGCTATACCTACGCCGGCGAGGCCACGGGAAGCAGAATCAGGGCTTCCAGATACACGAAGCGTAAATCGAGTCGGTTCTTTATTTTGGCATGGTGAGGTCAAATGAATGACGCTACTCGGATCCTGTATGCGCGTTTCGGAGACGCAGCACACATCGATGGCGCGAGAT